ACACCAAACTTTAGCTCCATATCTGTAAAAGTTGAGTTTAAAAAAACCTTTGTAGTGGCTTTAATGTTGCTTTGTGGAGGAAAGCATCTGGGAATGTAGCGTCAAATGTCACAGACATATTAAAAGCGGTGAAGCTGTTGTTATTGTGCGAATGCATTCAGTTTCCACTAATACTGATTCAGCCTAAAGACTGCTGAATATTTAACCCTCCTGCTGCCCTTGGGTGAAAAATGACCCACGAGGCCTCAGTCAAATGTGACTCAGGTGTGTTGGAAATGTGTTTGGTGATTTTTCACAGAAACATAAGCAGGTAATCGTGGTCGGATCACACGGGCCTGAAGAGCTTGAGTGAGCCAACACCAATGTAAGGTTATCAGGAAAACATATTAGACTAGAAAAAATATAATCTTTATCTGATAAATGAAACCATTTAAATGTTAAACTTGTTCTATCAAACAAAATAAGCACGAAGGTATGACTCTTGTTATTAAAAGCTTGGTTGCATAATTTCTCACGTGCAACGTATTTAGAAAATGTCTTCGCAGCTGAGCAGTTATGAAGTTATCTTCCTGAAGTCAGCACCAATTGCCAAGTTTTATGGTCTTTTGCCAAATTGCGTTGTCTCCTAGAAGACAACCTCTCACACCTGCACTGGTGTTTTTGTTTAATTACAAAGAGACTCGAGCTACAGAACAATAAAGGCAAACCGGTAAAGTACCAGCTGTTTCCCAGATGTTAGGCTGCTCAGAAACCCTGCAAACCTCGAGGCTAGCATAATGTCCCTCCTAAACCATGACTGCGACTATTTTTAGCCAATTGTCTGTTCGAGAGTGAGAATTCAAGAAAAATAACCAACGGAGCTGACAAAACAAGAGGCAGAAATAACAGAAAGAGTCAACTTCTTCAAATAGAGGAAATGCTTGTCTCCATTTAGCTTTTCTTAACGCCCGTTTTGGAATCTGTTTTAGGCCAAAATGCTCCCTTTCTGTTCGTAAACTCTCACACAGAACCGCCTGAGCAGAGTGTAATTTGCCAGAAAATCTGTGCAGCTTTTCCCCTACAAAAGCACACTGTACATTCATGGGAACGCTACATTTTGTAAGTAAAAAGGCCAAAGGTTTGAGAATCTTCTTCATTTAGCGAGAATCATGACGAGTGATTCAGAAATAATAGCCTGAATACTAAAAATGAATAGTCAACAATTTCTGCAGCGATTTGTTTGTGCAAACAAAAGCAGCCCATAGTTTGAACGTTCACTGGTGCAGCAGAGATGGCAGGAGCGTTCATCTGTAATAAATACAGTTTGGTTGAGTCTGTATCAAAGGGGTGTTTCAGCTCTGCTCTGATTTGGTTTTCTGGTTTAATTGTCAACTCCTTGATCCCAGAAAGCTGGTGAAGAACGGGTTTGTTTGACAGGTTGATCCTGGTTTTGACACGATGAAAATGTTTCCTTTTCAATCTTTTCTTCTTTGCCTTACACAACAATGTCCACTTTTTTCATTTGCTGTAGCTGAATCAAGAATTGTTTTCAGCTGTAATCTTGTAAATAATTTTTCCTTAGCTCTCAATTAATTTAGCAGCATAACTAATGAGTGCCAACGATGATAATGATGATGCACTGTTTTGCATACAACCCTGATTTGGAAAAAGAGAGCCATGTTCACCATTCTGAAGATCTCCATTTTTAATAACAATCTTTAAATGTTTAGGAACTGAGGAGGAAACCAGTTACTTGAGTTTTTGAGCGGGAATATTGTCACATTCTTGACTAAAGTAGGATTCAGTCATGGGTCTTTGACAGATTTATTTGTTTCGTGATGTTTTCAGTTGAGAGGTCTGGACTGCAGGTAGTCCAGTTCAGCACCTGCTGTCGTGATGGATGCAGTGTGAATTTTGACATTGTCTTGCTGAAATTTGCAAGGCTTTCCATGAAAAAGATGTTTTCTGGAATGGAGCAATGAGATTTGCAGACGATTACATTCTATTTTTCATTTACATTTTACACAATGTCCCAAATGTTTTGGAATTGAAATATGTTCATTTTTGCTACGTCCATTCTCGATGCCAGTGGCCTCAAATGTCTTTGCTTTGTGCTCACAGTTTGGAGAACTGCACTTCAGGGAGCCACTGCAAATATACACAAGCTTGTGTGTGTTTGTGTGTGTGTTGGTGCACTTCAGGGGCCTGTTTAGACATGCAGAAGAGGCTTCAGTACGCCATCACACAGTGTACACACACTTCTGCTGACTTCCCTTTTTCTCCGCAGGAACTTCCAAACTCTTTCTTTTTGCACGACTAAAGTCAGCTTTTTCTTATTTCTTTCAGTTCAGGGCTTTAATGCTCCTCCTTTCAAATACTGCATCAGTCCTGGAGAACATGCGAAGTGAAAGATGTAATGCTTGAATTACTAAAGCCTTGTTGTTTTACTATTTACGTCTGGAAAAACCTGTTTTTTTCCCCACTTTAATAATGTAATTAATATGGGTGTTTTGCGCTCCGTGTTTAGATTTAGTTAGATTTAGCTCAGCTGTTTTTGAGATGTCTCCAGTTTCAGACTTAATTGCGGAGCGTACTGCTGTCTGCTCAGGTAGCACAACTCATTGTTAGAGCTTCGGTTAGTGGAAAGAAACACAAACTATCTCTAAACAGGGCACCTGATTGTCTTTGAATGCCCACATCAGTGTTGTTGGACTTAAAGACTGAAGTCCTGCCTCTTCCTGCACCATTGTCTCCACCCGTGTCAACATACAACATACAAAGGGTTCCTAGAAAAATTGTGTCTTTCTGTTCTCTTCTTCTTCAGGTTTTCCTCTAAGTTGAAATGAACTTAATTGTAATTGGATGTATAAATGTTTTCATCCTATGAAGTAGAAGTTAGCACCAAGTTGCTTTACAGGTTTTCTGTTTTTCATCCTCCCAGCGTTGACTCTGGTGTTATTCACTGCTTCCTGTAATTGACATGTGTTTGAAGTGCAGGAGTGGGTTAGTCTCATATTAGCTCCTCGGAGGAAGGCACTCAATTAGAAGTGGTGACGACCGCTTCAGGGGTAGATTCGTAGGGAGTGTAGTACGTCTGTTTGTCACTGACATGACGAATGCAGGATTCACGGCAGCAAAAACCTTTGTCATCATCCTACATATATGTGTCTTCAAAAAATAACAGGATACAAGTATCTGAAAAGCTAACGGCATAGCCCTCCTATGTAACTGATTAAATCATTTGCTGATTGGCTAAAAGTTAACATGAATTAGACAAAGAGAAGCAAACAAAAGGTGCATTTTGAATTGTTTCAATCCATTCAAAAACATATTTTCTTCATTTGTTTCGTCTCTGCTGAAGCAGGGAAAAGCTAATAACAGCACAAAACAGTCTCTGGCATTCATATAAAAAACAAAATGTTAATAAAACCATCAAAACATTGCCAGCTCCTCTGGCGTTGGTCGTGTTTTTGAGATGTGAACTACAAAATGTAGATAGAATGGATGCAAAACGATAAAAATAAGTCATGAGTTTTCCTTCTTTGAAACTGAACATAAACATTAAACACTGTCTACTAGCCTGTGCTTTGTTTTTATTTTTATGTTAGGTTTTCAAATGAATCATTACTCAAAATGGCCTTTTGTGAAGTTTGCTTAAAAGTTCACCACGTCTTTTATAATGTTCATTCTGTTCTCATTTTTGTTTTTACCTTAAAAGAAACCTTAGTGCTAGCATTTTTAGGATAGAAGAGTTTTTAAGTATTTTATTACAGTTTCCTTTTTTATTACTGAAATTACACTTATTTCAAACTGGAGCCATTGAGCTGCTTTATGTGTTTGTTTGTTTTTCTTTTTAATAATGCAAAACACTTTCATAAATGCTTGTTTTCCCTGATTTACATTTTAAAGATGTTGTTCAGAAGTTTGACTTTGTAACTCATCTCCAGCTCTGTGGAGGTGCAGGATTGTTGATATACTGTATTTAGCAGACCTCAGTTTGGCTCCTGTTCTCTGGCTACAGCTGCTCTTGTCTTTGGCTTACCTTCTCTCTGGTGTGTGTGTGTGTGTGTGTGTGTGTGTGTGTGTGGGCTTGTTTTTCCTACATTGTGGGGACAATTTTCCTGAAAAAGCAGCCTTGTGGAGACCAATGCCCGGTCCCCATGGGTCCAAATGCAAATTATGGGTGGGGGGTTAGGTTTAGGACCAAGGTGTGAATTGAGTTTAGGTTATTTTTAGGGTCAGGTAGGTACCTGTGAGGTTAATTTTAGGGTAAATGGTCAGGGTTAGGCTATAAAATTTGCAAAAAATGAATGGAAGTCAATGCACGGTCCCCATGGGGATATACAAACCAGACCCCTGGGTGTGTGCACTACTAAAAACACCATCACTTGACCAGAGAAGCAAAGGGTCATTGTTTTAAATGGACACAAACTAAACAAACTACATTATGAAGCACAAGTGAACAAAAAGAGAAGAGATAATATATTTCTTTTGTATTATTATTATTTTTTATTCATTTATTTATTTTTTTACATTAAACTCCTTCCTGTTCATGCATGACAGAAGCTGTTTTGGGAACGTCCCCTTCAGAACCGTGGAACATAATGGTTGACATAAGAACATAGATCAAGTTTCGTTTCATGTTTCAGTCCACAGACTGTGTTTCAGACAGCGTGTGTTAGCATGCAGGTACTAGAGACAGTGAGTTTCTCCATCAAACAGAAGCTTCAGCATCTTTAGCTTCTAGTTGTAGGTATATTTTTAAAAGTATCCAACAGACAGTGAGGTATTTTCTGTTTTATTGATGTCAGTGAGTCTGTTGGGGACAAATCAGAAGTAAAAAAAAACAACAACTCTGCATGTGTGAATGAAAATGAAGGTAGTTTGTTCTGAGAGAACGAGTGACCAAATCCATATTTGTTTTTTTCAAACCTTTTTCTCACTTTGTTTTGAATAGCCTGGCACTTTAGTCCCTCTGGGTGGGTTTCTGTTATTTAATTTTTTTTTTCCTTTGGTTCCAGACTGCCAAAGGCTACATCCTCCTGTTTGATGTACTTGGTGGAAGAGATGAAAAGTACCTCTATGAGCCTGTGTATCCAAAGTGAGTACAGCACACACACATTATTACACACTTACATAAAGTAAGCAGAAGATTTTATAGGGCAGGGATGTCAAACTCAGTTACACAAGGGTGGTAAAAATCTAAACGTGGTCCAAGCCTAGGAGCAATTTCTGCCAATACTTTTTGAAAAATGCGAAATAACAAATTATTCTCATCGAAATACAAATGACCTTTTCCAAATGATGTTTTGTGTAGCATTTAGAACATACATAACTTGACAGATAAAAAAACATTCATTATGATTTATTCCTTATCAAAAAAAAAATCATTTTTTTTATCTTTGATATACTTTTTATCATAATGCAGCAAATCAGGTAAAATAAAACCCTCACTAAAATCCAATTATTTGACTTTAAAATAATAAGTGAACACAGAAGTAGAGAGTTAAAGTTGATTCTCTGGCACTCTTTCCCCACCAAAATAAAAGACTACTGAAAAATTCTTAATGTTCTTTACAAGTTGGCCAGCTGTTATGAGAAGAAAGACGTAAATACAGACAAAAAAAAAAACCATGAAACTATTTCACATTTAAAGTATTACCTTTGGGGTTAGAAAAAAAATGTTAAAAAGAGCCAGATTTGGCCTGCAGGCATTCAGTTTGACACATGGCTTTCTGACAGCTGTTAGGTATAATAATTTCAAATCTTTATTGTTTTTTAAAGGGTTCAGTATAATAAAGGCAATTTTACACAAACATTATGAAAAAAGAATGTAGAAGACCAAAGCTTGAATAAAACATACATAAATAAAATGGTTAGATAGAAAATAGAAATAATCACCTCCCTTGCTTTTAAAACACTTGAGCAAAACGGAGAAAAATCATCTAACAATAAACAAAATTATATTAAGTCTGCATCAGATAGAAAATGTGTCTTAAAGGTCTTTCAATCCTCTTTACTTGGCAAAAGTTGTTTCCTTTTTTTTCCCCGTCTTGACCGATCTCATTTTATGCTCTCTTTGAAACGGTTATGTGGTTTTTATTTTTGATGTACCTTCCTGGAGGACATACCATGAGAAGCCGGGCAAGTCGGGGCGTATTCACGCTCCCGTATCAGCTCCACGAGTTGAACACGAGTTCATTTTCGGCGAAAAGGGGATTCTGGCATGAAAGAATTTCAGGAAGTCTCTACATGGGCGTGAGTGAAACTGCTTTCTGTTTACGTGGATGTGTGTGTGTTTGCACAGAGGGAGCCCTCGCGTGAAGGTGACCCCGGGTTATAAGGAGGAGCATTGCGCCCCCGCCCTCTCTTTGGAGATGAAGAAGCCCGTAGATCTGGAGACGCCGATCACCAGGTAGACGTGTCTTCACTCACTCTTTCTCCCGGCCCTGCATACTCACTAGCTCTGAGACATATTTAACTTTATTCATTTAGTTATTTTTGAAAAGTTATTAGCAGTTATTCACTTCTCACAGGAGGACTATTTTTGTGTATTAGCAGAAAACATTTGCCTCCACATAACAGCGTGAGAAAGTCTTCCTCCTCCTAACAGGGAGTCGTGAGGAAAAGCTGGTAATGCACTGAGAAACTCGGCTCAGCTTCTGTTATTGATAAGAACCGAGGCGTGCAGTGAAACACATCAAAGAGCAGAGTGATGGACAAATGATTAGAGATGGAAGGGATGAGTGACTCCTGAACTAACTCAAATGAGTCCTATCAAAATAAATATAACAAAACATTCAAACAAAATGCACATTTCTCTTACCAGATTATTTTCAGTTAATTTAGTTTATTGTTGGTAACATGTGGATTGCCTCTCATTCTACGTTCTTTTTTCTGAATGGGATGTTTGTCTTTAGTTTTATTTGTTTATTTGACTCGTTTTTTCATCTTTCTATTTAAAAAGATTGAAATTTCTGACAAAATAATCTGCGAAATTCAAATAAACAACCAGTTCAAAATGTATATATTAACTGCTACCATCAATGAAAGTATGCACAAATATTTAGAACATTTCTGTGAACCAGAACAAAACATACAGTAGATTATAGAGCAGTAGTTTTAGCTTCCAGCCCACAAAATAACCCTTGCAGAAACTTGACACCTCATATGTTACTGGTTTACATGTGCAAACTTTGCTAATAATTCTGTTAAATATGATAATAAGCAAACCTAATAACATTTGAATGAAGACCAGTGGCTTTTTGGGGAGAGCAATGGGCCCACTTAGGAGGCATCCGTTCATATGGATTTTATATCCATCCCCACTCACCATAACCATGAACCTAATAACTATTATACTACTTTTATTTATCTATTACTATTGTTTAATTTTTATTTTTTCCTTTTCTTGCAGTAAACGTAGGGAAAGTTCCATTAACAATTTATTTGCATTTAAACTGATGTCTGGAATTCATCTGGAGACCCTCACTTGATATTTCATGATGGGGTCCTGACCCCAGCTATCGGAACAACTGCTGTAAAGTAACACAAAGAGAAACAGTAGGCCCATTATTCCTCCTCATTGTAACTCCACAATCCCCTTTTCTGAGGTGTGTCTCAGATCAACTCATTTTGTCTCTTTAAATGCAAACAAGGCGCTTCACACCCGGCCTCCCTTCAGTGTCCAAACCCATCCTTTCTTGAAAGAGGAGTTTACAGTTATTTAGTTTCGCAGGAACTTTTTATTAACAAATTAATTAAAAGATGTCAACAAGGGAAGGCTTGTTCATCCTGCCTTACATGTAGGAGCCAGAGTCTGACCCAGAGCCAGGGAAGAAAGAATAAAGACTAAATTTAGCAAATTCTGTGACATAGTATTTCAGAAAACATCACAGAATATAGAAAAAAAAACTGAAAGTGTTAAAAAATATGAACCAAGCAGAATATAAAGATATCCTTGCAGCACCGGGAGAGATGAAATTCTAATTATTTGCACTTCCAGAGACTCCAAGTACACAACAAAATGTATTTTAACAGCGAGAAAAGTGGATTGAATTGTGCATATGTCCCCTTTTAAAAAGACTAAAATAGGATAATGAAAATGTGTTCTGCTTAAAGTAAATCACTATAAATTAAAGGAAAATGTCTAAGTGAATACAAAAGATTAATTTAATTGAAATTTAGCAAAAGATCTGGGTCCAAATATAGACTGAGGTCCACCATTTGGGTTTATCTACCCAATACGTGTCTAATTTTACGCTATTAACTTTTCTCATAAATGGGTTCTAACCAGGTTAATTTAACATAGAATAATGCTTCTTGCAGTTCTAAGTTTCTTTTGGGTTTTGCAGCTTTATCTCAGATTTTTGTATGTTTTATAGACTTAATGGCTTCATAGTTTCTGCAAAAAAAACTTGTCATAAATATATATTTATGAAATTCAAAATTGTGTCAGATAAAAACTTGTTTTCTTGTTCTCTCTTATTGTTTCCTTTTCTTCTTCCTTGACATTTTATGTCTCTGCTGATTGACAGTAGCTTTCAGATAAGCAGCTTTATTTGTGTCGGTCTTTTTTGTATTTTCTGTCTCTTTCATGTCCCTGCGCCCGCCTGCCAAAAATCTCCTCCACTTGACGAAGATTACAGGGCGGCCGTCTGAATGAGAGCACTGCGTTGGCATTTCACAGGCACAGCTTGATTGTACAGGAGCTGAGTGGGTGTCTCCTGCTGTGAAGCTGCTGTAAACGACTTCTCCTCCTCCTCCTCCTCCGCCGTCAGTCGGCGGCGCTTCGATTCGCGTCCTCTTTCCAACCGTCTTTGTTCGCCCTCGTCCCAGTTGTGCCCGCGTTAAAGCCTCGCGCTCAGTTTTCAAGACAACAAAAGTGCCTTACAGACACAAACACAGGCTTGTTTGTTCACTCAGAGACGCGTCTCTGGCAGCTACATCACAGCTGCTCACGTAAAACCGTCGAAGCACATCTGGACGATGAATAGTCGGCCCGTTTCGAAATGCTTTTACGGACCACTCTTTTATTATTGCTTTTGTGTAACAGACTCTGCTGCTGTTTTATCTCTGTGTTTTTTTCTTTCCCAACAGTCTGCAGTCCCTCCAGGAGGACCTGTTGGTTTGTACTGCAGACGGATATCTCCACGTGCTGCACTGGGACGGGCTCGGCAGCAATGGCCACAAGGCCATCTGCCTCACTACAATCCCCTTTTCATTAGACCTGCAGTCCGCTCGAGGTTAGAGGAAAAACATTGAAGAATTCACTGCAGCATTTCTGTGATATAAAAACAACTAATCATGCATTTAAACGTATTCTCTGTGTGTGTAAGGTGGTCCCTCTCTGGACCTGGAGGGGGTCTATATTCACTGCATGGAGTACTGCGTGACTCTGGACGGCTTCGCTGTAGTTCTCAGCGATGGACGCTTGGGTTTCATCACACCACTGAGTAATACCATCACAGCAGATGTAAGGATTCTCACAGACACAAGTCCTTTTTCACACAGAAATCGCATTAAAACGCCATAAAGACAACCCCCCATCTTTATCCCGTTGTCACTTGTCTTCCATCAACAAAGCATTACGTCATCCGAGCGCATGCTTTAAAACGACGTGTAACAACGTTGGTATTTGATACGACTTGGTAATCTGTTCCAGAACTTTCCTCGATGTGGATTCAGATGTGCAGCTTAACCCCTCTTCCCCCGTTTACTCTGTGTTTTGAAAACAAAACGGTCCTTTCACAGATTAGCAAAACTGTAAAGTAAGGGGAAAATATGGCAGTTTATTTGCCTGGAAGTAGCCTGACTTGACGTGCCAGTAACATGGAAAATACAAAAAGTCAATGAAAACATCTTTATATTAAGAAACTTGTCATAATACACACGTTTTTACCCATTTTGTTACATAACTGGCATCTTCTCTTTTAAATTTGGCTCAGACACAGTGAAACAGAAAGTGACATCAAAAGGGAACTTTTTAAGAAAAATAACTCCCTGGTCTTTGTTTATTAACAATATTATTTCACTCTTCATCTCTCTATTAGTGACTCTAAATAATCTAAAGAAACAACAGATTCGTGCAGACATTCTCCTTTGACATCACTTTGTTACTTCACATGTTCATCTCTGCAGCATGAATTTTTATTTTTTATTTTTTTGAATATGTTAGTTTTCCAAAAATGCATTCAAATGTATAAAAAAAATGATGGCTGCTGTATCAGAAATGTTTGATTTAATCACAGCAGCACCTGTCTTTGTACAGAAAGTAAACACATGAAGTTTCCATAACAAACAGCAATCCAAACTGGTGATGCAGCACGTTTAAAGTGAATATTCAGCATAAATAGGGGCATGACAAGAATTTCTCCCATTTTTTTATATTAAATATGGCTTACATCAGTGTTTTCAGCTATTGGTTTTCTTGGCAGAATGTTGCCATTGGATAGATGTTTTTACATCCATAAAAGGATAAGAGCAGTTTTATCGTCACCTTATTGGCTAGAAGTGATGTTTATGAAACAGGACGGCAGGTGCAGAGGTTGCTGAGAATTTATTTATATGCACATCCACATATTTAATGTCCGAAAACCTTGACTAAGCTGTGAAGGTAACGCGAGGTGCTGTGTTCACTTGCTCTGTGTGTGTTTGCAGCAGCTGCAGGGAGTCTGGGCTGCAGACGTGTCAGACGGCACCTGTGTGGCTGTCAACAACAAGTACAGACTGATGGCTTTTGGCTGCTCCAGGTCTGTGTGCATCTCTCTCTCCCTCTGTGTGTATTTGCATCCCAGTGCCGGCTGTGGTTAGTTGCGTTTGTGTGTTGCAGTGAGCTGGTTGTCCTTGTGGTGTGTGTCCTCTGTGAGAATGTGTCGGTTTGTGTTTGCAGAAGCCACCTAGTGTGTGCTTGTCAGGATCTCCTCCTTGGATTACGAAGTCTGCCAGGTTGGCAGGAATGTCTCTCCTCGCTGCTTCCTACTCGTTCATCTTTTTTTTAAATAGTTTTTCGTTTTTTTCTTAACTGGCACATAAAATGTTTTACATTTTTCTTTGCATAATTATAGCTGAGAAATCTGGCTCCTTTTAAACTATGAAACATTTTTTGCATTACAAGGAGGAGTATCAGCGAGGAGAGTCGTTCTGTTTACCCTGTGTTCATGTTCAAAATCATTAATTGTCATTCCAGTGGCTCGGTGCTGGTGTACATGATCGACACCACGACAGGATCCATGCAGCTCTCCCACAGGCTGGAGCTCACGCCAAAACACTACCCAGGTATCACTCCCATCACTCTTTCTCTTGTTTTTAGTTTCCTACAGTTCTCATCTGGGCTTCACTGCACCGTTTCCTGTTTAGTCCTTCTTGATAACCTACATTCTTTCAGCTGTTTCTCTCTTGGGTCACACATGTTTATGTTTTGTCTGCTTTAGTCAGGAGTGAAGGTGGGACACCCCCTTTTGGTCAAACAGTGCAATGATAAATAGATCAAATAAAGAATAATATTAAAATATTATAAAAAAAAGGGAAGATATACAAATACATGTACATTTTCATACACATTGCATGTGTGCATACATGTAACATTAGATAGAAAGAGGTGATTTCAAATTATACAGCCTTACCAACTAGATTATTTTCCACTTTAAGAAAATAAAAGACCTCTCTAATCCAGCTTGTGTCTGTAGGTGGAGCTGCAGATTTCCAGTTTTGCAGGATTAGCCTCCTGGCCAGCAGAGTTGGGAATGCTGTTAAGTACTTTTAGCAAGAGGGAGAGCAAGGAAAATAGGCCACACCCCCAAAATTAAGACACTGGAAGCGATAGTTCCATTAGATAACTAATAACTCCTTTTTTTTGCACAACCTTTAAAACCTAAACCTGATGCATCCTCCTTTTTGCACCTGTGTGTGAAAGTATGGCGGCAGAGCAAGACGGAGCAGATCTGATGCTGATCTGCCTCTGAGCCGGCTGAGGTATTCAGGAGAGACAAATACGTAAATGTGTAGAAAGAGTCGGCATTTGTAGCACCCCCCTGTGCTCTGACTGTGTGTGTTCCAGGTTTTGGTTATGTTTTTAGGACTGTTTCTGGTTTAAACACCTACCTTGTTAGGGAAAAGGAGTTCTTTTGGCTATCATAGAGCGGTTCTAGTATGGTGAAACTCCAGTTTTGGACGATGGTGGGAATTGTAGTTGGGTTATGTTTAGGGTAACGTTCAGGATTAGGCTACAGAAATGAATGGAAGTTGAACGGTCCTAATTAGTATACATAGTTGTGTGTGTGTATGTGCACTGACACAGTTTGGACTGTGTGTCTGGACTGTATGAATCATCGAAGGGGAACAGCAACGGCTTAATGAGGGCATCATTATTTTTTTCCTGTTGATGAGGTGCAACCGGTGTGTGAGAAGGGTTTATGATGATGATGATGATGAATTATGGCCTAAAAACACACGTTCATCTCAAAGTATTTGGTTAGATGTAACACAAACACACACACTCAAAGAATACAAAATATATATATTTTATATATTTTTCTTTTCACATACAATAAATTAAAAACACTACAGGTCTGATTATCTCAGGTTTTTCTGCCTTATGGTCCAAAAAGAATCGGGTAACAATATTGCTCAATAACCAAGATGTTCACACATTCACTGAGTTCTTATTGTTTTGTATTTCATTGAATGTGAATTTTTTTACTCACTGAATGAATGAATTTATCATCACTAATATGCACCTTCATATACATTTATTGTGTGTTTTATTTCATTACAGTGTTTTTTATTTATCTTTCTTTATTCTATCTCACCCTCTCCAATATTGAGCTGCAGTAATGTGCAAATTTCCCCACTGTGGGATCAATAAAGTTTTATCTTATCTTATCTTATCTTATCTTATCTTATCTTATCTTATCTTATCTTATCTTATCTTATGATTGTCTGATGATGACAAACGCTAAAAATAAAATACAATAAAACAAATGAAAATACTGAATTCCATTTAGCTGAATAATTTAGAGATGTTTTGCAGAAAAGTGACAACTTTCTCTGAAATCTTTGCTCTTAGACATCTACAACAAGACGGGCCCTGTGAAGCTAATCCGCTGGTCACCTGACTACAGCGTCATCATGGTCACCTGGGAGTGTGGCGGCCTCTCGCTGTGGAGCGTCTTCGGAGCACATCTCATCTGCACTCTGGGAGAGGACTTTGCGTAAGCGGACACAGATTTGAACGCCTCACAAATCATTTATCACGCCTCGCTCTTGCCAGGGCAAAAATTTTATTCTTGGTGACGTTTTATTATTTTTTTTAATATTTCATGACTGTTTGAATCTTTGTATTTTGTGTTGGCTCCCCTCAGGTATCAATCGGATGGTACGAAGAAAGATCCACTTAAAATCAGCTCTATGGTACGTGAAATCATACAGTCCTAATATTTTTACATTAACTATGGTATTAATGGGAAATAAAACAAACACAGTTAAAACACTTATTTTATTAAAATAACTATTAACACATCAATAGATCTTGTTTCATCTTAAAGGAAGCAGATACTGTGTTTATTCATGTATAATGCGCTTCAATTTTAATGCAAACTTTTTTTTCTTAAAAAGCATAAAAATGTAATCTTATATAATAACTTTAATTTTATACAGATTTCAGGATGTTTCTTCTTTTGCAGTTAACCCTCTCTGGTGGGGAAATGGATTACTTGGGAACACACACTTATTACTACATAAAATGTAGTTTTTCCTTCTTAGTCTTTGATATCTTGGAGTCTATTTTTGTGTGGAACTAAATATTAAAAGGGATATTTACAAGTTAGTGCTACATGTTTGTTAAAAATTCAACGTAAAATGGAAAAAAACATCAGCAATGCTCTCATAAATCTAGACAGAAATTCACTGAGATTTTCTTTGGCATAAATAATAAATTTATGAAAGTTTTCCTTCGTTTAATAGGAATAATCAGGAGCATTTTGTGTAGCGTTACTTCTTATCAATAAATATAAAACTCCCTGTACATTTCAGGTTGTATTACTTACTGTAAGCGCACATGACCAAACAAAAAAACAGCCAAATGCTTATTTATTTAGGTAAAAATTAATTATTAATTATATCAATCAGTATCAGTTATATCAATTATTAATTGTTACTCCTTACTGTGCGAGCCTCCGGTAGAGCAGAAGGTTTTTTGAATTGGCAAAATGGATTTATGAGCATGCGAACGTGTAGCTAACATCCATGTTTTCTTTTTATCTCTGCAGATAACAAGACAAAAAAAAACCAAGTGGGAAAAAAAACAATTAATGTTATTGTTTATTAGGGGGGATCTTTTACTATCTCACAGTTTGGTTTGATTCTAATTTTTGGGGCCACGATTCAATTCAAAATCAATTTTTCATTCAAAGCTGATAATGTGAGCCCGTTTGTCGTGTTCTTAAAGTGCTTCGTCTTCATTTTGCAAACGTTGCACACGGCGCTGATGTCAAAATCAGACTCATTCAGTAAAAAATCAAAATGAGCCCAAATCTTTGCCTTCATTGAAGACAGTTTTGTAGTTTTTATGCACATTCATCTGTTCCAGAAGCAGCTGCGTGATGACGTCAGGACATCCCATGTAGTTACAAAATGGAGGCTGACGGCCATTGGATTTGCTTTATTTTTTATTTATAAAAATCGATTTTGGGATATTTTAAATTGATTCTGAATCTTTGCAAATGAGAATCACAATTCTGATGTAAAAGGATTTCTTGGTGCACCCCTATTTTTTATATTCTTGGCTCTGTGCGATGTATTCTAGAGGGAGAAATTATAATTTATCTCCTGCACCACAATATTTTAGTTAAATATGAGAAAAATGTAATTTATTTCATCAATACATTAGAAATAATTTGATCAAAATTTACTCCCATGTATAATTCGACCCTCAACCCCCACTTTATGGATGTTTTTTGCGGTATACATAAACACAGTATGTGTATTTTTGTTACCTTTGTGCTGACTCACACTGGCTCTCTGCTGCTCTCCAGAGCTGGGGGGCCGAGGGCTATCATCTGTGGGTGCTCCCTCACAGACAGGAGAGGCGGATACAGGAGGAGCAGCAGGACGAGGAGATGATTTCGCCTCCCCACGCCTCTCTGCAGGCGGGCATACTGCAGTTCCACTTCATTAAGAGCGCCCTCACAGTCAACCCTTGCACGGTGAGGAGAAACAGCGCAGACGTCTCCGACCTGTCCGTACGCACAAACACGTCGACATAAAATGAAAGTGTAACTATTTCCGCTCCTCTCCTCTCCTCCAGAGCAACCAGGAGCAGGTGTTGCTCCACGGCGAGGACCGCCTCTACCTGACCTGCGGCGATCCCACGCAGATGCACGGCACCTCCGACACGCGCGCACACTTGCACCCTCGCGACGGCAGCCCGCTGCATCCACCCCACCGCCCCGACTCCCCCCTCTCTCAGGGACCCAGCACTTTACTGGGACACAAGCATTGGCAGGTGGTCCAGGTAGGGGCGTGTCCACGTCACACCCAGTGGAGACGAGCGAGTGGAAATAATTCTCGCTTTAATTCACGGACTTCTTGTGTTTCCTCTGCAGATTCACAGCACATACCTTGAGAGCAACTGGCCTATACGGGTAAGGACAGACATGATAATATATTATATCTTATGTGTGCTGTTGATTTTCAGTTTTAGCTTCGTGTCGATGTTACCACCACTATTCTTCCCTGTAGGTTTTGTCGGTGATTACGGTAAATCTTTAAAACGTTTCGAAGAATGTGCTCAGATTGTTGTCACACGATGAGAACCTCAAACAAGCCGTTCGTTTTTGTCTCACTAGAGAAACAGTCTCTTGTAGCGGCATCATTGTTTTGTCACGTTATTGAGAATCATTACTGTGGTTCATCTTAATGGCCTTGGTAAATCTTTATTAGCTTTCAAACAACAAAGTAATCAAAATTTAAAAATAAAAGCAAAAAAATAAAATAAAACAGCTGAAACTTTTTAGCACAAATACATAAATTACTCTTTACTCTGAAATTACTTTATAATTTCTTCCATTAAAAAGGGAGTGTGCAGTATGATGGTATTGCGGTGTACCTCGTTATTGAAATGGTGATGATATTTAAAAATTATGATGGCATTAATCACGTGAGGTGATGCGCCAAATTTCCACAAGGCTGCTATGAAAACTGGGACATAAAACATTCAGTGAAGCCATAAAAGAGCAGTGGGTTTTACAGATCATCAGTCCTGTTTGTCCAGCACCATCTTCACTGCCCTCTCTGGCTCTAGAATGTCGAGCTGTATATGTGTCCTTTCCTGCCCACAGCCATCACCATCTACAATAACTCTTTAGTTAAATGAGTTACAACATCTAATTTCTGGGATCAATAAAGTATTTTTGAATTTGAATTTATAATATAATCACTAGCTGCTGTTTCTCTGTTAATTATTAATTACTCAACACACCACAGACCATACGCCCCCCGTGCTCCGCCCCTTTCTGCCCTGCCTTGGTAAAACCGTATACTTCGGTGTTATCTAAAGATGTCAGTAAGAAAAAGATCAATACCACCCAAACCCCAGTGTGTAAGTTTTAGTTATTTCTTTATTCTAACACTTTCTAATTAGTTTTCATTTCTTACTGCAAGCCCATTTTTTACAGCTAGTGTTTGTAAAAGTATTTTTTAATCGTATTTGAGTGCATTAAATCTACATTACTTTACATTTTATTATTTGTCACTCTGATACTTTGCTGTGACTTTAAATACAATGGGTTGTTTGTGTCATTTAAGGAATATGTTTATTTGGCTGAGATCATGTTTGCTGAGTCAGCACAAGCATTGGTGTTCAAGTGTTTGTTCGTGTGCAGAATTGAAGGTGTCGTCAGAGCTTCCCCTTTGTTTTGTTGATACAGCACTGTGCAAACCTGAGAATGTGACATAATGCAAGTAGCCGTCATAAAATACCTGTAAAACAATCAAAGCATGAGTTTCCATGTCATTGATACAACACCTATTGTTTGCCTTGTGTGTGTGTGCAGTTTGCAGCCATAGACTCTGCAGGCCAGTGCATGGCTGTGGCGGGAAGGCGGGGCTTTGCACACTACTCATTATTCACAAGGAAGTGGAAGCTGTTCGGAAACATCACTCAGGTGCGCTGACGCTGTGAACTGAAAATATGAAGGGTTTTCTAAATGGCTTTAATGTTTTCATCAAATATTTAGAAATTAAAACTTCTATTGGACAACTCATTACTGTTTGGCTGAATGTTCTTGATACGTCTTTCAATCTATACTGAATATGTCCAAACTCTTTAAACACTATAATTGTTGCTGTTTTCATTAAAACTAAAATAACGGAGAATGTTTTGTTGTAGGAACAGAACATGACAGTGACGGGAGGTCTCGCCTGGTGGAATGACTTTGTTGTGGTGGCATGCTATAATTTTATAGACCAGCAGGAGCAGGTGGGGAGGGATACAGCCTTTATCTCATCACTTCTATATGATTACATGTTTATATCATTATAAGTCTGTTTTCTGACTGCCGGCTCTAGCTGAGGCTCTATCAACGCTCATCCAACCTGGATAACGCCTTTGCCTCGGTCACCAAGCTGCACTCTGACACCCTGCTGCTCAACGTCTTCAAAGACATGATCATCCTGTTCCGAGCCGACTGCGCCATCTGCCTGTACAGTATAGAGAGGAGGAATGATGGGTGGGTTGTTTTTTTTATGTAAAACACATGATTTAACTTGTAAACACTATCAGTTTTAGAGAAATCAAACTTCTTCCCAAATAAAATAATAATAATAATTATATGGGATTTCACCTCTTCATATTGCAGTCCCTCAAAAAAAAAGTTAATTCTTTTAAAATCTGATGATATTCTTTTGTAAATTGACACTTTATAGCATTGGTAAAATACTTTGTATCAATGCTTGTAAGTAAAAGAAATTTTATTGTGTTTTCCTTCCATAAAAGAAGCTAAAGTAAAAGCATTTAAATAAACAAAACATGGCTTTTTCATTAAACTAGCTTTTACTTTAGCTTTTGTCTCCCCCCTCTGGTAAGTAGAGGAATTACACAAATAGAAAGTATGAAATGGCTAAAATTCATTTTTACAAAATCAAAAACATCTTTATGGTGATTTTATTTTTATTTTTTTTTTTTTACCAAAAACTCATTTGTTTGTTTCATTAGCAGCATTCCTCTTCAATTATGCTGCTGCTTGTCAAGTTTACTTCCAGAGAGCCTAACTCTAGAATTACTGTTGCTTTTTTTTTTTATCATATGCAGGTTAACACAAGTCAACACTGCAATGAAATGCTTAGGATGAGAAGAACCGTTAAACTCACTATAAAACAAGAAGTACTCATGGCATGTGTGGCAACTTGGAGAGTTTTAGAGAATATTTTAAAGTGCGACAACATCACCTGGGACTTTCAGCCCAAGAATAAAACTCACACACTTAGGCTCGTTCTACAAATTATATGAGATGGTGTTCCAAAGTTAAAATATAAATTTATTAAAATTTTACTAAAAGAAATTACATTTGAGGCAAGTTAAATAATAAAATTAACACTGAAAACTTCCAGCCAATTGACCTGCTCATTAAACTTGTTATAGGTAATACCCATTCTGCTACACATGCAATAGAAGTACAGAATAAAAATTTAAATATAGTATTTACAAAGTACAAAGGAAATATGGTAAGAAATATAGTAAATATAACTGTGCATGCATTCGCAGGTGATAATACTGCTTAACGCAGCTTAAATATCAGCAACTTTATTCCTGACCTGTCGGGTGTGTTCCTTGGTCTTCATGATGCTATTTGATCATTCTGAGGCGTTCACAAGACAGCTAGATTAATAAAATTTTGCACATGTGGACTCTTATTTACAAATGAGGTGACTTCTGAACACTATTGGTTGCTTAAAGGAGCTGAATACAAATGCACACCTCACCTTTCAGTAAAAAGAAAAAAAATGTAGGAATAAAGTGCCGTTTTATGTTGATTTATCACATAAAATCCTAGTAAAATATTTAGAGGTTTGTGGAAAAGTTCCAGGATGTTTTACATCCACACTGATCATGGCGTCTCTTTATTCCCCCTCATTAAACTGATGATTCTGACTAATGACCTGTGTATTCCTGCTCATCTTTTTAGCCCAAACCCATCAGCTAATGTGGAGCTGCTGCAGGAGGTGTCGATGTCGCGCTACATCCCTCACCCCGGTCTCGTGGTCTCCGTCACGCTCACGTCTGTGCGCACAGAGACCGGCATCACTTTGAAAGCCCCGCAGCAGGTAGCATCAGCGCACACAAACCTTGTGCTCACTGAGAGGAAACCCAGAAGTGCATTAATCTGTGCATGTCTTTCCATCAGGCCTGCACGGCAGAGAGCATCATGCTGAATCTGGCTGGCCAGTTAATCATGCTGCAGAGGGACCGGTCAGGACCGCAGGTACGAGAGAAGGAGACGCCTGTCGTCAACAAGAAACTGGTGAGTCCAGACTCCTCTCAGATGGGTTCAGTTTGGTCTGAAACTGTTGTGGGCACGGTTCCACTCATCTGCTAACACGCTTACAGTGGAACAAAGATTTTAATGAGCAGGTTAGCATTAATTTTATGTTTTAACAAACTTTACTCCTGCTATATTCTTGTTAATTTCCCTACCGCTATGAATCAAAATTCACGTCACCACATTCTTACTAAATTAAAAATTTCCTTTTACATTCATGAGTGACATGCTTAAAAAAACAAAGCATTCACAGGTCAGAGTCACTCAACCCAAGGATGGTTATTTCCACCTATGAAGTCTCCTCTAATGTTAGACCAGATCTTCTGACTCACAGTTTTGGTTTTCAGTTTTCCCAGCATCCTTTGCAGCAGGGACGTCATTCAGCCACAGACAGCATTTTCTAAGTTTGTTGCAAAATTTTAAAAACGTGAAATGAAGACACATCTTTGAGATAATCTGGGTCTTACAAATATTTGTTTTTTAGTATTAATAATATTTGAAATCATGTTTCATCTAATTTAGTTGTTTTTTTTATTTAAAGACTAATTTGTCACTTCCTGTTTTTTTCCCTCCCTGTCTACTTTTCTGGTTTCACTCCTAATTTACACTACATGCGGTCCGGCTCCGCTCCGCTGCAGCCCGACCTCCGCAGCAAATACACAACCATTCTAATCAATGAGAGTGTTTACACTGGCTCCGCACGGCTGCGCAGGGCGGTGGTGAGCGGACGGCGATCTGGCAAAATTAGAACCGATCCTATTTTTGCTGGACGCCGGAGCTGCTCTGGAGTCAGTCTACAATGATCACATAGCACCAACAGGAAAACGAACAAGCACAACATCCGTATTTTCAGAATAAGACACCATAAGGTGGAATAATTTGTCGGAATAATGTCAGAATCCCAGCTATATTAATCAACATGTGGATATATTTCTACACAAATGCTGTCAGAATGTATTGTTCTATTTGGGAAGCAGGTGGCAACATGTAGATGAAGCTTATGGGTACACACACGATACACGTGGATTTTATTTTGAAATCAGAAGTTTCAAAAAGATGACAGAAATACAGTTTCAACCATAGATATCAAAAGCTTTTATATCCATGTTTTCAGCTGTGTTTCTAATAAATCACTTTCCCTTTCAGCTACCCTTCTGTCCTCCAGTCGTGCTGGCCCAGTGTGTAGAGAACGTGTGGACCACCTGTCGCTCAAACAAGAAGAAGCGTCACTTGCTGGAAGCCCTGTGGCTGTCCTGTGGAGAAGCAGGAATGAAAGTATGGCTTCCTCTTTTCCCCCGAGACCACCGGAAGCCCCACTCCTTCCTTTCCAGGCGCATAATGCTGCCCTTCCACATCAACATCTACCCTCTGGCTGTGCTGTTTGAGGACGCCCTGGTGCTCGGAGCGACCAACGAGACCGTGCTCTACGATGGGCTGCAGGGGTCCTCCGAGCCACTGGAGGCACTGTTCCCCTACTGCACCGTCGAGAGGACCTCCCAGATCTACCTCCACCACATCCTGAGGCAGCTGCTGGTTCGCAACCTGGGCGAGCAGGTATGCGGGGCTTCACGTCAGCAAAAGAGGGAGTTTCTGAGAGGAGAACAAAAATTCTTTCCTCACAATAATGTTTCTCGTCACAGGCTTTAATGCTGGCTCAGTCGTGTGCCTCCCTGCCCTACTTCCCCCACGTCTTGGAGTTGATGGTTCATGTGGTACTGGAAGAAGAAGCGACATCCCGGGAACCAATACCCGACCCCCTGCTTCCCACCGTGGCCAAGTTCATCACAGAGTTCCCCCTCTTCCTCCAGACCATCGTTCACTGTGCCAGAAAAACGGAGTACGCCCTGTGGAACTACCTGTTTGCAGCTGTGGGAAACCCCAAGGATTTGTTTGAGGAGTGCCTCATGGCTCAAGACCTGGACACAGCAGCCTCCTATTTGATCATACTACAGGTAGCACATTTTTATTACTAGAATTCATAGACATATCATGCAAAATCCACATTTTTAGCAATTAAATGCATTTAGTTGTGTACTTGGAGTCTCTGGGAGTGCAGAAATTTTTAATTTTGTCTCCTATATGTCTCATTTTAAATGCATAACATTTTATTTAGGCACTTAGTTTCACTTCAACACAACTCTACATTACCGTATACTCTGAACATTTAAACATCGTTTTCCCTTCCCTGTTTTTGAATTTTCAGTTCAATATTTCTGATCTAACCCTTTTTGTTACACCTGCCTGCGTGCTCTCTTTAAGAACATGGAGGTTCCGGCGGTGAGCCGACAGCACGCCACTCTCCTCTTCAACACGGCGCTCGAGCAGGGAAAGTGGGACCTTTGTCGACACATGATCCGATTCCTCAAAGCCATCGGCTCAGGGGAGATGGAGTCGCCGCCCACCACGCCATCCACTCAGGTAAACACCTTCAAAAATGTGACCCATCACATCAAAACGAGGATGAAGTCCAAAAGTAAAATGTGGAGAAATACGCAGATAAAGGGTTTTGATTTAAACGTGTGCAAAAATTCCATAATGAATTAATGGCTTTTCAATTAATCAATTGAATGAACTGTCTGAAATATAATCCTAAAAAAATTTTTTTGAAGTTTTTTTTTTTTTTGAGCAGTAGCAACAAAAACCTGATTTTGACGAAAAACGCCTTAAAATTTTGAATTTTTCCCTGTGAGCTAGCAATGTGTTTGTTTCTTTCCAACTGGGAAATCTTAATATACCATTTGAGGTTTCCTCTTTATATTGACAACAAAAATAATTCAATAAATTTACATAAAATTAGGATTCAGACCAAATGGTAATGTGTTCTCATAACCAACAAGACAAATTAAGTCATTTCTCTGGATAAGCTTATAATATCAGAATGATCCAGGTATCAAAATGTAGCTTTTAAAGCAGGAATCTGAAAATGTAATGAGGTCATTTTGACCAAATTTGACTTTATCTTCATTTTGATATGATGGGTCACAAATATTCAGTTCAAACTTATTTATTGTATTTTCCATACTGGTTCAATTAAACTGCTTGTGGATGAGCTGTTTTCTGTATATGTGACAATAAAATCTATAGGAAGAACTGTTATCTCTCTTTAGGAACCCAGCTCCACCGGAGGCTTTGAATTCTTTAGAAACCGCAGCATCAGCTTGTCTCAGTCAGCAGACTCCATCACCACAGGAAAGTTCAACCTGCAGAAGACCTTCAGCATGCCCACTGGAGCGTCCGCTAAAGGGTACGACCAACCAGCCGACACGTCATTTGTCAGACGCTAAGCTAACATTAGCATCCAGCCATTGCGTCATGTTCTCTCTTTCCTTCCAGTCGGGACGGGGAGTGTGCAGAGAACATGTACATCGACATGATGCTCTGGCGCCACGCCCGCCACCTCCTGGAGCAGGTGCGCCTTCGCGACCTGGGCTGCTTCTCCGCTCAGCTGGGCTTCGAGCTCATCGGCTGGCTGTGCCGCGAGCGAAACCGCGTGGCTCGGGTGGATGATTTTGTGTCGGCCTTGAAGAAACTCCACAAGGATTTTCTCTGGCCGTTTCCCGTAATACCTGCGGGAAGCCTCAGCTCACCACTGAAGAACCGAGGCTGCCGCCCAGGTGAGCGCAGTACTGTTGAATTAGAGTTATGTGATTGGAGGTTAATGCATAAGATTAAGTCCTTGTTCTGTTAAATAAATATAGTTTGACTAATTTTGTTTGTGTTTGCAGTTTTGAGCACACAGCTGCTGAAGTCTCAGTCTGCAGACAGTCTGCTGAACACGTTATTCATGGACACGGTGCCGCCTTCAGCCACCCCCACCAACAACACCTGGATGGACGGACTCGGACAGAGGACCAAAGACATGGACATGGCCTCATCTGTCCACTCCAGCCAGCACTCACCACAGACTCAAGACGCCTTCCTGTCACTGCTCACTAACAAGGGTAACGATACCTAGCCCACCTGCTGAGAAGCGGCTCTTCAGTCACTAAGTAGGGCTTTCCTGTTTGTGGGAGGAATTTGTCCAAGACCTGATTGGTCTGTTTGACGTTTGTGGGCGTAGTTTGTTAAAGCAACTGGGATTAGCTTGGTTGAAATGGCCAGGAAGCACATGAATATTTAAAAAAAATAAATATTAATTTTAGTCATAACTCAAGACAGGAAGGTGCTAGCTGCACGAAATTTGAAGTCAATAAATTATGTTTATTGTCCACAGGTTCACAATAAATTTAACTATTACCATTACTTCATCTTTTAAGCTGCCCTAAAGGACGTCAGTCCGACCAATCACGGTTTTGCCAAGCTCCTCCCACACCCAACCTCCATTATTCTTATTATTATTACTATTATCCAAACTCGATCAATCACGTTTAGGACAAACTCCGCCCACACTCCAAATTCTTCAATCATGTTTAGGACAAACTCCGCCCACATCAAGAACTCTGCCAATCACGTTTAGGACAAACTCCGCCCACATCAAGAACTCTGCCAATCACGTTTAGGACAAACTCCGCCCACATCAAGAACTCTGCCAATCACATTTAGGACAAACTCCGCCCACACATGAAGAAATTCCCCCTATGTGCTGCAGGGACCCATACTTCAACATGCCTGCTAAAATAAATAATAAAAAACAATCAGTATTTAATGAAAGCAATATAGTCTCATCAGACTGAGACTTCTTTTAGACACTGATTTATAACACTGAATTTTTATCTTTTTCTGTTATGTATGTGATTTTTTTTTTTACTTTAAATTCGCCAGCAAAACATTTCACCCACAACATAATTCTCATTTGGTAACGTCACACACCAGTACATTGTGCAGAGCTCATATTTAGTGTGGTGAAGCTGATTTTATGTTAAAATATCTTGCTAAATTAAGCAGGGGAGGCACACTAGCTATCATCAGGTCAGTCACACGTCTCATCCAGTTCAACTGGATGAAAAAAAAACTTGATTGTCTCTCAGTTAATATGTGGTGTTTTGTAAAATTCTCTGCTGAACAGACAAACCTCCTCACTCATCTTCATCCAGCCACTAAGCAGCTAAATGTTAAGAGAGTCACCTCTGCTGGAGAATTTGAAGTTAAAAGATTGATTTTTTTTTTTTTGACATACATAATTTCAAAGAACAAAAATGTAGTGTTATAAATTCAATGTCTAAATAAAGCCTGATACTGATGAGATTATATTGCCTCCATCCATCCATCCATCCATTTTCTTCCGCCTATCCGGGGTCGGGTCGTAGGGGCAGCAGCTTCAGAAGGGAGGCCCAGACCTCCCTCTCCCCAGCCACTTCTTCCAGCTCCTCCAGGGGAACTCCAAGGCGTTCCCAGGCCAGCCGAGAGACATAGTCCCTCCAGCGTGTCCTGGGTCTTCCTCGGGGCCTCCTCCCGGCTCCTCCTTGCCTCTATTGTATTTTTATTAACACCAATTTCTCTTCTCTAGTTGAGGAGTACAGCATCGGATCGGCCACAGACCTGACAGAAACCAGCTCGGTGGTGGACGGTGATTGGACGATGGTGGATGAGAACGTCACCCTGAGCCTGACTCAGGCTGAGCTGGAGCACATCTCCATGGAACTGGCCAACAAAGGCCCTCACAAGTCTCAGGTGCAGCTCAGGTGAGATGGGCTCTTTTTATTATTGGACTGTCTTTGGTGTAAAAGCACAGCTGATTATTGACGTCTGGTTTTTTTTTTTCCCCCTTCAGGTATCTCCTTCACGTGTTCATGGAGGCAGGCTGTTTGGAGTGGTGCGTGGTGATCGGTTTGATCCTGCGGGATGCCGGCGTCATCAAGCAGATGATCAGCTTCCTGGACAACCCCGAGGTTCCGGCAGAAACCGTGCAGAGCGTCCGGAGCGGCCTGCTGGCTGTGGACGCCTGGGCCTCGGCAGACTGGTGGGTCTAACGAACATCTTACCTGACGCTCATGCTTCAGCCTCTGTCTCAAGCTCTCCTCTCTCCTCGCTCTGCAGCTTGGGATACAAACCGTTCCTGAGCCTGATCCAGCCGCAGCTGCAGCAGTTGATGGAGTCCACGTCCGAGCAGGTGCAGCCCGAAGCGTTCCAACCCGCCGGACAGACCTCCAAGCTCAGCGCCTCCGAGGGGCCGGGAGGAGCCGCGGCCCCTCGGGTCGAAGACGGCAGGGGAGCGGCCGCCCCTCTGGGCATGGCCCTGCCCTCACTTGAACCTGCGGGCGGTTCTCCCCGTCCCCCTTCTGAAGACTCCCCTCCTGAACAAACCGAGGAGCAGACAGAGGAGGAGGGAGCCTACGACTGCACCTTGTCCTGAACACCGGGGGGCCTTTCCCGCACTTCAACCTGGGACCGATCTGACGAATCAGCAGCAGTGACTGACTGAAAATAGACTTTGTGTGTTTATATGTAGACGGTACCTGTCATCGTACGTCCTTCAGTCAGTATTATCCAACCTGCAGTAGAGCTCCGGTTCAGACGGTTAGGTTTCAGTCTCCTCACGTCGCACCAAAATGTACTGTTAGGGCAAAAAAAGGGTCAGTTTTTTTACTCTTTGAGATGTTTGCAAGCTGCAGAGCGGCATGTTTTTTTTTTTAATATTCATGTCCAGACAAAAGGTAAAGAGCGAGAGAGTCGGTTCAAAGAGTCTGTTTGATCGTGACGCTACGTCGAGTAGCGCCTCGTTAAACAAAGCTTCAGGCGCCGGTCGTTTACAGGAGGCGCCGGAGCGCGTCTGAGCCAGCAGCGGGAGGGCGTTTCATACTTTCATACCTCATGGTTTTAATATGTTTTGATACCTTTTTCAATAAAGTAACGGGGACAAATGAGCTTATTTTTCTACCAACTCTTGAATTTCCCTGTGAAGAGAAAAAGAAAAAAAAACCACACACACGTTGTGAACTCTGTGATTCTTGACAAGTCGTCTGACATTAATGTTGCGAGCGCAATTTCCTACGGCTGATCAGTACGGTTTCTTATTATCTCGTTTAAATGGCTCCAACAAGCAGAATGAGATCAGTGTTGACCCATTTAAGACCTAAAATGCTACAAAAACCAAACCATAAGACACTTTATCCAGCTTTTAAATACACAGTTCGACTGTGACTCCATGTGTTACCTAAGCCACTCTCACTGTTGGACCTTAATTCCCTTGTGAGCAGTGTTAAAATAAGAGTGAGGCATCCTTTTTAAATTAACTTCTAATTGATCCACTCCCTCAAATCTCAAACTGATTTTCTGAGTTCGTGTGATTTTCTTAATGCTTGTGCCACGTTGTATTCATAAAGTATTAACACGGAGTCTTTGATCACTCGGAGCTGATTTTATTGTATTAGTCCTCATTATTGTTGTTATTTATTGGCATCGTAGCTGATTTGGAGCGTGGAGATTTAGTTTTTATTTAAATGGCTGAGAGCCTGCTTCCACTCGGAGTCACCGGAGTACAATCACTACAGGTTCGCCAGACGTGTCAGTATTATTTTGTGCAATGCGTTGAAAATGTTACTCGAGCTTTGTGTTTTTATGTTCGCCACTTTTCTCGCCGGTTTCTCGTCGTTCTAGACCAAAACGTGTTGTATAGGTTTGTGTCGAATAAGCTCTTTATGAATGATTTGTTTCGTAGTTTTCTGTCGTTTTAAAGTACCCACCTTCTGTCCTTGTGTGATGTAAATTCTCCGTCTCCACTCTGAACAAAAAACAAAAACATGCAGACACACACACACACACACACGCACCACGCTGCTCGGCTGTGAGCTTTACCTGACTTGAAAAACGGCAACCAAAGACTTTTAACGTCCAGAGGCCTTTCTGTCAAAACCACTTTGTTTAACCGAACAAAAACCCCCCCCCCCCCTGAAACGTCGACGCTCCGGACCGATGCTGACAACACACCAGACAATTTCCTACAGAAACAAATATCTTGGATCGTTTATGGTTTTTCTTCTCTGCAGGATGAGGGGGTGTGGGGTCGGCTGGTCAGGTGTGTCTCATCACGGGCCCCGCCCCTTCCTCCTCTACTTCCTGTTGTGTACAGTTTAAAAGTATTGCCTGTTTACTCAGAGTAAAGCACCTCTGAAGCAGCAGACATCCTGAATGCAGTGTAAACAAACACTCTTGTACATTTGCTTTTTCTACTCATGTTCCATTTCTACTTTATTTTTTTTCCTTCCTGTACATAAAATAAAACAATAAATTATTTTTAAAATTAACTGCCTAGCTTGGTGCCTTTTTAAACTAAAAATCAAATACATGAAGCTGTAGCCACAAACCTTGAACATCATTTTAAATTACAATCTCATGCAGCTCTCATACGTTTACGTTTACTTCAGTATCTGTAAAACCAAAAGAAAGTAAAGAATACAGGCGTCCTCTGTGGTACGAGCGCAACCACATCTTGTGAGGGGCGGGCTGTCGATGCAAATGTATCAGAATTGCATGTAAATATTAGATATTTATTCAATTTTCTATTTTTTCGAAGAAAATTTGAGTTTCATCGAAGCAATTCAAAGTCCCAGATAGAAAAATAAAACGGTGATGATATCAAGTTTTCACTTTAAGCAAACTGCTGTTATGAAAGATGTGAATTGGTGAAAATACTTTAAAATAAGAAATTGTTTAGTTGTGAAAATGACTGGTTTTCCACATTTTTCCAGCCTCACTTAAAAAAAATTCTCAAGAAATAGCTAATTTAAAAAATACAATTAAGTTTATTAAAAAATGACAGCTATGATCAAGCTTTATTTGTGCATGAATGTTTCCATATCAGGTTTACAAATCACAGTAACTTATTATTGTAAATGTGATAAAAACAACATGCCATGGGTGTGTTTGCTTTCACAAGAAAAAAAGTCCTCGCCCTGAGCAAGATGGCTGCTCGCTCTGACCATGAAGTCACATGATATACCTCATTCTGTAAAACTGCCAGACTTCCAGCCATTGTTGTGTTTGCTACTGTTGATTAGCTGTGGCAATCATCTTAAAATAAACCCACTCCAAAGATTATTCAGTAAAAATTTCCTTTTGCAGGTTTAATTAGCAAAATATCTCATTGTGGACAATTTCTAACAAACAGGAAGAAACATTGTCACTTTTACTTCTGGCTGCAGAAGCTAAATATTAATTTGAAATAAAACACAAACAACATTGATAGAGTTAGAAGCATTTTAATTGCTAACTAAGTTCAAGCATTTTGCATGAAATAAAAATAATCTCATTCTTATCACTCCCATTTAAACAAATAGATCAAAATGATTTTTAAAAACTGGTAATCATTCATTTCATTTTCAGAAAAAGAAATGAGAAATTGTTTAGGTAACTTTAAAAAACAAAATATTAAAAGTAAAAAGGACATTTCAATACATAAAAAAGTCCTAACTCAACATGAACGCTTTTCCCAGTAATTTCCTTTAAATGTTAAATAAGGGGAAAAAAGGCTACAACCAGGTGAGTTTGTGCTGAACATCAGTCAGTTTTATATGAATACATTAGTTCTGCTGCAGAGTTGTTTGCTACAGTCACTAAATAGTATTTTTACAGTATTTTTTACATAAAGCTCTGCAGCAGCTTTAGCTCAACTGTGAGCACAGAGAACAGAGACGTTTAACATCGACTCAGACCCACATTTACAGCACCGCCTCCATCATTCCCACCATGTTTCATGTCAGAATTAAACAAACAAGCTTTTAAACTCAATGCAAAACTGATGAGCAAGTTCACAAATTCATATTTTTAAAAATTATTAACTTAAAGGTATTATTTTTTTCAAATCGACTGCAATTGAGCTGGAAAGGTATGCAGATGTGGTAAAAGGTTTTCGTACACTCGTGGGCGTTAATGTTACAACATGCAGCCAAATGACTGAGCTTCTGTATTTGGCCACGATGACAAGGGAGACAAGAGTTCCCCTATGATGTCACTTCCTGTTTCATTTTGGCTGAGCCAAGTTAAAAAGAAAATATGCCAGTTGAACGACAAAATGTGTAAAATTATGTGTATCATGTTTCTTAAATATAAGGATGTTTTCTTTTAATTTTTGTATTTGAAGGATTTGCATGTCAGACACTTTAACTACACATATACATACACTCCCTCCAATATCCACATATCCATCTGTAATGTATTGTGTGGGATAAAGAAAATCTGCAATAAATTGTAATTTGTGCACCCAATTTTATTTTTAAAGCTACTTAAAGTACTATTTAAATCAATCCTTAAAAAAATAAAACTATTATGACATTCGGACCCATGATGACGAAACCTTCTGACCACAGCTGTACATAAAGTAAATATCAACCTCTGCTTTTTAAAACCAGTCCAGCCTGCATCATCTTTTTAAATCATTCCCTCTGCAAATATCAAAAACAAAATTACAAATATGAGGCATTTTTGATGCTCTGATCACAAAGAAATGTTTGGAGTCATAACTCCAGATGTTCCCAACATCTGTTCCAGAGGCCTTTAATACTTAAAAACATAAAGGACATTTTATCTGTTTCCTATTTGGCAAGTAAACCTCCTGAAACAAGGTAATCTATGAAAGCATCAAACAGATTTTCACTTAAGATTCACAAGTTTTAATTACATATAACATCAACTTCAGCTTTTGGGTCTAAATCTCCCTCCCAAAAAAATATCTCTTTAAATGCACAGAAATGTAACCGATCAAACCATGAGATACATGTTCAAATTAATCTGGAACCAGAGGTAGGCAACAATAGAACATACTGATGAGATTATAAACCATGAAGCTAATCTGTAGAACACGAGCTGACCTCAGAGTCAGAGCTTTAAGAACCATCATCCTGGTGTTGAACTCAAATGTTTGATCATTGCGGAGGTAGTGGAGACAAAGTAAAACAAGAAATAACAATTGTTTTGTTTTGCTCACCCAAAAAAATAAAAAAAGGAAAATAATGGAACTCCCCATGAAATGACAGGAAGTGCAGCAACCTTACAAAATAAACAGTAAAGATTTCCACTAAAGGCTCGTTTTTTCCTGCAGCACTGGTGCATCGTTTTGCAATCTCAACAAGGGGTTTCTGTTTTTAGCTAACTGTTTATGCGATTTATGCAATCAACTTATTTTATTTATTATTTAGACAGTGGGAAACGAGCTAACCCGAATCAAACTTTTATTTTCAGATGAAAGATGAATCTTTTATGGCAGATAAAGCCCAGATATTGTGAGTCATGAAAGAAATTATTTGTCAAGTTGAACCGTTTTCCACAGTTGTTACCAACAGAGGCAGAGATTTACTCAGAGCGGAACTTTTCATTAATAAGTGAAAACACAAACTATTTTTTTCTTTCAACTTAACGTTTTGGATATCTTGCATTTTTCTGACTTCGTCATTCTATTTTTAGCCTAAGTTAAATACACTTTTTAAATAAAAACAAACCTTTTGAGAAGAAAAAAGAATCAATGTATTACAAAATGCAATCTGATGAATAAATGATTTAAAAATGTAAATCACATGAATGCCTACAAGTGGTTTTATGTTTTACTATTTGTAGCTAAAATAAAAACGTAAAAGGTTGATTTAAATAGCTAACATTAATGTTAAAATGAATATCTAAATCAAGCAAAAATGTAATCCTTCTGTGTTAGAAGTGTTAAAATGTATTTTTACATAATCAAACTTGGCACTTTACAACTTAGTACATTATTTTTTGCATTAATTAAACAAACCATAATCAAATAAACAAAACAATACATTTCATATAAGTTTTAGGATAACTAAAACAAACAGTGCAATGTTACAACCACAAAATAAACCAAAACTAACAATTTTAGTTTTTTTTTCCTAGTGTCTCACATTTTTAAGTAACTTTTTATTTTAATTACAAAACTTTATTCACTTTGTTAAAATAAAAACTAAATACATTTTGTAATGGTGACAATTTTTGATATTTGTTCACCTAAAAGATTCACTTTTCATCATAAAACAAAGTTTAATGAAACATTTTAAGCAAAAATAAAGCCACTGATGTTGCTGTAGTCAAGTTTTAAACAAAATGTCACAAACACTAGAGCTGGGATTCACAAAACAAAATGAGATGACAGAAATGTTTTTTTTTTACTGAAATCCAACAAATTTTTTCTTTTCTAAACTTTTAGAAAACAAGTTGTGAACATTTTACTTTTTGCCTGCTTTTTCTGTTCAACAAGCCCATTTTTCTGCATCTGAACGCCACAGCCTATGACAGCTTGAGCAGATTTTTCCTATTTAAAACACGTCTTGTGAGGAACAATCAGGTAACTCGTTCGCCGACGCAAAACCCCTTTCCTAACGGACGAAAACGTCCAACGCTTCGGTTCGAGTTAGAACACGGTCAGTATGTTTTCTACACCTCCAGCTGCAGGAGGTGACGGTGTTCTCGCTGCAGACGAAGCCAGAGGCACGTTAAGTCTGATGACTTCCTGAACACTTTGTTGATTTAAAAACAAAAAGCAGGTTAATCATTTCGAGAAGAGACGCCAGCAGAGGAAAGGAAGGAAAGTGAGTTAAACAGACGGTTGAAAGAAAAGGCACAGCTGAGTATAAAAAAACAACTTTAAACTCCTTTGTGACACTAAGTCAGTAGTGAGCGCGAGGCTTTTAGCGGCCCGAGCGGCGGTCCTGCTCGGGTCAGCTGACACAGTGATGGAGGTCTCTGAGGCCAGCTGGGACACGGCCAAAACGTTAGTGTTTGTTTCTGTCAGTTTTCTTCTCCACACTCCTCTGCTTCAGCCTCCACCAGGCGTGACGTCCTCAGTATCGATACATGTCGTAAGTACTGACCCAGGAAGAGGGGAAAGTCCACGTGGGGAACCGGCGGAGGATTTCCTCCAGCTGAGCAGTTCGGCTGTCTTGGCCAAAGAAGTAGTGTGTAGATATGGCGACTGAGATCATCCCCTCTGGGCCAGCTGGGTCCGGCTCTGCGGGGGGCTGACAGACGTGAGAATGAAATGATGAATACAGAGTTACAATAAAAAAAGGAGAACTTACAGCAGCTAAAAGGCTACATCATAAAATCTCTAAACGTCGAATTTAAAGGCCGTCATGTGACGCTGAATGCAAACAAAAGAGCAGTGTTCCAGTGGGAACTAATCTCCTGCAGGCATTACCAGCTGAGACCGAACACGACTGGTTCAAATCTAGAAAATTTCAAAAATGCAAAAGAAATTTGCCTGAGCACAAGGAGGAAAACCAGGCTTTCAAATGCCCAACAAGTCAGTTACATTTTACTGATGGACAAAAGCGTCTAAAAACAACTGAGCTTCTCAAAAAAAAAAACACTTTCACACCATCCTGCTGAGATTTTATGAGAAGAACAATCTAAATCTTTTGTGTTTGTGTTGCTATGAGGCAGCAGCTCAGTGTGAAGCTGCTACAACACAGTTTCTGTCAGAACAAAAAGAAATGTGACCCCAGAGGCTCACTATAAAGTGAAAAACAGAGGCTGTTCATATTGGTTGTTACAAATTTGTTTCTGGTGACTCAACTGAAAAAAAAAATCATGTTTTAATTTTTTTCCAAATGTTTACTGTTTAATCATAAATAGTTTTTATCCCGCTCTGCTGCTTGTTAAGTAGGAAGTTCTACAACTTTGCTCATGATAATACACACACAAAAAAAAAAAACAACACATCATAAAGATATTACAGAGAAGATAAGAACGTGTGTTTAGGCTTTACCTGGATTTCAAACCAGAAGGTCCACGTCGCAGCGTTGAGGCCGTGGGAATAGAAGATAAAATACTCTCCGTTCAGGTCGAGCTGAGGCCTCCCGTCACCAAAGGACCAAGTGGAGAGGCTGGCCCCTCGGTGAGGCATCAGATACAGAGACATGTGGCTGGGTCCTGCACAAGAACTTCCTACTTTAATACACATTTATTACACAAACCAAACAATCTCTTCAACAGTTTGGGTCTTAAAAAGGTCAAAATTACCTTTCACCCTGAATGTCATTTTGACAGTCCCCCATCTCGTCTCCTCTTTGGACAGAAGGCTGAACTCCACTGGAGAGCTGGGGGAAACCCCTGAGGCTGGAAGGTACCAGTTCTTCCTACAAATACAGAGAAAATACTTGGAAAGTCTATTTTAGAGCAGAAAAACAATGCATGCTGCACGTCTGCAACGCCGACCTGCTGAGGAACTTGACCGGCAGGAACCACGGGTAACCACAGAAGGGTCGGTCCTCCCTGCAGCGGGTCCGGATGCTGTCGTTGATCTCTGGGATGTGCGGCGTGATGTGCTGTACGCTTGTGAAGTCAAAGCTGTTTATCCAGAGACCCGAGTCCTGACTCTCCACCTGGCCCTGAAGGTTGTGGAAGGTCCGTGTTGTATGCTGCAGAGGATGGAGTTAGTATCTTTAAAGGGATCCATATTAATTGTAACATTATACTTTATTTAATAAACATTATTTTAACTGTAAAATAAAGACTGTAAAAATATGGTAGGCTGTTTAGTTTTTATCATTTTTAAACTAAAAGTTAAAAAACAATTACACAGACGGGGCCATTTTATTTACACGCAAAGCATTCTGGGTAAATCATGATGTGGATAGGTCATCGGTGCGAGGCTGCTAGCGAGCTATATCCACCCAGAAGGTTAATCTTGGACAATATCTAATGATCGACTCTTTTTAAATGAAACCAGAGAGCGTTGACAGAGAGGAGAAGGTAGAAATGACTCAGCCTGTAACTGAAAATATGGATGGAGGACAACAGAGCTGCTTCATGGAAGAAGAACCTCAGCTTAGCCAGTTAGCTTTAGTGTTAGCCCCGATGCTATCACCATATATATGTATTAGCTCGGTGCTACACATTCTCTCGTCACCGAGGTCCTCCATCCACATGACAGAGAGGGGAACACAAAAATGACTCAGCCTGTAACTGAAAATATGGATGGAGGACCTCAGTTTAGCTTGTTTGTCGCGCTAGCGCTAATACATATAAGGCAACATAGCGTCAGCGCTAAAACTAACAGGCTAAGCTGAGGTTCTTCTTCCATGAAGCAGCTCTGTTGTCCTCCATCCATATTTTCAGTTACAGGCTGAGTCATTTCTACCTTCTCCTCTCTGTCAACGCTCTCTGGTTTCATTTAAAAGAGTCGATCATCAGATATTGTCCAAGATTAACCTTCAGGGTGGATATAGCTCACTCACACCGAGGTCCTATCCACATCATCAGTTACCCAGAATGCTTTGTGTGTAAATAAAATGGCCATGTTCAAATATATTTATAAAAATTTACAAAACTAAACAGCCTACAGTATTTTTACAGTCTTTATTTTACAGTTAAATAAAGTCTAATGTTACAACTAATCATGGATCCATTTAAACTGCTGCAATCTGCTTATAAAGACATGTTCGCTTACATTTATTTAATTTTGTCCTTCATAATTTGTCACTAAGATGTATTTTTAAAAAATTAAGGAAAAAAGCAATCCTGTTGATTTCTGTGTACATTGGTACATCGGTGTATGTGTTGTGACTTTGAACCTGCAGGAACACTCTCTTCGGCCGGGGGCTGTGTGGATTCCCCGAATATGGAAAGAAGAGGCCGGCAGACACCAGCAGGAACATGACTAAGAAAACTGAACCCAGTCCAGTCAGGATCCACTTTGTGCTCTTTACCAAGTAGATGAAATGCAGCTGAGACAGAAACAACAAAAATGCAATAGAAGAAATGTGAGCAATAAAACATTTACTTTAATTTAAGAAAAAAAGTGAATAAAAAGCTAAGTTACAGTGTGAAATTTGAGAGAATATTTACAAAAAACGAGGAGAGGAAGATGGCAGCCAGAGTGACCAAAGAGGCCATCACCACATCAGGAGGGATTTCTGTTCCGCTGCGGCCCATGATGGGGGTGAAAATCTCAAACACCACCCAGATCAGGAACATGAGGTGGACGTATGGCAACGTGAGCCCCAAAAGGTACAACAAGCTGTACTTCAGCGATGCTCCTGAGATTTAAAACAACTTATTTTAAACAGGCACCAGACTGACCGTGTCAATGCTTACTGTAACTCAAAAATTATGAGCCTGACTAACATAAAACTCAGTGTTACATGTTACCGGTCCCAGTTGTGCAGGCACTGGTACTACGATGGCATATTAGGGCTACTTTGCAGAGGGGGGGGGGGAAAAAGAGGAGCAAATCTCAGAAAAAAACTCTGAATTTCTGAGATTAATTTCAGAAATTTTTGAGAAAAAAAAAACCCAGGAAATTCACTTATGCTGAAATGCTTGTGTTTTTTATGCATTCTATGTGTGGCCATGCACAGTTTGTTCCTAAAATGCCCAAAAAAGCGCTGAAATCACCATATACTGAAGCTTCACATATCAAATATATGTTTCACAAATCACACACTTGGTTTTAAATATTCTACAATCAGTGTAGAATAATCAAACCAGGTTTGAAGTCTCTGTGTGTTTTAGTTTTTAAACTAGAGCAAAAGTAAGATGGTTGTGAAAACAGCTGGAATCGCCCTTTAGCCATTCCTGAAAACTTCAGTTTTTTTCTTGTAAATTTCTGACTTTACCATGTCAGAAAATATTTAGTTTAAATGTTGCAAATTTCTGCCTTTAATTATGGAAATTTCTGAGTTTTTTCCTTGCAAATTTCTGACTTTTCAACAAAAGAGAATTTCCGGTTTTTTTCTTGAAAATTTCTGAAATTAATCTCATAAATTCAGAGATTTTTCTCGCTAATTTACGACATTTGGAGCTCAGAGAATTTCCTTGTTTTCTCTCAAAAATTTCTGAAATTAAACTCATAAATTCTGAGTTTTTTTCTCTGAGATTTGCTCCTCCCTTTTTTTTTTTCATCTGCAAAGTGGCCCTAATATGATGTCATACTGGTACAGCTGTCTTCTACAGTTTTTTTTTTTTTTTTTGTATGGTTGATCAGTTTTTCTTGTCTTTGTTTTGTGGACCTCAAATCTGTCATAAAGTTTGATCATTAAATGTCCTTGATGAAGAAACTATGCAGCGTTTGAACGCGATTACAGTAGAATCACGTGAACACTGATTCAGCATTTATTAATTTAGCCCATTTTATCAATTTGCGACTGCTTCACTAAATATATTTAGTTTTGCTCAGTTTAGCTTTTGGATACTTGTGCTAATTTTAGATTTTAGCCTCTATTTTTGCTGATTTTAGCTTTGAGCTACTGGTTTTAGGTTGTAACTCCTGACCTAAGGTTTTAGCCACAATTTGTCCAGTTTTCACATTTGAGTACCATTTTCCTAATCTGAGCTTTTAGATACATTTTTGTTAAATTTATCTTGAAACTATTGTAACTATTTTGCTGGTTTTAGCTTTTAACTGTTATGTAGCTAATCAGCATTTCACTACTGCTTTGCTAATCTTTTCTGACATTTGTTGAAGAAGCTTTCCAGAAAATGCTATTTTTTCCTAGTTTCCCCTAAAGTAGCGGCAAATTGAGTGTGAGATATTGAAAACTTGTGTAAACACTATAATATTGTTGTATTTAAAACCGGATCAGTTGTGGATGACTGGGATGTTCACCTCTGTGTTTGAACTCTTTGGTCAGCAGCAGTCTTGTGATGAGGGGGAAAGCCACCATGAGCATGGGCACATAGGCTGAACACAGACCCCGATAGGTCAGCCACACCAGGCTGTAGCACCACAGCAACAAGCTCACATCGAAATACAGATCACCCAGCTCCACCAGACGCACACCCTGTGTCCAAAAAAATAAAAAAATTAAAAACATTTTAATGCTGCTCCTGAGGATTCAAACTAGCTAACTTTCCTGAGCTCAAAGATTCTCTACTTTATTTTTTTACCCCAACAAATGTAGAGGTTATCAAAAGCTCACTTACCCCGTAGTACAGGTTCTTGGCCAGCGTGTGGATGAGGATAATCTTTCCGGTGGCTGCAGCCCCATACAGGCAGATTGCTGCGTAGAAGTGGGTGTACCAAAACATGGAGCGTCCCAACAGAGTGACGAGAAGAGCAACGATCAGCACGGACAGCAGGGTGACGAACCAGCACAGCACCACCACACCGGTGGCACAGGCCAGGTCCCGAAGGTAACGCCCTCCTTAAAACAGACACAGGCGAGTGATGAACACCGTTTGAGTCGAGGAGAGGGAAAACACGCAGCATCCACAGGAAGTCACGTGACTTACGTTCTCAACAGGAAACAGAAGCTTACCTCCAGTGCCAGGCCGCAGGGCCTTCTTAACCAGATACAGGAGCGTGGCTGCAGACACCACGCAGTTCAGGATGGTGCCCACACGGGCGGGATAGGCCACCACCACAACCCCCAGCAGGTCAAAAAACACCATGTTGCCGTGACGGTACTCGGAGAAATCCGCCAGCGTTTCTGACATCAGCAGGTGCTTCAGCACAGCCAGGATGTTGTCACCTGCAGACAGGAAGTGGGCATGGGCTCAGGCGGCGTTAAAAGGACATCGACTCGCAGTCGAAACAAGGAGCAAAAAGAGTCACAATAAAAATGGAACAATGAAAGGCGGTTGGAGAACTTGTGAGTTTTGTTTTCCACTACTTGTAAGTCAGCCCCCACACTCAGAGGAAGTTAATGGTTTTTAAGACTAAACGTGAAAGTGACAACCCTTTCATCACAGGACAAAAACACAAACAAAACCTAATCCTTTAATAACACTTATTCTCCACGAGACACAGCTACACTTTCATACACACTAGATTTATTCCAGGACAGGACTGAACGTAACAGAGGACTATAACCTGAAAAAATAAAATGTTTGGACATTTATAATATATCCCACTAGTCTTCCATTCATACTGAGTGCAGACGTCATCTTTGAGTTCTTTAAATTTTCCTTCTAAAAAGCCCCCCTGTAATCTTTTAAAAAGTGGTTTTGATCCATGTTTTTCCAAACTTTCACTGCTTCCCATCCAGTACCTGCTCATTTACCAGAGAAATTTTTTTTGTTTCTTTTTTTCCCACTGAACTCTGAACTAGAAATCATTCAGGCATAAAAAAAAGCCTCGTAAACCCAACCCAGCATGTCAACGCAAGACAGAAACTTAGCAAAAAATCTATTCTTATTGGGTTCTTAAAGGGATTTTTTTTTGCCAAAGACAAAATTTGCTATAATTTCTTTGATGAATTGATGAAAAATATAAAAGATAACACAGTTTTGCAAAACTAAATGAGTATTTTAGCACCAACAAGTTATTTCCCAAAAAACCTATGAGTTGAAAACTGATGATCAGCTGAATGGTGCATTCCTTTGATCCTGTCTTTTAGGTACTGTCCACCTGCTGGAAATACATTTTGGAAGCCACATACTTCCTCTTTTGTACTGCACTTTTTTTAATCCAAACTAGGTAAATAATAATCTGACAGATTAGACTTTTTATGTTCAGTCCAGTTTCTTAAAAAAACTTCAGAGAGCCTTTATAATTATATCTAAACCCACTTTAAGAAATTATAAATTAGTTTGGCTCTGCTGATGCAAAACATAGAAAATAGAAGTCATTTAAAACATATACACACGAGGGAAGAGTAAAAAGTAGTTTATACAAGAGCACGCTCATGTCTGCGAACGAGACGACAGCAACGGTTCGAGCGAACACATGTGATTCAAAATTCATGTGAAGCTAGGTTCAGTTGTGACCTCTCTCCACGGTTACACAACAGCTGTAGACCATTTGAGTCATCAAACTGGCTACAGTCACAAGGTTCAGATGAGAACTCCTGTTACATCAGTAGAAAGCAGCTGAGTGCGAGTTACTGCAGCTTTTTGTGCCGACTCGGTGTCGTTAGCGGCTCCAGTCGACACACAAAGCTCACTTGTTCTTCCGCCTCGTAGGACAAGAAGTGTAAACAACTGAAAGTGTCACGCTTTACTTAGAGCTGGTTTAGCCGCAGATCCTCGTTCTCTTTATAAGAAACTATGGGATTTGTTTAGAAAAGCTCATTTTACTCACAGCTGCACAATAGTGAGGAGTGTTTTTCTTGTGTTCAGAGAAATTGGTCCAAAGTGACTTCAACTAAATTAAACTCTTTTCTAGGCGGGAAGTAAAAAAAAATCTGTTTTTTTTAACCACAAGCTCATGGTGCATCCTCATCTCATGAACTGTGTCCCAATCTCCACCTTGCAAAATTTTCTGCCTCCTTCTTGGACTAAAAATACATTCTTCCTCCCTCTGAAATCTCACGTTGCCTCTCTAATAATTCATGCCTTTCACAGCGAGTCGCTGCAGAAGAAGAGGGAGGGAGATGTCCAGAAGCTGCTGAGGGAGATAGGAAAGATGCCAACTGTCTTGGGCTTTTAGTGCTGACTGATTGGATTTTCTGCTAAGTAAAGCCGAATAATTCATTTCAGTTTACTCAGTTAATTCAGCAGCACCGATGCACAAAGTAGATGAGACGAGTCTGTTGCCAGTCTGAGTTTTTGTATCTCAGAGAATGGGATGAAAGCGATGACAACTGCAGTGACACTTTGACAGTCAGTAACAGCTTAATCCATTTGTTACAGAAAGAAGAAAAAGATGTGTTCACGTCTGAATGCAGGTGAGATCAGTTTTGTACCGGCTCTCTGAATGGAGTCCGTCAAGATCCTGTTGGCTGTGTCATACTTGGTGTGGTAGATGAAACCATTCTCAATGAAAGCAAGATCAATGCCTGTTTAAAAAAAAACAAGACAGAATACAATAATTAAAACACGGCAGGTTTTTTATTATTATTTTTACATCTTTTAGTTCTTACCTGGGATGTTACCAAAGTCTCTGTAAATGCGGAAGTCTGTGTCGGAGGGAATGACGCCGCTCTGAAAGACCTCCTGACCCACCACTGAGGCGAACGGGTGTTTGGCTGCCTGAACGTAGGCCTGGACCAGCCAGGGATTCTCTGGACCTTAAGGATTGAAAATAAGGAAAAGGGTGAAGATGTTCTTTCAGTACCGTCCAGAAATCTACGATTCTTTATTTTGCAACACAAACAAAATCATCAGATCTGACATCAGAGCTCCTCTATATCATTAGCAGCTGTACAGATCGAGTTCTTCACCTGACCTCAGGGTTTCAGGGTTCATCAGCCCACCCCCCATTCCTAACTAAGACCAGCTGATCAACTGCGGCTTACCAGACCTAAAACTAGGCTGAAGCTCAGAGGCGACAGAGCATTTGCTGTTGCCGCTCCAAAGTTAGGGAACAATTTAGATAATAACAAAACATATCACGACCTGTTTTATTATATTTAATAATTAAACAGGTCATGATATGTTTTATTATCTGATGAGAACTTCTTTAAAAACATAACTGAAAGAATGAATTGCTTCAAATTTAAGACATTTGCAAATTTGATTCAGACAAATAATCATTGATGTTTCATCAACTTTAACCATAAAGATTAGTTTAGTTAAATAAGATTTTTGCACAGAAAATCCATACATAGCTGAAATCATACTGAGGGAGAAAAGAGATCTGTCCTCTCTTCTCCTGTAACTTTAACAATAAGTCAAATAAGAAGATTATTCTGTTTATTGTCTGATTAAGAAAAAGAGCATCTTTGACAAGTTAAGGCGATATGAGGTGGCCTAAATTCAGTTCTAAGTGGAACAGAGTTTTTGTCTCTTTAAAGGCCCATCAGAGGTCTGAGGTCCAAGACAGTTTCCTTGATTATTTCACTCGAGGTGACCCCTACAACTATAATAGAGAGATGAGGAAGAGTCATAGTTCAAATAATATTGTTTCAATAAACAAAAAACAGAGTTTTCTTTCTCAAAGAGTTCCCCTTTGATGTCACTTCCTGTTTCACTTTGAACAAAGTTCAAAAGAAAATACGTCAATTATGTGACATAATGGGTAAAATCATGTGTATTATGCCACGTTTCCTAAATATTAAGATGTTTTCTTTTACTTTTTGTATTCCATGGATATGCATGTCACAGGCACTTTAAATTTCTTAAATTAGTTTTTAAATAAATCAAACTATTCCAAATGCATCTGCTGTTTATCAAAGCTACATTGTTTTAATATATTTCTGATTGTCATGGACTAATTATTTATATCTGTGTCACCTTGACACTGTCCACTGCTCATACCTTATGACAACTTATGTCGGCTCTTAATCTGTTTGTTCCAGACGTCAGGATTCCAGCATTGGGCTGACCTCTCTCGTTTCGATATGTTAACTCTTTGAGCTGAGAGCCTGTCATTGGCTGATAGTAACATGAGGCGGATTGTGATTGGTTGTACATTGTCACACGGTGTTAACATGAGGTTATATCATTGGTCTGCCATCTGATGACGGTGGCCACATTCGACAGACTTCCATGATTGTTTTCTGTTCATTGTTTGCCCAGAATTAAATAATTATCGACCATACACGCAGACTTCTTTTTTCTGTGCATTTATTTCAACGTGCTTCTGCATTTTTTAATAAACGTGTCCACGACACTGATCAAGTATTTTTTTATTTTAAAATATAATTTTCTGACTTGTAACTCATGTTAATTTGTACAAAAACAAGTTTAAAGTTTTTTTTTTCATTTAAATAATCTTTTGAAACCAAAATTGTGATCAAAAAGGGAAATTTTACAGTTGCAACCCAGCTTCTGCAAGTTTAGAAAACAAGAACAAGGCTGCACGCACACCCCGAACTAAAAATAAAAGCAGTTTTTAAAGCTGTGAATTGGACAATACCTGTCTGGAAAACAACTTCCTTGCCTCCAACGCCTGCAGCCTCCAAGTTAATAAAAGCGCGCACCTGCTCAGCCCAAGGATGCTGCGTAATGAATCCATGACTCGCCTGAAATTACAGGAGAACGAGAAAATTAGATAAAAAAGACAGCTTTAAATAAATGACATTTGGGTCCATTTTACATCCTAACATGTGCCACACGTGTCCATCGCTTCACCTGCAGGACATTCTCCTCTGCTCCGTTAAAGAGGAAGATCACGCCGTGGTGAAGAGGAGTGGACAGGTTGGCCAGAGAATGGAGGACTTCCAGCATCACTGCGCAGCTCACCGCATCATCACTGGCACCTGAAACATCGAGACAAAAGGTGTGTGCCTGCTTGTTTATGAACCAGACAAACAGAAACCGAGGCATGAACGCTTCTATCGCTCAAACTAAGGAAGTGGTGTGAGAATAAAAAACAAAGATGGTTGATCTGATAACTCTGGCGTCACAAACACGACGAGAAGCAAGCTCAACTAGACTACAAGCTTCCCCTTAACGTGTGCAGGTGAGATCCCCAAACGAGCACGTGACCCAACGAGATTAGCTGAACTTGTATGAAGCACAATTTAATGAGAATAAATGCAAAGAGGAAAAATCATGTGCTTTAGCTTTGTGGAGTAAAGGTGTTTAGGGAGTGGAAGTGGAGCCAGGATTTATTTCCTGCTTCTGCCCCTGCTAGTTGTGTCTGCAAAATATTCATCCTCGCTCCAAAGCAGCTCCGTCCGATTTTGGAAACTGTCTCTTCATACATGCTGTGCAGACAAAAATATGCTTGAAAGCAGGTACACGCTTGTTTTAATCTCATTTTCTTTTTAACAAATGAACGTTTTGAATTTTAGAACATTATAAACCCATGTGTATATTTCTCCTGGTCCACACCTCCTGTATTTTATTTTATTTTTATTATTTTATTTTATTTTTTAAGTGAAGCTTGCAGTTAATTTGCAAGAATGTAAGTGTGTGTTTGTGTTTGTGTGTGAGACCTGGGTAAGCCATTGTCTCCTCCGCAGGCTGTGGAAGGATGTGGAATGAAAATTGAAAGCTTCCTGTGTCGTTATACCTCGATTTCTTTGCAGGCTTAGAGGGCAGAAAAAAATGTTTTCCGGATTGGGAAGTGTGCAAATTTCACAATGAGGATCCTGTTCAACACTGAAACCACCAGAGTGCTTTCAAACTTAGGCTTTATAGCATGCAATAAAAATCTGATGGGCTCTTTTGAGCTCTCAGTGAACTGGCAGAATTGATTTTTGTAGTTTTGGCATATTCTAAACATTAATAGAACAAGTTGGCGAGCAACAACTTTTTTTTTGCATAAAGAAGTTCAAAAGATGGTTCAAAAGACAAGCTAATGTTTGTCTACCTGGACTGTTAGCCACAGTGTCAAAGTGGCAGTTGGCGAGCATGAGATGCTCACTGCCTCCTTTGGGCTCCAGCTTGACGACGACATTGGTGACGTGGTCGTAGAAGCTTGTGAAACCGCTGAGAAAGTCGATGGAGAACGAGCCGGTGGGTCGCTGCACGTCGACGGTGAGCTGGTGAGGGCCCGCCGCCGCCTTCGCTCGGATGTCCTCTATCTGCCCCAATAGGTAGCCCACCGTCAGGACCTCGTTCTCCTGGCTGCCCACCGGCCGAGGGCCCACGCTGGTGATCTGCTCCAGGTGCCGCCTAGATTGGGAGGTGCAGCAGCCAAAGAGACAGAAAACCAGGTTCAAACGCATTCGAGCACAAAGAAAATAAATATTTTTACATAACCACAGGCACGTGTGATCACAGGAGTGACTTTGAGGCTTTAGAGGTTAAACTAAAGTATTTTCCTGGAAACAGATCGGCTGGCTAAAAGAGCTGCAGACACGCCGTTGAAATGTTTGTGACAGAAACAACGTGATTGGAATCTCTTTCTTGAACTTTCCTACCTTTCAGCCATTTAGTCCAATCTCTGTCTGCATAAACATGGTTTTAGGCAGCGAAAAAAATCTAGATATTATCATTAACTTAAACACATAAAGCAGAGCTGAAACTACCCTATTCATCAGCTGGGCCAAAACATTAGAACAGGCGTGCCCAAACATTTTGCCTGAGAGGGCCACAATAAAAAAATCGCTTCGAGGGCTGCGGGCCAAATGTAATAATATAATACATAAAATGCAAATACTTCTTTAAGTAAAGTTGCTTACGCTTTTTATGATTAAGCTAGCAGCCAGTGTGGTGGCCCACATTTTTATTTTTGTTATTTTTTTGTTAGCCAACGGACGTGCAGACAATTTGACGCACATTCCAGCAGCAAAGACTCACAAGACTTTTCACAAGTTAAAATTTGAGTATTTGTGGTCCTACAAAGTGTGTAAATCTAGATATGTGCTTAAATCTAATCTAAATGTCTCTTGTAGTTATTTGTATTCTAGTAACTACAAGCAGTGTTTCTACATAAAAGAGAAGAATACAACCTGGTAGCCAGGACAACTACTGGTGGGCCAAATCAAATGGCTTGGCGGGCCAATTTTGTCCCATGAGCCCCACGTTGGGAACCTCTGCATTGGAAATTATGAGTCATCACCTCTCAAGTGTTAAAATTTGTGGGTTTTGTTTGTTTTCTGTGGCGGTACATTTGTGATTCAAACTGTGAGGCAACAATGAAACAAGAAAACCCAACTGAAACATGGCACCAGAAGAAACATCTAGTAAATTGTACAAAATACTCCTCAATCTGCAGAGAAAACTGTTAAATAATCGGTGAAGAGATTTGAAAAATATATATAAATATAAAAACACACTTTGCAGTGCAGGAAAGAATTTTTTTAATGGCTAAGGGACACTGATGTTCCCACAACAAAACCAAAAAGACATCCCACAAAAATAAATGTCTTCAGAAAATGCTAAATTGACGTATAAAACATGAGACTAAACCTTAAAGTGAGCTTTAACTACGCGCTGAACAAACTCAGCTGAGGCAAACTAGGAAGTTAAATTGAAATGTCACATTTCTGAAAAGGATCTGAAATATCAAACGCCGCCAGAAGTTTCTAATCTAAACAGAAAGAATTACACTTTTAATAAGTCATCTAAACTATTACATCTGCTGAGGTTTTCATCTAACAGCAGCAGGTTGCAGTTGTCCTTTTTCTCCATTTGTCCTGCAGTTTTTGAGGTACACATTTATGTCTGTAACATAAATAAAAAGATGGTTTTAAATAAAAAATAACTTTAAGATTGTGAATAAAGAGGCTCTGAGCTTTAATCAGTTCGCATGCAGCACTCAGTTATGGAGCAACCGGCTAAATGATCCCAAATCCTGCTGCCCAGCCAATTTTCAAAAGCTCAGCCCCAGGTCTGCTGACCTCAGACTGAGTGTTATAATCCCTGCACCCCCCCCTCCTCCCCCTCACCGTGGCCTAAAAATCTGAAAACTGCCACCATTATTCTAAAAGAGCATTTTTAAGATCAAAAAATTAGGTTTAGTTTCCTTAAACTATTTTCTTAAAATGAGGCTCATTAATATTTAGCTTCCTGTGTTGTTTAATCAAGTATGTCCCTACATTTACTACTTTATTGTTATGAAACAGATGTAACTATGCAATGTGCATATAAATTAATTAATTACACTTCTAGAAAAATCTTTAAATTTTTATTGCATGTCAGCATTTACTGTTTAAGGTTTCAGTGCAATCTTTAGGACACAAGTTTTACTTTTTGTATGGTTTTGTATAGTTAGTTTATATTTGCACAAGAAAAGCATAAAATCATGACAGATTTAAATAAAAACTAAATGTGCAGGTCTAATACTCAAAACTGTAAAATGAGTAATAGACAAAGCTAACACATACTTCATTTTTAATGTGTTAACTTAAATGAATTAAATAATTAAGCAGTTTTACTAAAGTTTTAGTGGACAAAAGACTTATTTTTGGTTTCTGACAGGACAGAAACTGTTTGTGTTTAGGGTTGTTTATTGTGGCATTTAAGCAGAGAATCAGGACTGGAGAGAAAGGATCATTTACAGATCAATTTGCACCTCTCCTCACCTCTGTAAACACCTGTCCTCTCCTCTGCAGGTGACTTTGGAGGTACAGGACAGGTGGAGGTGGGCCGGAAGTAAAACAGCTGCCGAAGCGGGTCCGGTCGCCTCCGAACAACAGAAAACAGCCCTGTCGCTTTCAGAGCCTTGGAGAGGGGTCAAAACTAGCAGCGAACTCACCTGGCTCTTTCCGCGTTAAACTCCCCGCTGGGTTTGCCGATGACAAGCTGCTGCAGCGACAGATGAACGAGTCCCCACAGCAGCAACAGAAACACGGAGACCAGGCAAGCCGTCAGCCCTTCCCGCAGCAAGCACAAGCTCACTTCGGGCTTCCTCTTCGGGTCACCGCTGTACCCGTTATCCCCGCAGCGGTTCTGGGGACCCTGGTTGTCCCGGGCTCCAAAGCGAGGCGGCCCGGAGGGCTTTATTCTCCGGACGGCCGTGTCGCTTTCCATCGTTGAGCCTCCACTGCATTAGTTGGTTCGTTAGTTGACGGCTACTGCTTTCGTTTTTTTTTCTTTAGGAAGATCGACGGGTCGCGGCGAGGGACAAACTTAGTGGGGAGGAGGGAGGGCAGCGAAAGGAAAGGAAACGAGGAAAGAAAGAAAATCGGTGAAGTCAATGAAAAGTGTAAATTAAATAGTGAAAGGTATGGAAATAAAACGTTTAAACATAATTTTAGGTTACTGGGCGTAATTCTGTTGTTGATTATTCATATTGTTACATAATCTCTTGATCACAAATCATAATCGGTTTAGTTAAATCCACCAGTGTGTTTTCATCGCACACAACACAGGCCCTAATGCGATCAAAATAATTGGCATCTTGCAAAAATCAACCATACAATAAAAAAAAATCTCTAATTATCTCAATTTCATTCATTATAAAAATTTTAGATTACATCACAACAAACCATGCTTCAATACGGGATACTAAAATCTAAGCTATCAATGAGAGAACAGTGCATTTGTCTGCACTAACAATGAAGCATGGTGGTGAGAGCATCATGCTGTGGGGCTTGACGTACATATGCTTATTATACTTCACTTGTGGCCAGAATTTAAGAAATATATAGATAGTAGACCAAACAAATTCTGAACAGTCACTTTTTACACAATTGGGACTCACTGTCATATTATCAAAATTGTGTTAAACTGCTCCACATACAAATGTTGCAATTTTCACTAACATTAAAATTAAAATCTTGCATGTAGTATTCAGATTCAACATGTGTAGCATGCTAAAGAAAAACACTTGAGTGGTTGTGTCGGGATTCCCCTAAGGAAAAAACAACACATTTATTAGAAAAAAAACAGGGACGGTACACAATGGCAACATCAGATAAAGAATCGTATGCCTTCGATGCTATTTTTTCTTATTGCAAATCAAACCGTAATATCTATTTCATAAATAGTTTTATTTGTGTCGTTTACTAGCATCTATGGTCGACGCTGGACCATGAACTTAGCACAGTTAGCATTAGCTGTGTTTCTACGATGAGGCAACTACAACATACTTTTTCAAAATAAAAGTTTCTGCTTCCGTTTCAAATAAGATTCACTGTGAACGAATAAATACATTTTGATTTTATTTTGAAGTGTAAAGGAAGTGGTGTTGCGTTATTATTTGTCACTTGACCTTCGCTTTCTTTAGGCAGCTCTGGGCTCGCTGAAGCTCATTGCCAGCCTAGCATAGCTGAGAGCAGTCAGCCAGTCGTGTCTCTTTTCGAGGCCGGATGGTAAAATCCAACCTCCAGCGGATCCTAAACAGTCATTGCTTTGCTCGCGAGAAAGAAGGAAAACAGCAACCCTTTACTACAATGGCGGATTTAAGTAGTACTGGTATCTGTGAAATGATTGGGAAGTAAGTAAACGACGAAAGATAGCTCATGAGCTAACTGTGTGGGGGAGGGGTGGCTAAGACGGTACAGCTAGTCAGCACAAAAAAGCGGAAATGACACAAAAATTATGTTTAGTTACACAATAAATGTAAACTTCATTTTATCTTTAAAGAATTGATTAAAAATGTGCATTTCGGGTTGAGGATTGTAATTTTTTTGTGTCTCGACTGTCAACCTTAGCACTGTTAGCTAACGATAGCGACAGACGTCGAACTTGAGTTGCGTCATGGTCTGCGCTAGCAGGTTTAACAATTGCCGACAACAATAAAAAAAATTAATAATTTCATAATTTTACAGTCAGGCAGTATTTTTCTTACTGTAATGACACATGAGTTTTAGATGAAAGTTCCGAGTAGGATTAAATCTCTGACGTTGTATTTAAAGTCCCTTGTTTACAGACAACATATACTAATTTAAAAGCAGCGTAGGACGAGTGACTTCTCGTTTATTCCTTTTTCCGTCCTCGCTGAACAAACAGTGGAATTCTCATTCTGCTCAGGTAATTTAGAGAGGCCGGGAAGTAGAATATACCAGGCCTCACATAAAAGTCAGCAAGGTGATCCAGTTGTATGACCAATTATTACGCAATTTACTTTACAGCAGCAAGACCAGTTTACGGCAGGACGATAACAGCACGCAGTGATGGTTACTTCACACATGTCACTGATATCACAGTAGTGATCAAATAAAGGATCCTACATGACAAGATAAGCTTTAGTTTAAAAAAGTGTGTATATTAAGGCTGCACCAATTAATCGATTAATCGACAACCAATCGATTATTAAAATAATTGATGACTAATTTAATAATCGATTAATCGTTTTCCTTTTTTTGTTCTTTACTTTGTTTTTCTCACCAAACTGCTTTGACACCTTCCACTGCCGCGTCTGCCTTTCTGTCCTTGACACACATGCACAGTCGTGGTAACTGGGGTAGGCCGTGGACGTCAAGACATAAAATTGTGCCGCCAATGAGACTGTAAAGATTAGCAATTCACAAAATTTGAATCTCCTATAGCTCTTTAAACTGATGACGTTTTATTTTACAGTATGGAAACAGTTTTTGACTGTGTTGGCAGCTTCGTGGTGGATTTAAAATGGGTTTTTCTTTCATCTGCTTTCAGCCTGTCCCTGCACTGTAGTAGTACCCGCGGCCCGGGGCCTCTGTGGTGCTCCTGATGCCCCTCTCCCACCCCTGAAGATCCCAGGTGGGCGAGGGAATGGCACACGGGATCACGCTCCTTCAGCTCGGCCGATCTACACAGTAAGTTCATAAGATGAAGTTCTTGGATTCGCAGTTAAAGGAGCATAAGCTGGCATTTGTGAAGAAATAGGTGGCTCTGACTTAGTCATCTTTGCTTTTGATAATTCCTTCCAAAGGCTAAAAGCAGGTTTACACTCGTGCTTTTTTGTTTTTGTTGGTCTCCTTTTCCATTCAGTTTTTGTCTATATTTCTCTTCTTATTGAACCTAAAATAAAAACATAATCTCTTTAAACTACCTGCAGTTGTTTTTAAATGTTATTTTGTTTTTTACGTTTCTTTCAGGACCGAAAGTTGACAGTGACAGAGGAGCCTGCCGGGAATGGACGTCCTGGGATGCTCCACTTCCAAAGTCGTCCCACAGTTGCAAAGACCATACAGTGGGACGCTGTCCTCAGCAGCAGCGCACTCTTTGTGGAGATACCTCAAGACCCTCTTCCTGAAGGGAGCAAGGAGAGGTGAGGCCACAATGCAGAAAACTTGTTAAAAAAACAAAAGTCGTTTCTTCAGATAGTGTCAGAAGATAGACTAAATAAAGAAATCTTACTGAGAAAAGTGGAAAAGGCCAGAAGATCCTTCACTTATCTAAAAGGTCACTTGGATGTTTTAAATCAGTTTTTGCTCATTGAAACACCTAAAAATCTAAAGCTTTGATAGTAAGCCAAATATCAAGCCAAACCCTTGTAATTTGTAACACATCCTTGTTTTCCACTGTCTGAACAAAGTTTCCTTGTTCTCCCTTCAGTTTTGCGGCTCTCCTGGAGTTTGCTGAAGAACATCTGAAAGTTGTTAGCGTGTTTGTCTGCTTTTACAAGAACAGAGATGATCGTGGTATGTCCTGTCTTGTATTCCTTACCCGTCTTTTGTTGAGAAAATGAATCAAAATTTGGTGTAGCTGTAGAATTTCACGCCATTTCTGCTTTTTAATTTTTTCCCCCTCTGCAGCTAAATTGGTGCGTACCTTCAGTTTCCTGGGCTTTGAGATAGTGAAACCAGGCCATGCCCTCGTCCCACCTCGACCTGATGTTTTCTTCATGGCCTACAACTTTGACAGGGACTCCTCGGACGATGAGTAGCCCTCCTGACAACTTCTCCACCGGTTGATTTTTATAGTTTTCTGCCTCCCATCACGTTTTCTTTAGCTTTCCTACAGTTCCAGCCTCATTCACAGCTGCTGTCATAGTTTTCTGTATAAAAGGTCTCACCCCCACATGCTTTCTGTTCAAGGGAATATAAGTATCTCTTGTTTGTAGCATTTATATTTGCGTGTTAAAACAGTTTTCACTGATTTATTGATGTTGTCACCTTTAAATGGAGGGTTTTTCCTGGAGTTACCATAGGTAGTAAGGCTTGATTACACACACATTTCCCAGTAAAGTCAGTTTTGTTTCTTTCATGACAGGTTTAAGGTTGGGGATTTTATTTTTATTTCTTGAATGTACAAATAAAAATGTCATCAGGTTTACACTCGGGTACTCCAGCTTTTTTTTTTTATATATAGAATTGGCTGAGTTGTAATATTTAAATTTCTATTGTTTATTTCTGGACTGAGTTACACATCAGAGGGACCAGTTTTTGTCACCCCTTGCGTTAGTAATACTTCAAGAGCAACTGCTTTAATAACTGGTACTTTCTAGCTTCAAGCATTTTATATTAGAAATGGAGTGAAAAGATGAATGCTTAAGCATGTTTGATGTTGATGGTTAAAGATCTTTGTGTGTAATGGTACTGAGAACGGAAAAAGAAAAATCCAAAGCTCATTTTGCTTTTTTTTCCCTGTCATGTGTACCTGAAGATATTGTAGAAATTTGTTTTGAAGGTTGAAAATAAAAATCTGTGGCATTGTGACTGAATCGTTTTCATTGGATTAGCATTCCTTTTAGCCTTTATTTCCATGGTAGTACTGAATATGTTGTTCACCTGCATAGTGGTACCTGTTGTGCTTCTGTGATAATAAAAAGAAAAATAACTTTGCCTTGTATTCTTTGTTTAACAGTTGAGATTAAAACAAAATCTTGATACACAATTTGCCCTCAAAGTTTTGTTGTAAACGTAGCTACGCTTAAAAAAACTACCTCATCCAGGTTCAGGTGTTCCAACACCAGGTGGTGCTACAGACTGAATACAAAACCCACTTTAAAGATCTGCCATCACTTCATTAGAGTAACTGCAATTTGATAAAATGCAAAAATTATGAAAGGGTAGACTTGTGACGCACCCTAAAATTTATTTGGTAATATTAGTTTTATGCAGCTTTATTTTACATTTAATTCATTGTCCACGACATTAAGTGTAAATGGTAATGCAGTAAAACAGTAGGCCCAAGTCTTAATAAAGTAGTGCTGAGCCTCCAGTTTATAAACAGGTTAATGACAATTATGATTAAAGAAAAAAAGTCCTTAAGTGATGTGCTCGAAGTTCAATGGAAAACTATTTTTACCAGGGTTGGCCAATAGTCACATTTTCCCCAACCCTCTATCTCAAAATCTTTAAAGAGCCTGTGACATGCAAATCCTTCAAATACAAAAAGTCAGAAATCATTATTATATTTAAAAAACTTGGCATAATACACATGATTTTACCCATTTTGTCACATAACCAGCATATTCTCATTTGGATTTAGCTCAGCCAAAATGAAACAGGAAGTGACATCAAAGGGGAAGTCTTTAAGAAAGAAAACTCACTCTGATCTTTATTGAAACATTGAACTTTGACTCTTCATCTCTCTGATAGAGACTCAAAATGATCTAAAGAAACATCAGATTCTTCTCTACAGACTGTGTTGTCAGACACTTTATCAATGCTCTGCTCACATGCAGACATTCCCCTTTGACATCACTTCCTGTTGCTTTACAGGCAAATATCTCAACATCTGTTTATCTCAGCAGTGTGAAATTTGTTTTGCATTATATCATCAGTGTTGTCTTTCCAAAAATGAATTCAAATTTATGACAAAAATTTGATGTCACAGACACTTTAAAATGTGTTTTTTGTAATTTGACGATTTATCATCTGACAGGTTACTTTTTTGATGAGTTCCTGTAAGAAAACTCAACTTATGGATCTAAAATGAAGCCTAAGGTTTAATACGGGGTTACAGTGATGTCAAAATGCACAAAGAGATTCCCCCCAGAGAAAAATAAGACAATAAAAATAAATAAGTGTTTGTTTCTTATGACATACCTGTTAGAAAACTTTAACTTAAAATTGTAGATTAGGGATATTTATTTTATTTTATTGTGGCAAAACAGAATATTTTCTTTTTTCTTTTTTTTTTTTTTTGCTTTTGCACTGCTGTCTGCACACATCCCAACTCATACGGCCAGCATGACTGACATTAATTTGTTCAAATTTAATACAAAATCTCAAGCAGCAGGCTAATTTCTATCAACATGCTTCTTGTATCTTTTTTATAAATTACACAATTTCACAAAGTGTTATCTGCAAGTAGGTTTCAGTCAAAAAAGAACACCACTACATCCTCCTATTAAGGCCAAAACTATACTACTTTATGCAAAATTAGTATATAAAAAAAAACAATTTGTCCAATAAATTCAGAGAAACACAGGACAAAAAGTTGCTTCTTGAATCCAAATATTTAATCGGTACATACCAAGTATTATTGTGACATGTATAAAATTTCTGATCACAATTTGAAGCAATGAATCTTCTTAGACCGGCGTGTGCTGCAACTGTTTGAGGTCGGCAACATAAAAACAAGAAATGACAAGTGATTAAAAACAGAGAAATAAGCAACTAAAATGGTCGGGGAAAAGAAAAAAAAAACATTGGTGTACGGACACAGATAATAGTAAGCATTCTAGAAAAACTAAACGTGCTTTTTCAAACTTTAGTTGTCAACAGAGTGCAATAAAAGTAAAAAATAAAGACAACACAGCACTGAAGCCAAGCGTCCACGAGACGTCTAAAGAGTTGTTAGTACTGTAGGTTTATGGAGAAGTAGTGGGGGGTCAAGGGTCACAGCAGAGAGAGACAGGAAAGGAGGGCTGGTAGTGCGCCAGCAGGAAGAAAAATAATCTCAACACGGAAATAATGCACATCACATTTAGCTTTAAAGACCATAGTAGCATTTGTACTTGCATGTTTGTTGATTAACAAATAAAATAATAAAGTCCTGAATGAACAGAAACAAGGACATCACCACAAACAAACAGCCTGCTGACGAACGGGGGAGGGTGGGGGGTGGTTAGGAGCGAGACGCGGGCTCATCAACAGAAACACAAGAAACTGATGAGTGAACGGAAGTTTTAAAACGGCTACTGATTTTTTTATTTTTATTTTATTTCTTAACACAACTTGGAAACTTTACTCTGTCCACATCTGACGTTTGATTTGTTTCCTATAGGACCTGCCAACCCAGGACATTTTGAAGTACCATATCAGCAGGCGCAAATCTGTCCCGAGTCGCTCACAATAGAAAACTAAAGCTACAAATTAATACAAAAAAACTCCTTTAGTTTAAAAGAAAACTTTTTTCGTATAATCCACATCTCATTTTATAATGAAGAATTCAAAGAGCAAGAAAACAGAACGTAATAAAAAGTTAAATAACGTGATTTAAAAGGATCCTTTTTAATATGAGAATTTTTTTTAGTATAGTAAAAAATATTCCTAGAGAGACTGAAAGAAGCTAATACGTTTTTGAACAGGTGCTTTTATTTGTCTTGTTTATCATGCCTAGCAGAATAGGTAGATCGTTGGTACAAATAAATACAAAATAGTCTTTGTACCTAAAATAGGTAACTTTATGAAAGTCATAAAATGGTTCTGAGTGTGTTTTTGCCTGCTTAAAGCAGTCCATGTGTGGATTTAGTTTTGGATTGCATCTGAGGAACACCCAGTTTGTGTAAAAAGCTTTTTTTTTTTTGTTATTTAGGGTCAAGAACAGAAAAGATCTGATCATCTATATCCAGATTTAAATCCAAAATACACAAACATAAAATAAAAATAAAATAAAATAACCATCCTCAGACATGAATGCTCTAAATCCTTTGTTTCTACAGCAGAGCATTTCATTTTTAGTTTATCAAAATTAAATGACGCCTCCCTCAAACCTTCCTTTTATAAACTAGTTAAGAACAATACCTAATCATTAACTGGAAAATAGTTGTATTTTGTAATATTTACAAAATATTCACTTCAAAATATTTTTTTTCCTTTGCAGTGTACATTCTAGATCTTTTTTAATAATAGAAACAGAAAGTTTATGTTTTAAGTGATGAAAAGTCCATCCTGGTGTATTTTTCTAAAATCTAAAAAGATGAAATATTTGACCTTATGCTAGTGGGAAACACTAACATCTTTAAGCTTTAGACATCAAAACTACATTGTATTGCATCATCTTTAACATTAAGTCTAAGTTGTGCCTATTTATAGCTTCATATTTTTACTTTGGGGGTTAAATGAATGAGCTAACAAGATGTAACGTTTTACAAACTTTTAATTTCTCCTGTTTTGTGCTTTCTTGCAGCCCTTTTTGTCCCCTTTGGTTTAAAACATCTGCTTTGAGCTCCCATCTCTTTGATATCACCACAAACAAAATGTTGTTCTTAGTGGTTAAAATTTGTGGTGAATAAAAAAAAACTGCAACATGTTTTCACAAATATAAAAACAAGAGAGAAAGCACTCAGTCTATAGTCTTTGGGATGGACTTTGGGTTTTATGCTATTTTTATTTTATTTTTTTTACAAGTGCAAGAAAGCTATAAAACACATCAGGGCAAGGGAAGTTAAAGAAAAAGGATTAAATGTTTTTTTAAACAAAATAAAAGCTCACATTTGTAGTTTTGCATAAATTGTATTTAAAAAATTCCAATAAATTGAATTAAAAGCTTTGCATCTCTTGAAAAACGTTACATTTGAAGCCTAAGTTTTAAACTAACTATCAGCTTTTGGTGAGTTAAAAACATTTTAGTAAAATCTGCAACAACGACTAAGTTATTATAAACATTTTTGTGTTTTACGGTGTCGTCAACTAGATAGGGTGGCCATCTTGAAAACGTACATCCAGTGATTACTTAAAGTCTGTTCAGTGGTACATGAGATATTTTACTAACAGGCAGACACATGCAACACAGACAGACAGACAAATAGATTATTGTCCACCTTTGCTTTTCAGAGGCAGGAGATTTAAACCAATTAGTTATTAAGAGCTAATGTCGATACCTGACAACCCTCCATCAGTGCCTTCTTATCTAACATACATTACGTATAACAGGGAGTACCGCACTTCTGCAGCATCCTTGAACCTCTGACGGTGCTGATACATGATGACAGAAAAGTTCTGTAGTGAGGGAACAGAAACCAGCAGGGTTTTGTACAAAGCTCGATCGCAGAAATGTGGAAAAAAAAGTCTCCTGGCCTTCCTAAGAACGGAGCACGGCATCATAACGAATGCTAAAAGCTCACCAGTGAACATTTACAAGTCTAACAATAGCAGATGAATATTTGCACGACACAATATTAGCTAAGCGTCCATGTAGAAAGTCTTGCTTGACTATGGTTGCTTGGTAACACCAGGGACAACTGCAGCCTGCCCTTTTAAATGTCACCGAAGAGACATGCAGGCAGCGCAACAAACACTTCTTTTAAGCATTTCATCATCCTGCAGGTGAATCCTGGTTCAGATTCAGAAAATACCAAAACATAATTGTCTAACGGTCTTTTGCAAAAAAGAAATATTCCTAAAACTTCCCCTCTGGTTTTCTTTGTAGCTTTCTTTGTCTTTTTTTAAGTGCTTCGTCTGACTCCATGTTAAATCCAAGGCTACCAATTACTGTTCTCTGCCAATACACGGAAAGTTGCCTCCTTCAGCTCAAAGCAAAGCCAACGTCCTCGTTCCAAGAGCACCGAGCAGAATGCAGCCAAACGCTCCTAGCCTACAAAATAACTGCAAGTCACTAATATAGTGCAGCATTGTTTAAAGATATAGCGCCGTTAACCTCACCTTGCCAGAAATGACCAACTTTAACGAGGATCTGATACTCAAATTTGACCCTTCGTAGCACCATAAACTGTCTGCTGATAAGAGACTAAAAATGCTGGAGTTGTCTCAGTGCTTTTGTTTAAAAACTGCATACATGGTACAGAAAATGCGAGCAGGTTGGCAGGCGTTTAAATGTTGGCTCCGGCGTGCCGCGGGTCAACGAACGGAACCGGCGGTGAAGGTGATCGAAGAGGAAAACTGAAGCCGAGCGAGAGCTTTGAGACGGGCGGTGGGAATGTCAAGTCGGGGGCGCTTTTTGTGCGTTTGTTTTTGTGCCCACTTATCTGGCTGGAGTCGGGAGGTGAAGGGGAAACAAAATGCCCGTTGGTTTTGAATTTCAGGCTGGCGGTGTTGATGGAGACGATCCAAGTTCCAGCAGATGAGGTCAGTCTCTACTGAGGTTGTTTGTGTGCGATTGATTGTACACGTTAATGGCTGTAGATGCGATTTACATTTGCCCGTGGATAAGTTATATTATGTGAGTGCAATGCGTTTCAAAGTGGAGCTCTAAGGTACTCGACAGTATATGAGGGTGCACAGAATGGATGCTTATGCGTGTTATGTATCCTAGTTAAAAATGTACGTTTGACCTCATCGGCCCTTGCTGTAGCCGGGGAAGAACTGGTCGAGCAGAATCTGAAGCGTCTTGTTTTGGCTCATGACATAGTCCTTGCCCAAGTCGTGACGGCAGGCGGGACAGGTGTACACCTGCGCTCGGAACGACCGCTGGAGACAAGTCTGAGGGTGAAAAAGAAGCCAGGGTAACCACAGAGGGATATTTCTGTAAGGGTACGCACTTATGACAGCTAACAAGTACCTTGCAGACATTGTGTGAGCAGATGGTGGTGATGGGCTGAAAGACCAGCTCCTGGCAGCACACACACATGAAGATCTGCTCCAGCTTACGCAGGAAATTCTTTTACCGGAACACATTAAAGGAAAGAAGAAAAAATTAATTTAAAAAATAAAATAAAAATCAGAAAATTCTATTACACTTTTACTAAAATTTAACAATCTCATGTCTTCAGATTTGTGTTGCTTCAGTGGCTCATTAAGCAGCGATGTGTTTGTCCAAAGTCCAAAAGGAAGGAGGAAATACAGTTTTTAAAACTAAACTCTTAGAGGTTGACCAAATGATTGGTTAGTTAATTATTTAGGCTGATTTTTGTCACTTTAAAAAAAAATCATCATTTATGACAAAGTAAAAGGGACAAGATACATATGAGCTGCAGGCTCATATATGTTGTTTTGATTTAACTCTAATTAACTGGTTCAATTAGACTTGATCGGTCTTGGTCTAAAAAAACACTTTTTTTATGGTCTGCATTTGTATTTGGTTTTGTCTCAGTCTCGGATATTGAGGACTCAGGATATTATTTCAAGACCACAACTGTGGAAATATCACTAATGTGCTAGAAAATTATCAAGTTTATTTCTCAACATATTTGCTTTTATTGGATGTAAAACGTAATGATTCAAAGTCCAGCGTGACTCATCGCTAATTATGTATTTTTGCTACAGCTGCCACCCATCCCCACACCCTCCCACTCGCACGCGGCACTCCAAAAAAGTGAGCAGTAGTTGTCTGGGACCAGAAGACGATGTCTGCAAAAATCTTCAGTAATACAGTTCGGCTACAAAAATCATAAAGAATAAATCTATAAAACAACATCCAGGAGAAAGAATACAGCAACTTGTAAATTCTGCAGCGTTTCTCAGATGGTGGGGACTACATCAAACATTTATCTTCATTTATAAAGGAAGCACAAAGAAATGTAAGCTGTGTGTAAGTGATGTTAGCAAAGCTAGTTAGCTAGCTAGCTAACATTAGCAGTTAGCTTCTGTACTGAAATTCTTTACCTGGCACTCACACAAAGATATTAAGTCAATACTAGCATATATTAAGTTAGCTAACTGTGTAAAGTATACTGTATGTTCTAGGGCAATGGTTTCCTTTTATTTATTTTTTTTATTTTTTTCCCTGTTTTGGTCTTGACTACAATACTATATCCTATTTTGTAGTTACTTTTGTGGGGCTTAACAAAAGTAACAGTTTAATATGCATACTTGGGGCTTGACAAAACAAACAATTGGCTTCATAAATCAGCTGCCTTGATTATACTAAAAATTTGCAACTGTCAACAAAAAAAACCCAATTGCTCAAATTCCAATCTAAAAATAAAGGACCTTTTTCCATCATCCTGGTTGGAGGATTGAGTGATTTAGTTGTGAAAATTTGACAAATGCGTAATGTGTAATGTTTGGGGAGTTATACCGGCCCCTCCTTAAGGCTCTCCTTGGCTTCTTCCCAGAGCTTTCTGTTGAGCGTGTCGTCCCCGATCAGCTGCTGCTGCTGCTCTGACAGCTGGAACGTCTCCTCTATCTTCACACGTTTAGATGGAGGCTCTGGCTCTGGTGACAGTTCCACTAAAAACACACAAAAAGACGTAGCCGTTAATTTTAGACAATTTAAAAATGTATTAATGGGAATCCACACAAGGATGCTATAAACAGCGTTGACACCAGGGTATCACGTTAGCTTCTGCTCTCACCTGGACTCTTCTTACAAGCCCCTTGTCTGACCTGATTTGAACCCGGTCTGTAAAAGCACCCACCAGTTTCTTCAGTTGTCTTCTGCTCTCCATTACTCTGTGGCCCTTCCTCCGGTATGTTGGCTTCTGGAATTTCCTCCTCTTCCTCCTCATCCTCTTCATCATTCTCCTCTTTCTCCTTGACCTTGCGTCTCCGTGGTCTCCCCCTCCTGCCATAATGCGAGCTGCGGCCGCCATGACCAGGTCTGGCACAGGACTCCTTCTTTGTTTTGTTAGCCATGGCTGCTAAATAGCCTGGTGGGTACTGCAGCAAAAGACAGTGTGGTGAATTCATTAATGTACTTTTTTTAAAAACTTTTTTCTTGTCTATGGGCTGTCCTTTATAGCTGTATTGTAAATAATAAAACCGTTTGGATGTTTAATAATGTTATGGTTCATCGTTGTGTATATTTAATATTCTCCATTATCTTTACAGTGGTCTAACCTGAACAGAAAGTCCCAGTTTCTGTATCCTCTCCAGTCCTTCAGGGGTCCACGGTGCTGGTTCCAGATCATCCCGTCTCAGCAGGTACCTCCAAACCAAATAGCCACACTTTCCGATCTCTGGCCAGTATTTTACCACCTGAGGGTCACCACGAAATAAACAAAACTCACTGGTAAAAACACTTTTGTGATAATTGAATTTGGTCAAAACATGAATAAAAACATATCTATGTGTGCCTTAAAGGAAAAGTCCAACAACTGATAATTTTGAGCAGAAAAAAAAATATCTATATTTTCATTATATTCCCTACCACTAACAAAGCTACTTTCAATACCAGCTGGGAAATCCCAATATTCAAGTAAGGTTTGAGGTTTCCTCTCTCAAATGATATCAAGAAATCCTCATTAGAATATGCTAAAAATGAAATGCAGACAGATTTTCCAGGGATCTTCCTGATTAGCAAAACTAATTAAGCCATATATCTGGAACTGCTGCTCATGATATCAGGATGAATCTTGTTATCAAAAAACAGCTTAAAATAAACGAGAATCTGAAAATGTGTTTCGTTTAGTTTGACCAAATCCTCAATAATCCTTGATTTCATGCCACAGATCACATTTAAAGAAGCTTCAGTAAATTGAAGTGAGTTCTGCTGCTGTAATAAGAGATATGTTTATATATATATGCCTGTAGTGTTTTACACCTTTATAACTCCAAAACTTAAACTCTTCCTTAAGCTCACATTAGTGATAACTTGTTTACATTTTCAGAATCATCGGTTTTCTTTTAGCGCACAATATTTCAGTGTACCTTGTAAATACCATCATAGCGGTTTCCTTCTTCTGGAGCATATTTGCTGATACGTTTACCCTTAGAGCTGCGCACCACTCGCACTGGTTTTCCAGCTCGCCAGTTTCTGGACTCTGCTCCATCTTTGTCATTCAGTGGCGCATCGCAGTTTAAGGCCAAAGCCCTGAATGGGTCAGGAGGGGAGACACGACAGATCGATGTTCCATAAGTGTAAAGAAGAATCACAACTCACGGGATCTCTTAAATCAAAACGAACCGTTAAAATGAAAGAGGATTGTTTTTTTTTTAAGCGCACCTGTTCATGTGGGTCAGTGTTTGGTCGAAACAGTGCTCTCCAATCCGTTTGTTTCCTGAGAGGTCACGACCCCCACTGCCTGTGTAGGTGAACTCATCTCCCCGGTCCTGCCACAGATCACAGTCACCGTAACACAAAGACCAGTAAAATGCAGAAAAAGTAAAAAATATTAATAATAATTTCTTAAAAGAGTGAAACCCACCACTTCATCCTCAAAACCTCCAGCCAACACCAGTGAATAGGAGCCATCGTTGCTGCGCCCGTGGATGCCGCCAACATGCGGCCTGTGAACTCCAGCCTCACTTACCTGATGGGATAAAAGTACAGAAAACAAGACCGCAGTGTTGAATGAGAAAAAAAGATTTGTTTTCTTATAGTGTGTGGACTTTTACTTTTAAAACGCACTTTTAAAATGCAAATGTGCTGTTAAATTACCTTTAACACACAACAAAAACAAGCTTAGTTTTATAAAAGCACATTTTGAACCGTTACTCATTATTTTGACACTTCCAACTCAAGCATTTATACATCTATATAACATAATAATTTCATCGGTAGGTATCTGAAATGAGCCAACCTGCACTCTGAATTTCCAGGTGGTTCCAACAGGAACACCAGGAATAGGCCCATAGTGGTTCGAGGGAACAATCGTGCATTCTTTAGTGCGTCCCACACAGGCCATACCCTGTTTACAACAAGAAAACACATTTTCAGCTAAATAAAATCCATTTAACAGCATGGTGGATGCTTCTACATTGCATTTTTATGGTTCCTTTAGGAGCGCTGTGTTTAAGTAAAACCTTTAGAAGGCCGAACACGTCATTTAGCTCGTTAAATTAGGTTTTAGAGTGAGGAAGCAATTGCAAAGACGAGTGCTTTATTTTTAGGGGTTGTAAAGTTAAGCAAATATTAAAGGCGAGAACAAGCGCTGTGACTCAGAGTGTGTCAAAGAGCATGGGCCAGACTGTTTTCAATTAATCCGCAGAGAAAAGGAGCATTCTGGTAGAGAAAGGACTTATTTTCCATCAGTCATTCCAGGGAAGGGGCTGAGTCATGCCTAATGGCATTGTTCACGTTACACCATGGAGAAGAGTCAAGGAGACAAAGTCCATCATGGATAAAAGACAAGCAGTTACTAAAACCTGCAACTATTAGGAGAGCATAAATGCAAAACAGATTGTATGCTCTTTTAACTTTTTGGTTTCAGCAGCTGAAATTATGTATTTTAAAAGTTAGGCTAAGTAAATTGTTTAAAGGACAATTTCTGGCTTCTGCCAAAAAATGTGTGTGGGGGGGTGTTTGTTTTTTTTAATTTTATTATCTGCAGCTGTTTTTTGCTGCCTGTTTTTTCTAAAAGAAACGTGGACACAGCTAGGTTGTAATATTTTAAGTGTTGATTAAGTGTAAAAAAACATTTATTCCATGCATGTGTAATACTTGGATTCTTCACATTTTTCTGTTGCTATTTTCTGACAAACATAAATATTGTTTTTAAATAAATGATCAGTTCCAGATTTTCCACCGATCGGCTGCCTGTCCACTGAGCACTGCGTGGCCCTCAGGTCCTACCTTTCCCCAGTCCCTTTGACTCTCAGTTGTAGCCGAAGGCATTTTGGCTTTCTTCTTGCTGGCTTTGAGCTTCTCTCCAGCCTTGACAACTTCACTAGTGTCATTTTTACAAGTTGGACAGTACCTGGCAGAGAGAGAGAGAGAAAAAAAATCAATTTCCTGCTCAGTGTTTTGATATCTCAAAAGCTGAGCCTTTTTGTCACAGCCATGTAAATCAAAACTACACTCTGGCTTCTTTCTGCTTTTTTTCTGGCAGATACGGAAATAAAGAAACAAAACAGATAAATGGAACATGCAAAAAATAAAACTGAAATTGGAAACTTTTAAACTGACAAAAGTTCTTCATCCACTTTTTATATCTGCTCTCTTATTTGAAGCAGCTGATAAAACATTAAGAATTCTGACTAAGTTAATAAAATTATTTGGTCTCCCACTTGGATATAATGTCTCACGGTGAATGAATTCAGTATTTTTTCTTCTAAATAATCTCTTTGTTTTCTGTTCCAAACTGTTGAAGTCATGGACAAATCTAGAGAACAATTTATGTCATTAAGCTAGAACAGATGGTAAAATAATAACTGAGGGAGGGAAGCTTATTACTCACCAGTTTTTTCATTAATCTTCTGTAAGCTAATTATGTTTTGCAGAAAGTAACTACATTAAATAAACTGACCACTTAATGCCTATTATGTCACCTTTTCACATTGATTTTAACCTCAATCACTACTTAATTATTGCACAAAGAGTACTTCATCCCACACTCAACTTGTTTAATCAGCCTTTTCTAAAACAAGAGAAGTGCAGAAGCTTTATTGTCGAGCTGCATCTCACCAGTCCTCGTCGTCTGGGATGGTGGTCAGCGGTGGGTTCAGACAGTAGATGTGGAACGCCATGTTGCACTCGTCACACAGCAGCTGCATGTGAGCGTCCTGCTTCCCGCCGCACACGCAGCAGGAGCAGAACCGACACTCGGCGTCCGGGTCGGCCTTGCAGTGCTTGCACTCTGGACCGCTCTTCCCTGGAGCCACAAACACATAAATGTATTACCAAAGGTGTATCTCGGCACTGCTGCGTGTCAAGATACTCACGAGTGAGTTTGCCAGTATTTCTATAGTGCGTAATGGTGTGGATCTAATTCATACGTTTAAATTGCCCATCTGCACTTGAGAGGGGACGAGCTCCTGGTTTCTCAATCTGGTAGATTTCATCTAGAAAATGAACCTTACAATCTCCTATTACATCTCCAGGACCCCTAGGGGGAGACACAGCCATTGAGATAAAGGAATTTAGGTACAACCTTAGAGTTAAAGGAGATAAGAAAAAAAAACTTGCTGTCCAAAATCAGAATCGATCAACCTCAGAGGGGTGAACTCCTCACCCTAAAAGAATGTTGACGCGGAGCTCCTTGTTGGTGCGAGACGCCTGATTCAGGGTCTGGATCTCTGCATCATACCAGAAGCCTCTCTCATCTGGTGTCTCCATGTTGTAGTTGATCATCACGCGCATCCCCACTTGGAGCTGGTCCCACCGCAGCACTGTTCTGGCTCGTGGCCTAACGTCTACAAATTTCATCTCCACAACACCATTTTCTGGATAACTGGAAAAAAAATGACAGACACGACAGATCTAAGGACAGAACACAAACTCACTTCAAGCATGTTTAAAAGGGGGTATTGTGTATTTTCCAGGCACATAGTTCAGTTCTGTACCACAATCAAGTAACTGTTAGTAACTTCAGTTGTTATGAAAATACTTTATATATCAAAAATAAATTTGACTTTGCATTAAACACTATCTAATAGGGGTGTAAGAAAATACAGATACACTGAAACATCACGATATTTCATTTCCCGATACTGTATCAATATTCTAAAGCCCTGTATCGATTTTTAATTAAGGTTTAAAATGTCAACCTTCTTGCCAACCGTTCATTTTTATGTTGTAGTTCAGCATCTGACCACTAGTTGGCAGCAGTGAGCCAGCCATTTGGCTCCTCTACCTCTTGAGCGCCAGAGAGTAAGGGTAGCATTAGCATTGTAAGTAAACATTAGCTTTTCTTTTTTTTTCAGTAAGAGGTTTTTATTTATTAGAATTTTTGGACAAAAAAATCGCAATATATCACAATATATTGCCTTGCTTACAGTATCGCAATATATCGGGATATATCGTATAGTGACACCTCTGTTATGATATGTATCGTGTCGCCAAATTCTTGTCAATACACAGCCCTACTGTCTAAACGCCTTGAAATTCTCTTTAAGAACCCCCTACCATTTACAACACTCCCACTTCAGCACATTTTCAAACAATGCTTCGGGGGTGGGGTGCTCTGTGGGGGCTGGCGACTGAGCTCCAGGGGAGGAGCCAGGACAACTGTGTGGTAACTCCAACAGCAAAGGCCAAAATAAAACGGAACAATTACAGACCGCTTGACGTCACTATCACAAGTAAGGAAAAGAAAAAAAGAAGAAAGCTCAAAATGTAGCTGTAGCTGCAGCACAGATGAAAGGAATATTGGCCTTTGTGTGGGGGGCATACAAGTCTATGCAAGTCTGCAGATCCTCACACAGGACCATGAATGAAAACTGCCTGATAAGAGCGAATTTTAAGCAGAAACCCAAATGCTGGTTCGACCAAACTAAAACAAAAAAACTGGACTGGAACAATCAAAGTGAAGAATTAAAGTCCAGTTGTTTCGTTTCTAGCATCTTGTTTTGATCATGAACACTGATAAAATGCACTTTGTAGCATTTAGCATTTGTTAATTCTCTAACCATATCTTTAACCATATCCGTGTATTGAGATAATATTGCTGTTTTACATAAACACAAGGCAAGATTTAATTAATAATCTTACATTTAGAATCAACATATGGCCTTGTTCTTTAAAAGCAAAAAAGAAAGAAAGAAAGAAAAAACCAACCGTCTCAAATATCAACACCCAAAACTGTTTTTAATAAATTTCTGAGCAAAGAAGGATTAGAGTTATATCATCACATTCATCTACACTGAATGTGTTTTTATGCAGCAAACTTACTGCAACATTTACCACCAAACCACAAAATTATCTTTCATAAAAGATTACCAAAGACTGATAAATTACTAGAACCGTTGTTTTTAGAGAAGGAGAAGCAATAAGAAATCATTCCATAACAGCTGAGCAGACCAAGCGAAGCTTAATAATATACTTTATTCTCACCTAAAGTCAGAAAGTTAAGAAAACAAATGGGAGTCCAGCAGGGCTGAACCAAGCTTGAGTCATCTATTATACATCCTGAGTGTGATTTCTTGTAACTGCTGCCCCCCTGTTGCAGACAGCAGCTGTCACCGGAATGGGGTAAAACAAAGATGTGACAAAAATGAACAACAGCCAAAATCAACAAAAACCCCAACTTAGCACAAAAAGCAAATTTGTGCTTTGTTTGTAATTTCTCTGTACCAACAATGCTTCTTGGCAATAAAGTATGTACAGTCAGGAAACTTGTTTTTTTCCCTAAACAGTGCCACATTTCTTGATAACTTGCCAAATCAGCCAAAAACAAACAACCGATTCTGCTATTGATTCTTGTTTGTGCTGTTTATTGGATTGGACGATTGAAGTCTGAAGAAACAAGACATACTGGAAAATTTTCAATATGTTCAACAAACTGGGGTCTCGGTAGCATGTGGAAGAACCATACACAGCCACAACAGCCTAGCTCACTGCTCACCACGTTTGGCACACACTGCTGTGGGATCCCATTCCTCAACAAATTTGTCGCAAGTCAGTCACTGTGGTGTTGGTTAATCTGAAATGAACAGCACCCAAGCTGATCCCAGAGGTGTTCAATGGAGTTGAAGGTGGGACTCTGAATCCACTACACTACAAAAATGTTAAAAGTAGTCTCTGATAAATCCCTGCTTTGTGGGGGCGAGTGTTGTCATCTTGAGCTTTGGTCCCAGATTTTGGAAATACGAGATTGCCACTGGTTACCCACAAGGTTGTGTATTGGCAATAATTTGGTGATATGATACATATCACAACACAGGCGTCACAATATGGTATGGCAGGGAATTGTGATACTGTAAGTAAGGCAATATATTGACATTTCTTCTCCAAAAGAGTATTAAAAAAACTATACAGAGCACACCATGAATTACATGGATAAAATCTTATTAAATATAGTTTAATTTTATGCAATCAGACTGAAGAAGTTCAAATGTATTTCACATTTCTTCTTACAACATCCATGATGCCATAATTAACAATGATTATAGTGATTTTGAGAATTGATACAATATCAGGAAATTAAATAATGCAATATTTCAGTATACCAATATTTTCTTTGCTCACAGGCGGTGTCTATCAGGCACCAATCAGTCTCAAAAAACAAAAGTCAAATGTTGAAAAGCTGTTTGGCAGTGGCAGAAAAGATTTGTCAAATTTCTCAAGGGCACAACCCAACCCACTGATGCCTTTTCCTTACAAATGTGGCACTGTTTAGATGACAAAAAAAACCTGGCTTTGCAGTGGTTCATTCCCAAGAAACATTGTTACATCAATGATATAGTCAACCAAACAAGTATCGATTTTTTATTTATTTATTTACTTTTTGTGCCATGTTTGTTAATGAAAGGGTTGAGCTAAATGAAACACAGAGTCATTGTTTTTCTCGGATGATGGTTTCAAAATAATTTGCTTAAATTATTTGCTGGATGACTGTCAACCAGCTAAAACTGAACATTATATATAATCTCTTGTCTGGTTTTAAACATTGTGCATTGACCTAAACAGATGCAATTTCGTTTTTGTTAAAACAACTAAAATTTTAGTTAAAATTTGATGCAGCTTGATTTCCTACACAATTGGTAGCTTTCTTGTTTGCCATCAGAGGTAATTATGCCTACAGACGAACAATGTGTGCACACTGAAAGTTTCCACACTCGGGCCTGCTCACACAGTGGGAGGTCAGTAAGGGATTGCATGCATGAGAGATTAGTGCCTCTGTGTACGTCTTGCTGGGAAGACTGACTCTAAACTGGGTCTTACAGTAAAGCAGACCAAAAGCAGCCAATTAAACTCAGGCAAAATAATTGCTTCACACAAGAATAAGATGTTATGGTGGTAAAGTATGCCTTTCTTGCTGAGTAGACTAGAACACATAGCTTTAAATGGTCTGAAGAGGACCAATAGATGCAGACGAACAGTTTTGGCACAACTAGTTCTATGAGGAGGTCGGGGAACCGTGCATGAATTTCCTCTTTTTAAGGCCCAAGGGATTAATGAGGTTTTGAGAAGAGTGGGGAAGGGCGAAGAAAAGCAACAACAACAAAAAAAAAAAAAACACACGACACATGCCGACATTTGCTTGTACGCACACAAACAGACAAAAGAAACATAACGGATCATCAGCTGTGAACGCAGAAGGGGACTCAGCTTGAACATTAAGAGAGCAGAAAGAAAACACAATAAAAGCTCAAGTGACCAGATTTAACATCCCCAACATACTTCAGACACGTAAACAAAGAGCTACATAGAAATGTCAAAATAAATCTAGAAAAAAACATGAAGTAATAAATACTCCAGAAGGCTAAAAGCACCTCTAAAATTAAATTTTGTTTTGTGAAAATGCATTTAAGAAAGCCGCTGACGTACATTGACTGCAGCCTTAGAAAAGAGGGGTTTTATTAAAACAAACCAAAAAAACTGGTTGTTGCTATTTTGTATTAACACTGGTGTATCCACATTCTGCACACTCACAGTGTACACATTTTAGGCTGCACAACACTGACCTTCACAAAGCCAAGTGTTTCTGCTGCTTACTGGCTCACACTGTTTATCCACCACTACAACTCCCACTCAGATTAGACAACCCTACAACTAAGTAATAAAAGCCATGGAAAACGATTCTGTTCTGACCAGACAATGGCCGGAGGGGGAGGGGGAAAAATCGTCATGCTGAACCCATTTTGGTAAAAGAAGCAACAACTGCCAAACGGTTTGGCAGTGATTCAGCAGGAACATCAGTAACTCCAAACAACTGCCCGTGGTTAAATGGTGGAGGCTCACTCTTTAAAAGCTGCTCCAAAGTACAATTTATGAGCGGTATGTAGCAACCACACAAATACTTTTATTTGGCCTGAATGCATTTCAAATTAAAGGCTTGGCATTACTTAAAGGAATGCATATAGCTCACCACCTTTTCATGCCAGGGAGTTTAACTAAAATCGGTTTAATGATGAGAAGAAACAAGTCGACCATTCTGGTCAAACATGACTGCACAGTCTCAAAAGAATAACTCTCAGCTACCATTCTAGATCGATATCTGTCAAATGAATTGAATTATAGCCATTTTTGAGTTGGGTAACGTCAGTTAGTTGTGGCAGACACCTTGTTTTAGGTTGACTCCAAATAGCAATGAATTTTAGACATACATTACCCGAAGAGAAATTTACTCAAAGCTGTCCAAATTATTAATAAATATTTTGCTTAGAGTTGAATCTAAAATTTGTTTAATATTTAGGCAAATATGTTGCCACAATACCACACCAGATTTTAGCTCATTATCTGTAAAACTGGCAGCGTTGTAGCCGTTTTTGTGCTTGTTAAGGCTATTCAACTATGGAAGACATCTTGATTAGGGCCGATTACAAAGGTTAAACAGTTGTACAGATATATACAATAATCTAATAGTACACAGTAAAATTTGTCTGGCCCAGTTCTGGCCCACACAGTGCACTAACACTGCCCAGATACCACAAAGAATGACAACCCTTGGTGGCTCAGATGTAGTTAGCCAGAGGTGTCCATGCATGGACAAAGCACCAAATGGACCAAACCACAACTGGGCCAGTTATGCCATCTTAAAAACTGTGCCGTCATTGCCAGACTTGGCCTTCATCCGGTTGGCAAACCAGCTGCCATGCCAGCGGTGAAAGTGACACCAGATCTGGTCTACACCTGTCTGCTATGTGGGAGGATGAGATACTGTGCTGTAGCTCCAGGGAAACAAACACACACATCCTTGTACATGCATCAAACTGAGGACATTGTACTGACTTCCATTAATTTTTTAACTGTATTCATGCCTAACCAAGACATTTTCCCTAAAACTAACCATTACCAGTCTATTCCTAACCCTAACCTGAACCAGAACTTAAGTCGCACCATACCTCTAAATCTAACTAGTAAAGCACAGTAGAGCTGTACACCAAAGACCTCACTTTGATAGTAACTATGGTGCAAATGGTCCTCACTCTGTAGTAGAAACAAATACACACACAAGAGCAAAATCATCATCAACCCGTTCATCTTTGTTGGTGGTTGAAAATAAAAACCAACGCTTCCATGGCTAATACAGATAATAATTGAGTCCTAGACTATGGCAACCAATGGATAGGGTAGGGCAATATTGGCAAAAAAATTAATCACGTTTAATTGTGGTATTTTGCCGATAACGATTAATTTGACGATTAAGGCTGGAGTCCCTGGACTACCTTATATCCTAGTCACATAACCAATTAGGAAAGATTTGCTCTTCGTAAAAATCTGTTCCAAATTGTGTCAAAATTACAGACTTCGGGCTATACATCAATTTTTAAGTTTTGTTGATATAGATAAATAAATTACATAACTTTTTTTAAAATGTTCATCATATTTGAAGTGGAGAGGAGCATCGAGCAGACTGGAGATTAATCGTATTAATTGTCAAGTGCCAAAAAATAATCGATTACTGTTTTTCTGACGATTAATTGCACATGATACGATTATGCCCAACTCTACCAATGGAGTTAAATTTAACCTTTGAATTAAACTTTTGCCTGTAATTTTTTGCTCAGTAAAATAAAACCGTACTTCTCTGTTCCTCGTGCAAGTTTTCAGCCCCTACTTTTTGTGGTTTGTAAATGATGACAGCTCAGTTTATTACGAATTATGGCTCTAAACACAACACAACAATCAAACAGTAACTGCTCTGTGCAGAAATACAAACCAAAATAAGGCAATTAAGAATAATAAACCAGACTAAAAATAATCTCATTAATTAAACACTACATTAAAGCAGATAAGTGCTCTCTCAGAGGAGCTCAGGTAGTGAAATAAACTGTATGCAGACAGGCTCTCTTCAGCTTATTTTGTTACAATAAAGTTATCACAATCAGAAAAAAAAGTGGAAAGACAGTAACATTTATAGTTTGCCCATGGTGCAGGCTACACAGGCCTGAATCACAGCTGCAGGTAATTTTCACCCATTCTAATAGTTTTAAAACCACCCCATTGATGCTGATTAAAAAACAACAACAATTATGTGTTTTTCTTTTGAAGAAAAATGTAAAAGCATGTAGCAATCATCTCAAATTACTGCCAGATTCCTCTAATCTGTGAGCATGTCTGTGCTCCACAGGCTCAATCAGTACGCTTTAACACAAAAACAGATGATGTAACACCTCAGTGCAAAGGTGTGGAAGATGTGATGATGACCGATTTCAAAGCCTGCGGTATTTTTCATCTAGCATCCCATTTAGAAGAGGCAAATTTAAACAATATGCTGGTAAACAATCCATTGTTTATCTTTAAAGCCGCATTTACATAAAGCATAAAAAATTCAGCTTAGCATTTAAGATAAAGCACTTTTAGCCAGATTATGTTGCAGCACATATGATACAGTTGGTTGTCAACAGCCAGCTTGGGCACCTCTATATGTGTTTTGACTTCTGTTTGCATATTAAACTAAGCATAAAAGACAATATTACATATCAATTTTATCTTTATTCCTGACTCTCTGTGGTTCAGCCAAGGTTTCACCATCTGATAATATTTTAGAGCGAAGTACTGAAACATATAGGCACAGGCCATCAGTTCTCGGAAGCAGTCAAGAGGAGAGTCTCTCCCAACGTTTCACTGTCTTTGTTTTTGTGGCTCATTATTTTCTGCAGAAATGCTGCCAAAACATGGCGGCTGATTTGGAAAAGGCTGGTTTGTCTCTTTCAGACTATACAGGCATGTGTTAGGGGAGGGCAGGGGGAAGAGTTGTGGCGTGTGAAGACGGAGCAAACTTACCCACCTGCCATTTTTCTCGAGCAAACAAAATGATGAAAAAATAAAACTTGATAGCTTACAGGACAGAGAAGTAGAGGAGACAAAATAGTCTATTTAATAACAAGCTGCAACTAAAACTAAATCTGAAAATGTAGACAATTTGCCATAACCTGTAGCTTCAAAAGCCTTTATCAACTGAAATTTTGTTCTCGGCTCGGTTTGGTAAAACACAAATCATGAAGATCAGAGGACATTTTGTTTTCTTTACTTTTATCCAGATATACTTGTTTCTGCTCTGACTTAATGAAATAAAGCAAATGAAGTACAGGAAGCTACAATGAATCACCGAACAAATAAAAATATTCTTAATATTTTGAAAAACAAGAACCCATAACAGTGCAGACTGTTGAATCGTCCCATAAGACGCCTCCTGTCTCACTGCTAATAACCGTAGAACAAATGAAAGCACTGGACCCGGGATGAGGAAGACTGAGAACTGGAAATGAAGTCTATTTAAAACACACACACTGAAGGCCCAACAAAGCGTGATACGATCACTCTGGAATAACAGCCTTTGGCAGAAACATACATGAACACTCCGACTGTCTCACCAGGCTCACGTTCACGGCAATTACAGACGAACCCGAAGGAGGCGAGCGAAGAAGTAATGCTCCGGAGAACTCGTGAGTTACCATGGAAACATCTGCTTCTGAATGAATTTGCTGGAAAATCGAGAGATCGAGTTCGAACTGAAGCGTCAGCTACACAAACGTTCGTTTTTGTTTGTTTTGTTTTTTCCATTCCCACTGGCAGGAAAAAGCCGCCTGCAATTCCTGCAGAACCATCTCCACCGACTCTCACAACCACAAATACCAACCGTTCACACACAATTTGTTTAGGAAGCTGCATGAAAAGCGTAGAGAAAAAGAAAAGGAAAAAAAACATCTTAAGAAAAGTGTAACTGTCAAATCAGTCCCTTAATAGCAATATCTAAAGTGTAACGCTGTAAATTCTGATCCAAAACAATAAGATTTTTTTTCTATCATAGAAAATGTCCCAGTGCAGATTACAGCTGGGTGATTGGACAAGCTTATTAATCATTGGTGATTAAAGTTAACAGACAATTATTTTTCTTGTCTTTTGACATTTTTTCCCCACATTATTCTAGATATATTATTTTCAAATTTGCAGAGCTCCCAGTATGTCAAATGCTTGAACGGTTTCCTTGTTCTTATTGACAGTATTCTTAACAGCAGTGTTAGGGATTTGTCAAAAAAAAAAAAAAAAAAAACAGAACAGCCAGTAATAATTCATCAACTTACTCATCGTATTTAATGTGGTAAAGTATGTCCTCTTCTTTGTCCTTGCTGTCTTTTGTTGTACAGTCCGTCTGAGAGGTGGAGGCTCCGTTACTCTCCGAGCTTAACCCCGCGTTATTCCTGTTACTGTCCGTGGTTTGACCCTGTCCCTGCTCGGCCTCCAGGTTTCCATTAGTCCTTTTTGGGGGCCGGCCCACCCTGGGCTTGGCGGGCGCAGTCGGTCCTTTCAGGGCTAATGTCACGTTTTCGATGCAAGCCTCAAACCAGGCGCCGAGGCTCACGTCTCTACAGTCCACCAGCTCGTTAATCTGTGGAGACAGAGACACCAAAGTAACATCCGATCTCTTGATTTCTTCATGTGGGATTAAGAAACACAGTCAGCATCTGTGTACTGAATATTTAGTTACATATTTTCCAACACTGAGAAGTTGAAGTGTAATCTTCAGTAATGTTAAGTTTCAAGTTTACATTTGTGCAAACTGATTTGTCAGAAACTGAATCTTTAAAAAAAAAACACGTTCATTTTTGTTGCACTTCCATCCCATCCTCACCTTGTACAAGCCAATCCCGGGGTTGATTAGTGTGTTCTTGCTGGACGTGGGTGGCTGGGTGTCCGGTGCTGGACTGGAGGGCTTGAGCCCATTTTTGGTGCTGGCTAAGGTACTGGTTGCGCTGGTGTCTGGCTTGCTTTCGTTAACAGTGCTGGTGGAGATGCTGCTGTTCTCGCTGTTCGTGCTGGCCAAAGTTTCCACGGCTGCAGGAGTGGCAGGAGTGGCAGGAGCTGGGGAGTTGCTGCTGTCGGACTTGGAGCCTGGCAGGGGGGCAGAACTACTGGCAACACCTGAGGAGTCCTTGGTGGCGGGGCTGTCTGGACGGTCAGTCTGAGACCGAATCAGCAGCTGGACAATGTCATTGAGCCCCACATTGTAGTCAAACAGTGTTTGACCATCTTCCATCTAAAAAAAAAAAACAAACATTGTTATTTATTTTAAAAAAAGCATTGATTAAATCATGGCTGTATATTATAAAACTACACTTGTCAATGAATGACTGCCTTTTTTCCATTAATTATGACTTCATTTAATAATGTGCTCCACTAAAAGTAAAAAGAAGGCCAAACCTGACAGCATACAACTTTAAAGGTATTCAGTTTCAAAGAAAATTATTTCAATAAGTATCCTGTTATGGTTTGGAGTGTAACAAAGCCATCAATTTATGTTTGCATAAATGTAAACAATAAGTATTTACTTATTATTACTCTAAATCTAATGGATTCTAATCCTGATGGATGCTTGCTGAGAGCCTGCAGACAAAATCCTAAGCCTGTTAAGACATTAGATGCTGTAAGACATTTTAAAAATAAAACAAGTAAAGACTTAATAGAATTTGGATTATATAAATAAAAACATTTATTTTACTGATTAGATACGTTCTGAGACAAAAACAATGCGTGAAGCTTCGACTGGCTGCCTGTGCTCGTTCACCCAGTTCCTTAAAAACAGACGCAGCTGTTTCGTTTTCGTTGTTTTTTCCCCCCTTTCACAAGAAAAAATAAATAAGAGATATGAGCGCATGAATTACTGTGATGGGATATGTGGCTGGGGGGACAGAAATGATGGGGTTGCCATGACGACTGCACGAGCGAACACCCCCCACCTCCAGGAGTCTGAATCGTACACACACACAAAAAAATAAGTAAAAACGCTGTCGACGCAACCCGCCGGTAGGCTCAGCGTGACCCTTTAAGGCAGAGCGGCGCACAGGCAACTGAAAATGCTCCTCTCAGGACATAAATAAATAAATAAATAAATAAATAAATAAATAAATAAATAAATAAATAAATAAATAAATAAATAAATAAATAAATAGGTGTTAGGTATGCTGTACGACACAGCTACCTTAGCCGTACAGTTTATCGAGGCCAACTCACATAAGCCATTTCAACCCTAAATCCCACCGACCCATTGTGCTGCTGAAACAAGCATGGCCGCCACCCTCGCTCGCTCCCCACAACGCTCTTCTTCACAATCTGACAATGAGGAGGAGATGGTTCGGAGGTGTAGCAGGAGAGAAGTGGGGAGCGAGCACGACTTCCCAGTCCCTCTCTGTTTTTAATAGTCTCATGAAATTTAGATCAGTGGAGCGGTTGTGCAAACACGGCCATCTAGTTTTACTCACCTATCTGTCTTCCTGCCGTGGTCTGTCTCTCTGTGTTTCTTTGTCTGCCTTCCTCTATCTAAAGCCCAGACTTTGGTTAAGTAATTCCCGTTTCCTTCGTTGTTGTTTTGTTTTTTATTTTTTCCAAATGCATTAGTGGGGGAAAAAACAGACAACCAGAAACCATTCCGAACCGATAACGGCACGTCTGCTGGGCAGGACCTGCCGCGGAGAATTCCACCGTCGAGGAGTTCAGGTTAGATGGATGGAAACGGACTGAATTTCACAACGGCAGGATTTCACTGCACCAAAGGCAAACGTCTCGGCCGCACAGAGGCTTCATTTCCAACAGCGTGATCAGCCTCTAACAGGAAGGTGTTGACTTCAGTCACACTCGGCTGAAAAATCCCCAGAACAAAGAACCACCAATGAAGCAGGCGAATCTCAAAGAAATCGCTCCAGCTTCTAACGGACGACGTCCCGGTGGCAGAAAGGCCACGGACATGACACTTTCAGTCCCATGTGGATTATGATTTAAAAGCTGGTGTCTTCATTAGGTTAGAGCAGTAAAATAAATGGAGTTCAGTGTTCCAGTAAGAGCCCTCAGACCTGAGATTCCTCAAAACAATCATGAAAAAGGTGTGTTTTCATCTGAGTGTGCATCGTGTTGCAGATTAGAATCAGTTTAATTCCCCTGCTGTATTTCAATAGGTTTTAAAAAAGCTGATGTCTGAATACAAAAGGCACAAAAACACACACACACACAAAGTATTATGTCAGAATAAAAAGCAAACAAAAAGACAACAAAAACCTGTGGCTGCTGTTAAAACATTTCATGAAGTCCTCTCTGCAGCCGATTTCCTGTCAAAGAACAAATCTGTTCAGATTGTTTTTAATCTGCAGGCAGCAAGTGTTATCAAAAAACACAAGTAATTTGACATTGCACTTTTGCCTTGTGCAAACCGCCATCTTACACAATAACTCCTCTATACGCTGCAAAGCTCAGAGCAGAAACCGTCCTTACAATAAAATAACCAAGCAACTTGTTACCAGAATGATCAAACTATAGGAAAAAGGTGCAATTAAATTTATGATGAATAAATCATAAAAGATTAAATTATTATCAGATCAATATTCTAAAATTGTGTTTAAGGAGCGAAAAATGACGCAGGCTCAACTACAGGGGAGAACACTTCTAGTTGCCTCGCAGACAAGGCCGCACCAAAACTGCTCCAACTCCTGCACAATTACTTTTTGTCTCCACCCTCCCGCGTTAGCGAGGAGCCGAGCAAAATAGGTCATATTACCAAAAACAATGAAAGGGGGTGTGTTTGCAGGGCTGCTCTCGACGAGCCTCCATGTTTGGACTTTTTTTATCCGTCATTCTGCATGGAATGAGATGGTTGTTTTCGTTTCAACTTCAATTTTGCAGATTTTTTTTCGTTTTAGCTTGAAAAAGTTTGGATCTTTACACAAAACGAACAAAGTCCAACAGCTTTTTTCCCCCTTGCGCCTAAAAATGAATTAACTGAAACCTATCTGTTTGACTTAAGAGAGCGAAATAAAGACACGCAGGAGTAGAAGTCCCCAGTAATCTGAGCTAACAATTAAAAAAGCAGTGGGAAACCTCATCGCCTAACATTGCCCATGTGTTGGCTGGTAGATGAAAGGTAGGACATTTAAATAAGTATGCTAGGATTACAACTAGGAGGCAAAGTGTGACAAACATGAAAGTGGTAGAAAGCGAGAATTTGTAGTCTCGGTTCGGCGCTTTTCATTGTCTTTGCCCTTTGTCCAGTCTATCAATCAAACAAGGGTGTGACTGTGCATGCATGGCTGCAGCCAAGTTCGCCTTCCTGGTAAGTGAACAACACAGCCATGATAACCCATCAAAAATGCTACAACCAAAGAGCTACAACAACATCGATCCACGTATAATCAAACTGTGAATATATCTAGGTCACAGCAGCCGCCTGTCTGAAAACAGAGCTGCAGTCAACAGTCGAAGAGAGCCCAACTATCCAAACATAAAAGAAGTTGCTGCTTTCGGGAGGGGAAAAGAGGGAAAAGTGTCCTATAGCTTTGGGTTTAAATCACGCGGACACTTTAAGCTGAGGTTTGAACAACAAGCCAAACCTTTTTAGCATTAGAAAACGTGCAGCTTACTGCAAAAGTGTGTGGGCGCTAAGCGGAAAGGCCGCGTGGTCAGAGGAAAGGTGTGTGAGAGCATGCTTGGGAGCACGAGGGAAAACAGACATTCAAAGTCAGACAGCAACACAACAAGGAGTGACTGTGCAAACTAAAAAAAAAAAAAAAACAATTTAGAAATAAATTTTCAAAAAAGGAATCAATGATTGGCTTCCAGCTTAGGGACCTTTTTCGAGTGAAGGGCAAGCTTGACTTTGAACCGGTGAGGCAGCGAGAGCAGGGAGCTGAAGGGAAAAACAAGACGCCATTTTGAAAAGAGAATTAGACGGAGTTGCTCTGCTACAAGTCTAAATCCTAACAGGCACCAGTGTGCATGAATAGCGTCTAGCTAGCGTACGCTGTGTGCCACTGGCTCATTCCATGCATTACTTAGCACATGGAAATCCCCTAATCAAAACTCCCCACTTATTTTCCATTGAAATAAAGGAGGCGCAGGCTTTACTACGCAGGTCTGATCTGCTATCAGCTACGACAATCAACAGCAACTCCAAGATACCAACTGGTTGCTAAATAAAACACGAACCCTTTATATACACGGTACCCACCTTGTCTGTTAAAACAATTACCAAGCAGCAGTCCTACTTCGTGCTTTGAAATGATCCTAAACAACACAATTTTCTCATCTTGGCTGTTAAATAATAGCATTCTAAACAATTTTTTTTCTAAAAATGGTTTTCTCAATGTGACATGCAGAGAAGAAACTCTGCATGTGGACAGATTATTATTTGATTACAAAACAAGAAACAGGTTATTATGGAATGTGAAAATGTAGACTGCAATTCGTAAAGTGTCTTTTTGGCTAATAACACACTGGCACACATGAATAGAGGAAAGTGAGACTAAGAGGGGGTCTGCCAGGCTGAGTCATTGTGTTAGAAACAGCTTTGTAATAACGCTACAGTGGAAATCTGAGAATACAAACGTACGGTCCTTTTTACTAGAGGAGTTAGGAGAGTGTCCAAGTGTGTGCAGGATAATGTAATTTTGCACCCGTGCTGGCAAAATGAGTCACAATGAGAAATGCTTCAAAACAAAGCGCTAGGTTACTTATTTGTTTTGTTTTTTTGGTTGGTTGGTTAAAAATTAGCAGTTTGTTACCTGACCTAGCAACAACCTAGCTTTGTTTAGAAGATTTATTCTTTTTAATCCGTCTAGAACATCAAGAATTCCAGCTTTAGATAAAAAAGGGGAATCTCAAAGCGTCACGTCACTTATCTTTCCAGAGGTAAGGACAGTTGGCAGAGAAATGTATCCTTAAGTTACAGGACAGAGATTATATTTGAGGACATACAAGTTAAAACTATAATTTAAAGGTAGATCAGGAAGGTTGTATGCTATTTTTATTTACTGTCTTTATAAACTAATTTTAGTCACTTATTTTGCATTGCTGCCTGTGCACATTCTGACACCTTTTGCCAGACACGCCACAATTAAGTGAAACACAAACCCTCAGAGGAACTTGTACATCTAGTAATAACACAAAGCATTCTCACTTAAAACAACTCGACTGTAACTTACAGGAAGCTGGTTGTTAAAGCTAAAGATCCATCGTTTTTCAAATCGGTAATTGTTTAGGTGGATCTGATTAAACAGTCCATTCTAGTTAAAATATTTCAATTTATTAAATAACCAAATGCTGTGTTTCCCAAAGTGGGGTCCCGAAACATCAAGGTGGGGTCCTGAAATGATTTTCTGAATTAATTACATTTTTGCCTTAGTTGTTACAAAGGAGTGAGGTTAGTGTATTTAAAATGGATAAACGTAATATAAAAAATATTGTTACCATGCCCATGTTTAGTTGACCTGATAAAAATGTTTATCCTCCAAAATTAGCTGGGGGCACAGGTCTCTGCTACTGTTATTTTGTGGGTCAAAAGCTGAAAAGTTTGGGAACCACTGCACTTTGGTTCCCAAAGTTGGACTTGGGACCCAATTATGTGTCATGAAGCACCTTGGATAATCTCCAGAAATCAATTTAAAGGGTAATCAAATAATTGCTGATGTAATATTTTCCCTATAACTATTACAAAAACACAAAATAAGTATAAATAATTATTTATATTTGTGTACTAGCTGTTTAGATTGTCAAAAAGCCTGTGTTTTTATGGTTATTAACAAATTTTGTGTACTCAGACCAGTAATATTTGGGGTCACAAGTTTTTGCCGTGGATATTTTGTGGGTCAGATATAAAAAGTTTGGGAACCACTGTTTTATAGGACATCTATTAAAATGAATATGAAGAATATGAGGCAGCGTATCAGACAAATGTGCCTTAAATCATTGTTTTTTTACAGTAAAAATCCACTGAAAATAAGAAGACATGGAGCATATAAGTTATGTTGATGTGCATTGTTTTTTATAACTTTTATTTTTGCTTAATGTCATCTCTAAATAACCCTAACCAACAAATTTTAACATATTAAGCATACATGCATGTGTCTGCTGCTGCACAGCATAGGTGAAAGAACACAACCTGTCCACGTGATTCCATATGAGGACAGGTTTACAGCAGACACACACTCACATGACCAACGTGGTGACAATAGAGTGTAAACAAATATACTTGCTTTAAGGCACGTGCAGCTTACATTAGTTAGCATACAGCCTAGCCAGCAAAGTTACAAACCTGCCACTTTCGTGACATGTGCACAATCGTTGCATCGAGTTAAATAAAAATGGTGCTTCTCGTTTGCAGTGCACTTCTTTGTGGAAACAGCGCGCCTTGTTCTTCTTTTATACGTCTGCTGGCAATGTAAACACACACGTCACAGCGACGGTACATTTGTTGCACGCTACTCTTCCTCAACAGCAACTAAAAAAAAAAAAAAAAAACAATAACAACATCAAAATGCATTCTTGCATCCACGTTTTCCTTCAGGATGGCAACCCCCCAGAGCTCTTGCGCAAGAACTATTGGCGAATTCCTATCAAAACAGGAAGCTCGTTTGGGTCCGAAACGACTCAACACAAGAGAGAAGACCCCTCGCTCGCTCCTCCAGCAGAATTTAGCGCTGTCAAAATGTCAAAAAACTGTCCGCTAACAAGACGTAGCGACGCAAATAAATTAGCTTTACCTGCTTCCCTCGGTAGAAGAGGCGCTGCTGTTGTGGGCTCACGTTGAATATCTCTTGTATTTTCAACCGTAAAGACTCGATTTTGGTCAGTCTGGAAAGGTCCTCAACGGTTCGAGTCTCCTTCCCGTCTATGGTACGAACCTGGATCCACATCGTTGCGCCCGCCCTGCCTTACGCTTCAAATAAATGCCAGATAAAGGGCGCTTTTCTGTGGATCGAGAATGTGCTCTGGGAAGCTCACACGAGAGGGACTTCAACAATTTTGGGGGTCCATGGCGTTTTCCTCTGCAGAGGCAACGTCGGAACTGACTGCTGGGGTCTCTCTCTCTCGAGCAGGAGGCGTTTCACATGAGGTCGCGGCGCCAAGCAAAATCTCGCGAAGTAATGCTAATGCTAACGCGCTACATGCTAAGCTAACACGCTAAGCTAGCACCGTGTGCAGTTAAAGGCGCAGCTCCCCGTAAAAGCATTAGCATTTGTAACAACACGAAAACATAGCCTTCTAATTTTATATTTTCATCACTTATGATTTGTGGAGGTTTTTGAGCATAGGAGATTAAGAAATTCTTGTGAGATAATAGTCAATAATCATCAACGCATCAGTCCAAGGCTCCTAACGCTGGATGTGTTTACTTTGAACAGCTAATAAGGGGCCCCTACTGCAACTGCTATGCAGGTAAACGGCTGATGCATAAACACAATCTAAAATATAATGCAAGTAAAGAAAAAAATAACCTTAAAAGCACAAACTGATCAAGTATGTGTACAGCAATCACATTTTGTAGGTGGACAAATAAGTCAAAGACAACCATAGGGTTGTTCAATTAGATGCAAAAAGACAAGAAAAAGGTAGACCATTCATAAGATGATGCACCAAATAATCACAAGTCCTGTCTAAATGGTAGACAGCTCTCTGTAGCACAAAATTATTGTCCCACCAAGTCTCTTTCTCACAGTAAAACTTTTTTTTTTCATATTCCTTCCCTTTTTATTTTTGTGCAAGTTTAGGATGAGATTTTTTATACCATTATGGTCTATTTCTATAAATTTGTTGCCATCATAAATTCTTATGAGCCTAAAAAGTAAAATTATAGGACACACAGGCAGACAGCATGGCTGCTGGTTTGAACAAGCAGGAAATAAACTTGAATAAAATATCTGTTTTACGAATTAAAAGGTTTTGCTTGTGTATAATGTTTTAACTTTTAAATTATTTTTCCAAAACAAACAAATCATGAAATCAAAAAACTCCAAGCTGTTACAGTAATCATCGCTTTGCTCAAATTTGCAATGTATTTCTATTTTCACTAAACCTGACAGAAAATGTATGTCGTCACCTCTCAGTACCAATAAAGCTGGGGCCCCTGATGGAGTTACTGCTTAATTAAGAATTGCCCCAGCTGGACTCCTGCTGAAGGCCTCATTTTCTGCCAGGAAAACATCTGTTTTGCTTGTTTTTCTTGTAGTCTTTTCTTTGGCTTTGAAAAGGTGGCAGCTGTGGCATAAGACTTTTGCTTAACAAATTCAGGGCCACTTTAAAAAAAAATCCACCAACAACCTTAACCTTTCAGCTGAAGCTTATAAAGAAGAAATAAAATACAACTGGAAAAAGCAATATGTTGTTTAAAATTAACATTTATGAGAAGGTTTTATTCAGGAAATTCTTTATTATTTAAATAATTGTTAGAAGCTCTCAAAATCCCACACAGGATGTACCCATTACAATTTTAATCAGCATAATCATGACAAAAGACCCATGTCAAAGCTTAGTCACTACAAAAAAATAGTTTTTTTACACATAATGTGGAGGCCCAATTCTGTCACCCTTAGAGCTGCCACAAACGATTATTTTTATAATCGATTAATCACCGATTATTTTTTGATTAGTCGACTAATCGGATCATACGTTAATTGAATATAAAACAGAGCTTATCTGCATTCTGGCAGCTGCATTGTATAACCATGGTTAGATTTTAGCTATATGCTAACTAAAAATAATTGCTGTGGAAGGCAAGTTCTGCTCTGCAGATATTGCAATGAACAGGTTTCTCTTTCATTTTCTTAAAATGTTCCCACACTTTTGAGCTCCGTTGTCAGGTAGCCATGATAGCAGAGCCTGTCTGTATAATGTCTTGTGACGTCCACGGCCTACCCCAGTTACCACTACTGTGCATGTGTGTCAAGGACAGAAAGGCAGATGTGGCAGTGGAAGGTAGTTTCCAGAGAAAAACAAAGTAAAGACCAAAAAAAAAAGATTAATCGATTATTAAATTAGTCATCGATTATTTTAATAATCGATTAGTCGTCGGCTGTGATGGACTTGCGACCTGTCCAGGGTGTACCCCGCCCCTCGCACTGTGACTGCTGGATATGGGCACCAGTGACCCACGCGACCCTGAAAAGGAAGAAGCGTGTACAGAAAATGGATGGATGGATGGATGGATTAGTCGTCGATTAATCGACTAATCGTGGCAGCCCTAGTCACCCTGGAGAAGAAAGAAACACATCTTTTAAATCAAAATTGTAAAATGAAACATCAAAATTGTGATTTTGAATCTTACAATAATTGGATCATATCTCATAACTACAAAATGCTATTTATAACAATGAGATAATTTCTCACAACTATATATTGTTTGAACAGTATTAGATAATTATGACTTAGTGTGTCAATATTATGCAGCAGCTGTGATACTTAATAGGTACTAAGTCATATTTTTGCAATACTGTCTCTTCATAATTATGTGTTAGTCTCAAAATTATAACTTTAAAGTGCATAAATCTAAATATATATACACACCAAGTCTCATCATTTACCATCAGATCGTCTATATAAACATCAATTGTAGTTTATGGTGTAAAATTGTTTTTACAACGGTGACGGTACCTGACAGGCAACAAAATGGGCATACTTAACCCACGGCTGTCAGCGTTTATGGCGACATCTAGTGGTTAAAAACGATAAGGAATTCTACATAAAACTGTTTCCTTTGTCACCTTTAACAAACTGAAATACGTTTCATCTCACCTGTTATTAACCATGTGTAAAAAGCCAGATACTACCTAATAATTGTTGTGCACAATAAGTTAAAACAGTTTGAGAGAACACGGAGAGGCAGCAGGTTACGTCAGGCTGCTCTCATGATCGTGTGCACGCAGGGGTGGAAGTGGAGCATCTTCGGTGGAGTGGATGGCTCACTTGTCTTCACACAACCCAGGGACTCGTCTAAGGCTTCTGGATGCGACACATGGTGCAACTTTCTCTCAGAAGTAAACGTGCAGACGTTCACATGCCGTGAAACAGCTGTACAGCCTGACAACATGTAGTTAGCGGGATAGCCACTGTTGTATTGTCAATCAGCTACAGTTGCTTCGGCTAAAGAGCTCCATTAGCTTCCCTGCTGTCTGACATCACTCCGTGCGATGACGGCATTTACAAGTCTGCGCAGCTTCTCATCTTCTGGACATTAGGCAAATCAAAAGAAGTAATATGGATAGTGAACGCAGTAATTGCAGGCCTCAAGTCAGAAACAACAGCCAGCTAACTCAGCTAGCAAGGCTGTCATAGCTGCTAAGCTCGCTAAAAGCTGCGAAGAGCCTCACTGATAAGGTATGTTGTTAAACCTTCTGAATCATTTTTGGCCCTCTGGTCACTTTAAGTTAGTTCTTATTTTGCACGTGATCCGGAAAAGAAACATGTCAAGGAAGCGTGCAAAACAAACTTTTGTTTACTTTGTTAGCTAGCTCGCTGTTTTGCTAACTCAAGCTAACGAGTCAACAATCAAGGAAAAAAACAATTTTTACAAAGTTTCAGGAGGTAGGCAGAGTAGCCAAATGTAGTATGGACTCGAATCACGTGGTCATTCAGTTTGAACTATTTTAACCTCCAAACGGGAAGAAATTATTGTAAGCGAGTCGTTTAATTGCTGTGATTTTTATCTGGACCTGGAGGGTTGTGTTTCACAAATCTCAGTTGGGAGATTAAGCTGAGATTTTGTGGTTATCCTGGCCTAAATCTACAAAAAGCAGGGGCACACAAGTTATGTAAATTTATTCTGTGCAGTTACTCTACTCAGATCAGGCTAACAGGCTTTGTTAATCCTTGTGTGTATTATTGAACAATCAATGAGGAGTCAACCTGATCAGAAATGTTTTTTATTTTGTTTTTTGCACACGTGATACATGTTTTTACTTAGTGTTATTCATTTAGTTTCAGAGGATTTTTGCCATTAATGACAGCTGTTTATTTCTTCAGGTGTTTGTGCAGTGGTTCAGGACAACATGACAGACCAAATCACAGCAGGTTGTAGCCAGCAATGGCTCCTCAACCAGGATGCGACTGTGACAGACCCCACCTCAGCACCTCAGCAGCCCACCTCACACATCATTTCCTCTCAATCCAAGTGGATGTGCAACATCTCTGGGGACCCGGAGCTGATCTTATCCGAGGACGTGCTCAGCAATGGCACATGTGAAGCTGAGGCTCTGGTAGCATTACGTTGTTCTGACCGCAGTGAACGGGGTACTGCTGGGGGCGAGCATCTTGCTCTGAGCAACAATGGCATGTCGTCGTTTCCTGACAGTGACCTCTCTTTGCCTGAGGTCTGCATTTCCACCAACAGTGATAGCTTTGAGGATGATATGAACTATGAGGTCCAGCAAGCCTACAAGATTTTCACTACCATTCTTTTGGACAAACACAAAGCGATCACCGGCCAGTTTCTTCACCCTATTGGCCACCATGAGGTCCAGCACGGTATCGGAGGGGTCCAGGGCCGGGCTCATTCTCAACTTAGGCAGTCGATGTGCTTGCAGAGGATAAAAGAGAAGTTTATCAACCAGGAGTTTGAGACGATAACAGAGTTTGTTGCAGACTTCCGGCTCATGTTGGAGAACTGTTACCGCTATCATGGGGTAGACCACTGGATCTCCAAACAAGCTCAAAAGCTGGAAACTATCCTGGAGCAGAAGCTGACGTTACTTTCCAGGTAAGATTAAAGGAGCTACATATTACATTTTTTTGCTTGTTGTTTTATGAGGTAATCTATTAGAGGTATTGTCGTTTGAATAATCTTGAACACAGGTTATCACTGCATATAACTAAGTTTGTCATAATATATTTATAATAGAGTAGAAATGTAAATCATGATTTAAAGAAGCAACAAACTTTTAATTCTTGAGAATAATTTGGAATTTTGTACTGGACAATGATAGGGAAAACTGTGTGTGTGTGTGTGTGTGTGTGTGTGTGTGCGTGCGTGCGTGCGTGTGTGACCCATCATATCGAAATGAGGATTAAGTCAAATTTGGTCAAAATGACCTAGTTACAGTTTCAGACTCTTGGCTTTAAAAGCTACATTTTGATACCTGGATCATTCAGATATCATAATTAAATCCATATATGTGACTTAATTTGTCTTGTTGGTTACAATAATACATAAATATTTGGTCTGAATCCTAAGTTTATGTCATTTTAATGAGGAATTTTGATGTCCTTATAAAGAGGCAACCTCAGTTATATTTGATTATTGAGATTTCCCAGCTAAAAAGAAACAACACTTTGCTAGCTCACAGGGAAAATCTCAAAATTTTAAGGCATTTTTCCTCAAAATCATTTTTTTTTTGTTTCTACTGCTCAAAAAAGTGCTTCAAAATTTTGTTTTATGATTATATTTCAGACAGTTCATTCAAATGAAACATTAATAAGGCTTTTAGTCATTATATTTTGACAAAATGCAATTTTTGTTAACATTTTAATCAAAACATTATTTGCCTATTTCTCCATATACCACTTTTGGACTTAATCCTCGTTTCGATGTGATGGGTCACATATGTGTTTGTGTGTGTGTGTGTGTCTGTGTTTGCTGTCAGAGTGTTTTAGACATACTGTCTGTCTTCTCACAAAAGTAACATTTGTTATTTGTTATTAGGCAGCTTCAGTCATTTTGTTTAATCACATTTTATCTCAAAATAGGACGTTGCGAGAGAAAACGACACTGGCAGTGACATCTAAAGGGCGTTTTGGCACAGAGGAAGAGCGAGGCTCTGGGGGAACCTCCACAAGGAGACGACCACCATCTCGTAACCATCCCACCTTAACTGGGCATGAGTCCATCATGGTACAGAAGCTACGCCTGGAGGAGCAACAGAGGGCCAAGGAGGAGAAGAGGTTAGTGGATTTTTACAACAAGTTTGTGTTTCAAGTTGTTGTTGTTTTTTTAAGTTAATCAAACTTATCATTCGCACTTCCTTTTTCAGGCAACGTGAGCTTGAGAAGAAAGAGGCAGAAGAAATATCAGCCAAAGAGGTGGAGGACTGGGAGCAGAGCTTGCTTTCGCAGGCTCAGCCACACACCGTGGACACCCTGTGGGAACTCCCTGCTATTGGACACTTCCTTTGCCTCGCTCAGACCGCCCTCAGCCTCCCAGAGATTGTGTTTTTTGAGCTGGAGCGTTGCTTGCTCATGCCACGCTGCAGCTTGCTCTTGTCCAAAATCATGTCCTCCCTGCTGTTCCCACCGCAGCGCAGGGCCACGCTGCACCGGCGCTCTGCACTGCCTTACCGCCGCTGGGAGTCGGAGCTGAGGCAGCGTGTCCTGGCCTGGTACCGAACTGTCGGTGCGTCTCATGAACAGCAGCGTCGAGCCGAGCGGCTAGGACTTTGTCACCAGTTCTTCAGCACTCTGGGTGAGGTTAGTCCTTTGGAAGAGAAGCCCTTTCATTTGTTGCCCTTCTACCAGCGGGTTTGGCTTCTGAAGGGACTGTGCGACCATGTGTATGAGACGCAAAAAGACGTGCAGGATGCCGTGCTGGCCCAGCCCATCCATGAATGTAGGGAGTCTATTTTGGGCTACGACAGCAAAGAGAATGCCTATATACACTTCCCACATTTCTGTGGAGCAGACCTGAGAATCTATTGCCAGAGTCCCAGCACACCTCCAGCATTTCCCTTCCCCTCTCTTCTGGTGAGAAGAGTTGAAATGGATCAAGGACCAGATGGCGAAGAGTCAGATGTAATCAAGAAGGAGGCAGAGAAACCTGAGATTGCCTGTGATGGCACCTCGCTGGACTCAGGAGAGTGTGGAGATTTGACCAAAAGAACAGTGAGGGTTTTCAAAAAAGAGAAGTGGAACAGGGAGGAAGATGAACAACGGTTTCAGACGTTGTCACCGACGAAAGAAGTGCCTAAATCAGGATACTCGTTTGGAAACTCCTGTGAAAACTTTAAATTGGATGTAATACTCCACGCAAACTCTTTTCTTACAAACAGACAAATTGCTGGAGAAGACGATGTGAAAATAAATTTGAAACAAGAAATGTCAAACATAGAGCAACAGCCTAAGCAGGAGCAGGTCTTCTCGTTGGGTTCAGAACGTACCATTAAAGCAGAAATACAAGATCCCTGCTTGAATGTTGGAGAGCACAGCTACACAGGCCGATCACCTGCTTCCTCGGTTAATCTGGGGTCTCCGACTAAACCCATGGATGTCAAAATAGAGGACTTGAGCCCCAGTCAGGGAAACCAAATCTCTCCCTGTCTGGACTGTTGTAAAAGCAAAACTGGTCATGCAAAATCCACAAAGGACGACTACTGCTGCGGTGCATCTGTACTAGCAACGCAGTTGTCTTCTGAGAGCGCTCAAAACTCAAGTGAAGAGGGGATGAATGACAAGATTTGGACTAAAAAAAGGCACAAGAAAAAGCAAGCCAAAGATCATTTGGCAGGGCTAAGAAGAGAGCACAGGCGCATGTCTCATGAGGAGGCCACCAAGTCGACAATTCGAAGAGTTGCCACAACAATTAAGAGGACGGAAAAAAAGAAAAAACATAAAACGGGTACGAAAATGAATGATTTGTGTTGCCGTAAATCTAGTTATTTTGAAGTACTTTAAGCAATTTTTTCCTATCATCAACATCAGGGTTCTGTTACTGTTGTTTACAGGGAAGAAAACTGAATCTTTGAGGGAAACTAAGGATGATGCTCCACCTGAAACATCATTTAAGGTAGTTGCACAACCCCTAAATAAGAAAAAAAACACTTTATTTACATTTAATTAATCTCTTATTGTATTACAAACAGTATAAAGCTGAGATATGCTGTGACTTTGAGGACACCAAGTAATGGAGCATTTCATAATCTCAGTTTAGCTTTTGACTTGTCACTAATATCTGTCGAGAAGAATCAGATTCTTGTAAAAAAAAAAAAAAAGGTATGGATTACAAGTTTTATAGCAATAATTTATTTTCCCATGTGATAGTTGCTTCTAAAACCTTATAAAGTTGATGCAGCCATGCAAACAAGGTTAACATCAGACTTCATTTTGTTGCACAGTAAAGTTTTAATTAGTATTTGTGAATGTAATTCCATACCTTGTTTAACAGAGGTTTCCAAAAATAATCTTATGACCGTGTTATATTGGCCTTTGCTGGACAAATACGATCTGATATTCAAAACCAAACGTGTGCTGATTAATGAGGTGTATTTGATGAAACGATGCAGAATTGACTGATTTGACTCAAAGTAAATGTATAAATCACTGTTTTAACACAAACTGTGTTGGTCTGTACAATATGGTAATGATTGGCGAAAGTAGGCGGGGCTTGTAAATAACACGCTTTAAAAAAATTTAAAAATTATACGTTGAACCTACAGAGCTAGTATTCACAGGATGCATTCTGTGATGTATATCAAGCAGTTCTGTTACTCAAACTTTTCATTTTTTTATTTTCTGCATTTGTTGGTGAGAAATTTGTCTAAGAAGCTAATGATCAGGAAGTCAGGATGATTTTTTTCAATCACAACGAATATGACCAGGGATGATTTCCAGGCTAATTTGAAGAAAATATTGAAGTTTGTTTGAATCCATTTACTTATTTGCATTTAATATTTTTTTATTTATTGCTATGCACCTTGTACAATTCAGTATTTTTCCTAACAAAACTTTTTAACTCTGTGGGCTTGAAAAAAAAAGTACATTTAAAAGAGCCATATCTTGTCATTGGGGACTATTTTCAGATTGGAGCATTTTTGCATGTTTTCCCCATGCAAACGTGGACTTTCTCCGGGTTACTGTAGTTTCCCGACCACAGACCAAAAACATGCATGTTAGAAGGATGTGTAACTAAATTGTCCCTACGTAGCTTTGTGATGGTCTTGCAGCTTATCCAGGGTGAACCCTCATTTCCCATAGTGACTGTTGGAGATGACCCAGAAAGAAAGAGCAGGAAAAGAAAATGAATACACTTCTAATTCAGCACTGTTTACTCCTTTTAAAAGTGTATTATGCACTTTAAATAGCATTTCATGAAATCATTTCAAAACTTTTTTTTTTACAGTATTGATTTAAGCTTTCCCATTCTTGCCATTTCTTCCTTGTCTTGTGAAGTTGGTTTGCAGCAACCTAGATGAACTGCGAGAGCTGATCAGTAAGACTGAAGATGAGCTTGATGAACTGGAGAGCATGAAAAAGAAATTGGTAGGTGACAGTCATGCTTCTGTCAAGGTGATTTACAACTCATCATGTTCAAGGAAATACAAAGTTCAAGAATTGCTCATGCCGTACAGTGGATTTTTTCCTTTTTTTCTTCGTGTGTGAACCCACAGGGTCGGTGGTACTATAAGAAAGAAGCAGTGAAAGAACTCCACAGCACTCTAATCAGACTTCTGAATGAACTTTCACCTTGGGAACCAAAACTTATTAAGGCATACCAAAGAAACAGGTCAGAAATTTTAACAGTTTGATGACATTGCCATTAATATCAATATATGTTTCAGGGGAAAAAAATCATTGTTCTTGTGCGACTAGCTTAAACAGGTTTATGTAATACATTACTAATACTGAAATAGGAGCGGGGAATTTTTTCATTTGTTTTGTTTTGCCAACACAGACTTCGTTTAAAGAAGGAGTTTGATGATTTCAAGAAGCATCCAGAGTACAATAGCTTTGTGCGTGAGGAGTGTATTTCATCATCGTCATCAGATGATGATTACGATTATGAGGGGGTTGATTTGGAAAAGGATGGTTGTAGAGAACTGGAAGAGGAGGACCAGGAACATGTTCCTAGAGGCCTTTGGAGTGGAGGTAAAGTAATTAAACTAAAATTTAATTAAAATGACTAACATTCATTTTGATTGATGTAATGTAGCAAGAAAGTTGTTCTTCAGTTAAAAGTGGTAACTTAGACCAGTGTTTTTCAACCCTGGTTGTCAAGGCACACTGCCCTGCTTGTTTTAGATGTTTCCCTGCTTCAACACAGCTGATTCCAATTGATAATTTTTCTTTTTGTATAAACTTGCTCAGTAAATGTACATTATTATTGATTTAAAAATGTACAAAAATTGGTTCCTACAGAGACTTTGTTCCTTTTTCAAATCCTAGAATTGTATTTTGCCCTTTTCAAGTAATTTGAGTACAAAATGTGTTTCTATTATCTCTTATTAAAGACCCCAGAAATATTGTACAATTGTTTCCACCTTTTTGCTTGGCTCTGACAAATAAGCCAATGTGTTTGTATCTGTGCAAACACTTGACGTGTGATGACATTGTACAGAAATGTTGATACAGCTCATTTATCTATGTAACACTAATGAACTTTTTTATGTTTTTAGCAAGCACCAGAGATTTTGGTGTTGAGCTTTCTGCAGAAGAAACTGTGTCCTGCACATCTCCAGTCCACCTAAAACACACTCTGGCCTTTAAAGAGAAAGGTGTAGGATTGATGCCACGAGTTCAAGGAGTTGGCACCGATACTGCTTCTGCAGAGTTGAGGGGAGAGTCGCGATCTGAGATGATCCCAGCTAATCAGTCCTGGGATTCAACATGGGTAACAAAGATACCGACACATAATTCATTGTGTCCCACATACCCAACCCTAAACTCAACCTGTGGGCTACCCAAGGGCTATACGCCCATTCCTACTCTGCTGGCTAAGAGTGTGGGCAACAAAGTGACCTTGATGAAAAAACCTACTGATTTCCCAGGTTTTACCAGTGTAGGTAGACAGAGAAAAGGGTCTTTGGTTCCTCTGCCTACCTCTGCAGTTACTACCCTAAAAGTTTCAAAAGCACAAAGTTTTCCATCCAGTTACCAAGAGAACTCACAGCAGAAACCATCACAAACACAAGTCCACGAGCAGCCAGGGATGAAAATGACCACTCTTCCTCAAACACCACAGGCCAAATTGTGCCAGACTGAACCAAAAAGTCCTATCCAAGTGGTGTATAAGGCACCAGAGGGACTGGGTCACCTTGTAAGGAAAGACAGTAGCAGCAGAATGCCTGCTCATTCTGTTGTGGACCAGAATACTGCAGCAAAAGTTATGCAACAAGTAGTGTTCCTGCCTTCTAACCTTCTCATTCAAAAGGCTGAAACGACGACGACCGGTGTGAATCTGAAACAGTCGACAAGCATTCAGGTTCCAGTTTCTAAGGTGACCAGCCCTGTACGTATGTCAACTGATGTCCCTGGATTTAGCATTCCTGAGAGTAAAATCCCCGTTCAACAATTGGATCTGATGAAAGATGCGAGCACCGGGAAAAATCCTACTTTTTCTTTCGTGCCTCATTTGCAAAGAGGCCCTCTAAATATATCAGGATCTAAGGAGACACAAATTTGCTGTGTCCAAACCAGCACACCAAAAGTCAGCTTGGCGACCTCTTCATCCATCACAACTGCTTCCAGAGCCATTTCTACTGAAAGTGTTATATTTACAGAACCTAAACAGGAGCTTAAGACTGTGTGTATCCGTGACTCGCAGTCCATCTTGGTAACAACTAGAGGGGGAAACACAGGCATTGTCAAAGTCCAGACATCCTCAGACCAGAATCCACTGGGCTCTTTTCCTTCCAGCCCAGTCATCACCATTTCTCCTCAGTTAAAAGCCTTCCTTGTATCTAAGACAACCACTTTGTCTGCTCCTGGTCCTCAGATATCACCTTCCACTGTCCCAGCAGTGACTGGTGTCTCAGTGGTCCAAACCCAGAAGAAGGCTCCCAAATACGCAAGTTCTACACTCACCTCAGTAACAAGTAGCATTCCTGTAACTAGCTCAGAGCACCAAACAGGCACTACTGTTGCTTTCAGTCAAGGCTCTAGCTTCTCAACAGCTGAAACCAAGATGCCACAACTGGGGCACGCACCTTCTTCTGGTTCTACGTTTCCCGCTTCAACATTAAAAAATGTTGTTTCCATCCCCTCACCAAGTAACTCTGGTGTTTTCAGCTCTCCAGCTCTCACACAAGAGTTCTTAGGCAAGACTGGTGTGAAACGTGCCAGTACAGATACTAGGTCCCACGTAACGAAGTACATTTTAGTTGCTCCATCTTCCTCTTCAGCCTCAAACAAAGTCACAACAAAGGGGACACCCTCTTCTCCAAAGTCTGCTACCAGTTCAAGAGTGATTCTCATGAACCATCCCACAGTCACCTCATCTACCACCTTCATGGGACCCTTACCAACACCAGTGATGGCAGCTGAGAAAGGACACACATTGAACTCTTCAACAAGTCAAACGCTAAAGATGGGGTTAAGTTCACCTCAGCCTGTTTGCAGTGTCAGCTCTGAGGCATTGTCCAAGACCACCACCAACACTATGTCCTCAGGTAGGTTTTGTATATGTGATTTTGTGTGTGAATAACTTGTTTTATTCTTGTTCAACTCAGCTTGTAAACTAAACAACAATCAAAGTTTGATCCCCACCACCCCCCAAAAATTTTTTTTTCAAAAACAAAACTGGACTCCTGTTGTTGAAGATGTTTCACTTCTCAGCCGGTGACGTGAAACATCTTCAACTAAAGAATAAAAGTGCAGTTTTTTTGTTGTATCATTTATTATTAGATTTTATATATATATATATATATATATATAATATGAAAGGCAGCAGAATTTTTCTTGGATGACTGAAAACATGCACTATGTTAGTTGGAAGAATGAGAAGCTGAATTGTAGAAACAAATCAATTTAATGAAAATTTATGTCTCGAAATTGTGTTGAAGGTTACTGTGCTCTCTAGCACTGTACATCTTACCCCAGAAGCATTTATTTAGAAGTTTGTTTCTACCAAGAAATTTAAATGAGCCTATTTCAAAAAGACTGCAGCATAAGTTAATGATAATGTTAATGGGTCTGAAATATTTCCATCTGCACAGCAAATTTATTCCAGAATTTTATTACCAAAGCAGCAGTGGGCTGTACAAAAATACAGATTTTAAAGATTTTTTTTCTTCTCATGGCTAAGAACTCTCTCAGAGTCAGTATTGCATGAAATATAGACAGTTCCAAGGATATTAATTAAATTTTACTTTGTTACCAGGCATTGCAATCCAATTGAGAGGAAATCGTGCATCTGTTGGACAGACCATTGGTGCACTATCACATTCTCCTTCAACGACCATGCCAGTGTCTATAACAGCAAACTGCTTTTCAACAGCTGCCACCAACACGGGACTGGTCCCATACACAACTTTAAAAACTGACACAAGCTCTTCTACCCAGCTTGGTACTCACAGCTCTCCACTCCATGGTATACCCTCCGTATCTGTTATCTCTCAAACAAGCTGCTCTAGATCTACTGTTCCCACCTCGCTAACAGGAAACACGAACAATAGGGACTTCAGTATCTTTGCAGGTGCATCATCCAACAGCTCTCCCACTGAAGTAACCAGTGCTACCGGGAGTGCAGTTCAAGTTCCTACACTTAACCCTAAACCCTTAAATGTCAAAAGCAGTGTTCCTGAGGATAACACAGCTTTGTTTTCTCATCTTGTCACTAATAAAACCCAAACCATCTTTTCCTCTACACCAACCACCTGCACTCCATTGAACACCTCTACCACTAGCACAGTCCAGCAGAGGGTAATCATCAACACATCAACACACCTTACTGCTGGCACACAGATCTTCCTGAACAATGCACGCTTCGTAGTTCCTCCCCAGGGTTTGGGTCCAGGCAGCCACGTCCTTATCATCTCGAGCCCTGCAGCACAAGTGCCTACCACCACTCCTGTTAGCACTAGGTCATTGGCAGCACCCAAAGGGGCAAGCCCTACCATTGTTACACCTCGGGCGTCAGTTTTACCCCAGTCTACAGCCAGATTGCCCGGTGTTCCACCTGTAAGTTCTCCTTTTGTAGCGTGCACGCCTGCTGTTGGTCCACCTTTGATGGGAAGCACTCCACATGTCGTACCTTTCAGACCTACAGGAGCACCTAGCCTGGGCTCAACACTGATGCCCAGCAAAACAAATGGAGTGTCAGCCCTTCCTAGGTTTCCATTTGATCATGCAGGTAACTTTAGATTACCTCCTGTATGCACATCCACTTTGGTCTCTTCCCCACCAAGGCTGGGCTGTGTACCAGCTGTAGTTTCCCCAATAAAATCTAGTGCCCCTGCTCTTGGCTCAGCACCAGCTATAATCAAGGTAGCTCCTGGTAAAGCCACACAAGCTAAATCATCGTCCACCATATCATCTATATCAACGGCCTTTCCCAAATTGTCAGGGGCTTTATCATCCTTACCTGTTCTACCCAGCTCATCAGCAGGTGCTTTGTGTAGCCCTGTCATGCCAGTTTATGTACCTCCCTCCTCAGCTGCAGCTTCAACATTAACAGACACACCAGCCTTGCATGGTTATCTTCCTAGCCAGCCAATGGATTCTGTGACAACTACTGGACCCTCAGTGCAGCCAGAGCAGACGGAAGTCAAATTTGCTACACCCTCAAGTGTTCATCCACAGGGTTTAGTGCAGACTGGACCAGGAAATACTTTACTTAAAGAACAGATTGTGCAACCAGTGCTTTCTGGTACAAGGACACATGTACTGCCAACAATGTCTGTCCCACCGACGCTGAGTGCAGCATCCAGAATGCAAGCACTGCCCGTTGCTACTGTCTCACCAGTTGGAAGCACTGTCAGCCTCTTTGAAATGGCACCTGTGGTAGCTGCTCCACCAACAAGCGTCACTGTAATAACAAGTCCAACTCAACCAATCACGTCACTGTCAGCAAAGTCCACCATTCATCCACCTGTCATACTGACCAATCCAGCGCTTAGACATGACTCTTTGCAGACCTCAGCCTTGGATACGTGTGCCAGTGTACCATCCAAGCTGCTCATTAGTCCAGATGGTGCTGTTTTGAGCACTGTTCAGTGCCGGAGTAATCCAACAGAGCTGACTGCCTGCCCCAATCTGCTTGATGCACTGGTGGTTTCCTCCAATAGTTCCAGTGGAGCACTACAAACACACGAGTCCACTTTACAGCCTTCTAAAGCAGAGTGAACTATCAAAACAACACCGACTCTGCTACATGAAAGTCCAAATACAATTATCCACCTGCTTAGTTTTGACAGGACTCATGATGCATCCAGCAATATTTTTGATTCATCTTACAATTTGGGCAGAGTTTAACCTCTGGTTACATAATCTTTTCATATGTATGAATTTGTGTTCTCACACATACTGAAACTGTATACTGTGATGCGTTTCTCATGTAGAAACTGAGATTTTCTTGACATGAATGTTGCAATCATTTAGAGATTGTTGGCCAGTAAATTACAACAAACAGGCACAGTTGGAAAGTATATAAAATTAATTTCAAGCTGAGCGTTTTGCTGTTTTTATGTTGTAAATACTGCCTATTTGTTGGTTTGGTATTCATCATCACTTGTTGCTCTGCTTGATCTGCCATCTGCTAATAAATGTCTTTTTGAGTTTTGTTTTTTCAAAGAGTACCAGTTTGAAAACCACATTTTCATTTTTCTAGAAAAATAATCTTATAGGTGAATTTTTACTATGTTTGAGTCCATGTAAATGTTTTAGAGTCACATTTATTTATTTTTACCATATAGATTTTTCAAAATATATTTACTAGGTACATTTTCATTTAACAACAGTGGACATTTCTGCACGGAAATAAACAATGCCGCTGTCCCGAGCAAGCGTGTTTGAATTTGTTTTAAACAGAGTTGTGAAATCATGTTTTCGTGGTGAATTGTGTTTATTCGCGTGTAAAGCAGTTTTTACAAAGCTGTGTTGCATTATGTTGACAACATTATAAACTTTCATTAGAAAACAATTTAGGTTTCAGTGTTGCCCTTTTCCCATTTCTCTGTAGACGTCTTGACAGTCTCCCTCAGGGTGAATAGGGAGGTGGCAGTTGTTCTGAAGAAATCTTTTCATAGGCTGGAGGAGCATTGGGAATCTAAAGAAGAGCACAACAGAAACATGATTTGTTGTTTTCTTGCTAAGAGTCATTTAAATTTTTACGTATCACACAGAACTGCAAACAAATGGGAGTTGATTTGATCTGTTTTTCTTGTGCACACAAATATAATTATTAATGCCTTTGCCTAGTCTGGTGACAAAATAATCTCCCTTAGGCTCTGCGTTGACTTCACATGCTCTCTGCTGCTCAGAACTCTTGATTTGTGCTGAACAAGCGCGCTCTGTAATGAACATGAGTAAGTTGTTGACTTCTGTACACAAATATCTAAACTGCCGTATGATATAAGAACATGTACCCACTTGACTCTTTTTGATTGTGTTCAGTAGTTATGTGGGTTTCCTTCTATTAAAGATTCAAAAGATTAGCCCGTTTAGACACAAGGTCAACTGCTCATCCCTCACCGCAGATCGGAAGCTGCCAAAGTCAGTGAGAGGCATTTTGTTCTCTGCTGGGGCTCCGGCTTCAGAGTGCTGGCCTCCTGTAAAACCTGGTGATCCAGATCTTGGGCTCTGCAAAAAAAAATATACAGTATACTGTTACAAAAAAATCATCACAAACTGGGAGAGTGGCAAGAGAATGCCTCACCCTGATTATTCTGTAGCCACTCCTCTTCTTGAAGTACCAGCAGCCCAGGATGAAGAGGCCTGCAAGGATGACCACCAGGAGAGCAATGCCCATGGCCCTGAGATGCATAAAACACTAGTTAGGCCTTTATCTCTTTTAGGACATCATGCATATAGTTTTCAACACAAATGTGCTGGAGATTCCTAAAAGAAAACTTGTAAAGCAGAGTTCAAAAAGCTTTGAGCTACACTTGTAACTGTGTAAGTCTGTCCTGATGCATCTCAGTAAGCCAGGTAAAAAAATCAAAAAGAAAAAAATTGTATAGGTCTTCTGGACGGGTTCTTCTCTAATGAAATGTTTCGTCTCTCCTCCAAGAGTCTTCTTCAGTCTGTTTCAGGCAAAATTCAGGCTTTTAAGCCCTGCCTTCATGTGACTGATGCATCACATGGCTATCGTTGACACCTAATTAACACTTATTGTTAACGGGGTGGAGTGATACTGGCAATAGCAGCACCTTAGGAGGGGGACAGCTGAAAACGGAGGCCTCCACCTCTGTTTAATGATGGATGGTCTTTCTTCACAAAAATGGCTTCTTTTACTCCTCTCTACATAACTATTGTGCAAGTCTGCAAGATATTTATTTCCTTTATCCTTGATTTCAGAAGAAAATAAGATGCTCACTCCTCAGCTCGGATGTTTCCTCTTCGGCCGCTGGTAAAATAGATGTTGAAGTCTCCTCGAGGCATCTCGCTGGTGCGATTGCACAACATCAAGCTGAAAGTCAGCAGAAAACTAATTTAGGATTCAACTATGTATATTAAATATGATGGGTGTCACTCTTTCTTAAACAACCAGACATACTGATTAATAGATACTCATTAATACACTATAAATTAAACAGGAAAATATTCACTGTCAGACAGGAAGCTCCACGAACAGGCAAATATAATCAAACTACTAATTGAAATTGATTGTTATTAATTATTTTATTATTTGTATTATTATTTATTTTGTGGATTCTTAATCTGGGACCTGAGCCCAAATTTTGTTTTATGTCACAAACCAAAGCTGGTATGACAATAAAAAAATCTTTGAATCCTTAGTTTAGGCCCATATCTTTTGATAATAATTAACCCTAACCTTGTTTCTCTGGTAGAGATGATACATTTGGTCACTTATCTCTGCTATAGCAAAGAATAGAAATTGGTAATAATCAAATGGCTAAAATAAAAAGCTACCAGTCATAAAAAGTGCTTTTAGTCAGAATCATGTTGCTAAACTAAAATCATCCTTTAATCGTTGCAAATTTTCCAGTTGATTGTTAAAAAGCCTTAGTATCCTTTACCCAATAACTCACTAATTGTCTACTTGCTTTCCTGAAGATAAAAAGCAAAGCAAAAAGGCAATTTTCTTACCAAATTTAAAATTAGATGGCAGAGAGAGAGAACTTCCTCAGACCTGGGTCTACAAAGCTCTGAAGTTACTTCACTCCTCAAATGTTTTCCCTCAATGTGAGGCAGAGCAGAGAGAGGGGCAAAAAAAGCCCTCATGATCGTCACGGGTTTGAGACTCATGGTTAAATCCATTGAAGCAAAGTAATTACCGTGAAACCCTGCAGCTTTAAATGCAACATTTCTGTCCACTCGTGAAACTGCAAAAATGTCAGCTGCTGGCCTTTCATGTGCAGGATGATGTGTGTGTGTGTGTGTGCATGTTTAGAAGAACCCCTGGAAAAGCAGTTCATTTCTGATGAGGAAGACAACACTCTCGTTCAACAACTGTAGATAGAATGAGACAAATATGATAAAACACAAAAGTAATCCCAAATTACAACTCTACCAAAGTTTTCTCCTGAAACTGGTGCACTTTACTTTTAAATTGCAAACCATATACCATACAGGAATGTTTTAGAGCCAAAGATGCATGACTTAATAGGAGTTTTGTAATACTTGTTTTAGTCAAAAATAGATGACATTTAAATTAGAAAACAAACAAAAAACTCTTCTTTGCAATGAAATTGTTTTTCTAAGGTTATTTGTAAAAGAAACATTGATATTTGCCACATTTACAAAACAAAACACAAAAAAAGTTTAACTTTAGGTTTTCTTGAGCACTGATCAATCACTAGTGATCTGGTAAAACAATATGAACTTCTATAGCAGTTACAAAAATTAACTTGGAGTCATACATACATATTTACATTTATGGAAATAAAATTTGACACTATTTGTAGAAATAGGAATAAGACTAAGTTTGCTCTTTTCATTACACACTTGGTACACATTTCTGTGTGATCTAAACTTTTACTGCATAGACAAAGTTCTGCATGGATTAATAAAAATATTGCAGAATTATTTGATGTGCAGCTTTACTAGTCCAGACAAATATTCTAAAAATGGTAGATATAAAGACGGTTTCTACTCTTGTCTGTTTAAAAGTGCCTCCTCAAACATCACATCACAAAAAATAAAATAAATAAAAAAAGCAATGAACACAATATTCTAAAAGTGGTGAATGGAGCCTCAGATCAACAACAAAATCCCCTCAGAAATTTCTCTTTCAAATGCCTGCAGTCGTTCATGTGAAACCACAAGGGGTGACTGATAGAAAATCAAGTCCAGCTAAGAGGTTTAATCCCTGCTTCTTTCACTCCACTTGTCTAAGTGTCCTTGGGGACAATCCTGAAACCTGAATCCTGTTAATTTAGCTCCCAAATATCACTTTGAGAGTTCCACAATGGTTGTAGTTGAGAAACAAACAAACAAAAAGACAGCATGTATGCTGGGAAACAAACAAACAAACAAGGCAGTAAACAAAAAGAAAAAAATTGTATAGGTCTTCTGGACGGGTTCTTCTCTAATGAAACGTTTCGTCTCTCCTCCAAGAGACTTCTTCAGTCTGAGAGCTTATACATTTTTTTTCTTTTTGATTTTTTACATGGATTACTGAGATGCATCAGGACAAGGCAGTAAACAATGACTAAAATATAAAGATGGTGGAGGGTGTATATTGGTTTGGGATGTTGTAATTCTTCAGGGGTGTGTTAACTATCCTGCATGTTTTACTTGTTTCCCTGCTCCAACACACCTGATTCAGTGATTGAATTACCTCTTCAAGTTCTGTAGAAGCCTGCTAGTCACCCATTCATTCAAATCAGGTAGAGAAACCTCTAAAGTATGCAAGACATTAGCCCTCGAGGACCACTGTCCTGCAGTTATGCCAATTTTCAGCTTTATGTGTCTAATATTGGTTGTAATACTGTATATCTCGTTCTCAAATTAGCATTAGCCCTTGGCTTAAAATCTAAATTAGGTATCAGAATGTCATGGGGATTGCTTACCAAATTTCAGCTCAAAGAGTTAAAACCATTTGAATTTAGCATATTGAATTTTTTATTTGCATTCAGATATGACTTGAAAAAGTCTTAAAATGTCTTGGATTGTTGGTTTAAAAGTGGCACACACTTTTTAAAATCTTGCAAAGTAAATAATTAGTCAAAGTGTTAAATAAAACTATGAAAATTACACAGTTTGTACGCTTTAAAGTTTATTTAGATTATGCTTATCTATAAATTTGACAATGATTAAGATATAGATTCTTAATGTTGTTTGTTTTAAAAAAATAATCCTTTGATAATTTGATGTTTGGCAGTTTTTTCTTTCAAACATTAGAATCAGTGTTCAATTGTAATGAAAGAATTGGCAAAAAAAGCTAAAATAAAATCTCCACTAGAGGGAGACAAGACACTGCTTTTTATTCTCACATCTCATTGTTTAGATTGTTTCATAACACACAGTTTACAGTATAAATCCCTAAATCATGAGTAGTTTGAAGCATGTAAAAATCGGACTGCTTTACTGGTGTTTGAAATAGTGACAATATGCGTACAGATAAAATGCTTTTTAACAAATGTTACAATAAAAGCTGACAGAAACTTAAAAACACATTCAAGTCAAATTATCAAAGAAAAATGGGTTTAATGTATTGAATATATGTTTTATTTTGAGATTATTTAAAGAGAAATACAACCCTTTACATAACAAAACACTCTTTTGTGGGTTTAAATGGGTGTGTGTGTGTTGGGTGGTGGGGGGGGGGGGGTATATTATATATCCTCCAGGCACATAGTTCAATTCTCTACCACAAACATTTTACCTAAAGGTGTAATGAAAGTGCTGTATGTATCAAAAATAAATTTGACTTTGCATCATAGTCTATCTAAATATCTTGAAATTGGCCTCTGTTTCTTTAAGAACCTCCTACCATTTCTGACAATCCCACTTCAGCATGTCTTCATAACAACACTTTCAGGGGAGGGGTGCTCTGAGTTGGCTAGTAACTATTTACATTTACTCTGTTCTGTTTACTTGAGTAACATTTGGGAAAAAAGTAACTTTTAGGAGTATTTTTAAAATGCTGTACTTTTTTTCTTTTCACACAAGTAATTTTATTATAAAGTATCACTATTCTTACTTGAGTAAAATTTCGGGATACTCTTAACTCGAATGAAGAACAAGCTTGGTTTCACCAAAAATTCACCAGACCTGCAGGTTTTGTTTAGTTTCATAAATTTTGTAATGAAAGAAACTGCTTTGGAAAAAGTGTTTATTTTGCCTGAATTTGTTATTTTGTCTTTATGTTATTTATATTAATTATTTTCATTTTGATCTTTAAAATACTCAAATTTACACATAGCTTTTGTCTGTTTGATGATGTAATTTTGGAATATTAAATTATTGATGTCTTGATCAGTTAATTTTTTTTTACAAAATACTTTTTTTTTTACTCTTACTTGAGTCATTTCTTGGATTAAGGCAGCTCCATATGGCCACCACAGGAGATTCAAGGATTCTCAAATGTGCTTGAATGAGTCATGGGTATGTTTTTGATGAGGGAATTACATTATGACATTATAACATCATGTGAAGCTCAAAAAAGTTGATTTTGCATAATACCCCCCACTTTAATAGAACTAACAATTTTAACAGTTAATTTAAAAGAATGGTTTGTTTGATGTTTTGCCAACAATAAATGCCTAAAAATTGAATGTGTAGCTTTCCAAAATGAGATTTCTATTATAAAAATGCTTTGAAATAAACTGGAATGGCTTTTTTCTGATGTTGCTTTAAGTCCTAAAATAAATAATTTACATCTAATAAATAGTAGGATGTGAAAACCCTCAAATTAGTTATAAGGCTGAACATTTTGTTTTGCCGCACCTAAATTAACAAAGTTAGCATCAAACGGTTTTATACCTATACACCAGTGTTTCCCAAAGTTGGGGTCGGGACCCAAAGTGGGGTCCCAAAACATCAAGGTGGGGTCCTGAAAAGATTTTCTGAATTAATTACATTTTTGCCTTAGTTGTTACAAAGGAGTGGGGTTAGTGTATTTAAAATGGATAAATATAGTATAAAAATATTGTTGCTATGCCCATGTTTAGTTGACCTGATACAAATGTTTATCATCCAAAAATAGTTGTAAGCACAGGTCTCTGCTACTGTTATTTTGTGGGTCAAAAGCTGAAAGGTTTGGGAACCACTGCACTTTGGTTCCCAAAGTTGGGCTTGGGACCTTTTTATGGGTCATGAAGCACCTTGGATAATCTCCAGAAATCAATTTAAAGGGTAATAAAAATAATTGCTGATATAATATTTTCCCTACAACTATTACAAAAACACACAAATGAAAGTTTAAATAAGTATTTATATTTGTGTAAGCTGTTTAGATTGTCAAAAATCCTGTGTTTTTAGGCGTATTAACAAAGTTCGTGTACTCAGACCAGTAATATTTGGGGTCACAAGTTTTCGCCATGGATATTTTGTGGGTCAGAAGATAAAAAGTTTGGGAACCACTGCTTTACACAGTCATAAAGATCAGTCCATAAAAAAATAAAGTGTTTTCTTTTGAATCCAAACATTTTTTTCTCATACTGATGGTGAATGTGTCCTTAAACTAAACATTTGACTGCAGTGCATTTCATACAGAAACAAAGTGACCAAAATAAGACAACAATGAACAAGGTCTGCCAATAAAGCTACATGTGTGTGTAACTAATTGATTGAGTCACTCCACAGATCCAGATATTTATTCTTCTGTTGTTCTCTTTACTTTGGCAAAGCATTATTGTGTCTTCACCTAAATGCTTGTCCATTTCCGCCATCTTTACCTGAACAAACTAAGCCCAATCACGTGATTCAGCCCAGTGTTTTGTTTACATTAAGAGCCTACCCACAGAATAGCATGTAACTATATCTGGTTGAGTAAGTTTTTTTTAATTAGATATAGTTCAGGGTCATCCTTTTATACGTTTTATTTCATTATTTATGCGTATATTTAACTGTCCTCCACAGAAAGAGTAAAGAAAGATGCTGCCATCGCTGTCATTTGTTTGTTTATGTTAACGGAAGTAATTAGGCTGATGATGGTATCTGTTAATATGTGATAATTAAATCGGTAAATGACTGAGGCTGATCCGGACCGTGAGAAAGAGACGCCAGCCAGCCAGCCCCGGTGATTGTGCAGCTCTTCAGCGGAGGAGCTGTTCGAACAGCAGGACGGAGAGGGAGCTAGAGACTCCTCTCCGGCTCTYCAGCTGCCATCCTAATCCTGCTGCTGCTCCTCCTCCTCCTCCTTCACCACAACCACTTCTCTTTCTCATCACATCCAGAGGTAAATAAGCTTCATTCAACAGTAAGACTATATATATTTTAAAGCGGACTGTGTGTTTCGCGTCGTCGGACGCAGCGGTCAGCCGTGAACGGAACGGACCGACGGGGGCTGATTCTGAGATTTGTGTGATGGAGGGGCTTCGCTTTGTACCCCAGCCTCCTTGGCGTCGGGTCGGGGTTACGCTTCCTTTAGGCAAGTCCGAGGTCCACTTCATGAGCTAAAGATGCTTTGGTGAGGGCCGCGGGGAGCGTGAGGTGGAAAACGCAAACCGTTTCCGACCTACACGATAGGAAGAGCTAAAGAATAGCAAGAAAGCCGCGGCTAACTGGCTTTGATGCACGCTCGCGCACAAATAAAAGCTATCCCTAGCCAGCTAGCATACATTAGCTACATCACCAGTTGTTGCTAGTGACACCGGCCATCCTCGAGTTGATTTTGCTCACTTCTTTACACGTCGTCACACTCGTAGTTTTCATCAAACGTCTCTAAAGCTAAAAAAAAAAAAAAAAAAAAAGGAATATAATAACAGAGCAATAACACAGTCGCGGTCGTTGTGGAGGTGAGGTAAATGACGGCGCTGTCGGTAGAGACAGCTCTGAATCTCAACTGACACGACAACAAAAGAAGAAAATGAGACATAAACTAGCTAGCAAATTCAGTGTTTGATACTCTGTCGACCTTGTCGGTTGGGTTTCAGCTGTTGAAATGAAAGTAAAAAGTCTGCAAATGTTTGAGGTAGTAAACGCAAACACAAAACTGTCGAACTTTTTTTTAAATCTCCTTCTGGTCAATAATAAGATGTAGTCGGTCGTAGCTCGAATACAAGACGTAACATTTATAGTTGGAAGGCATTCACAATAATTGTTTGTTATGGTGTTTAAAACAGTGCATTGTAGACTGGAGACAAGGTGAATTTTCATGGTAAAATTAATTTGCTGGAGGCTTGTATTTTGTGGATGAAAAGAGCATCAGAGTTGCTTATTTTCACAGAAATCCTTTATTTATATCTGATAAAGTCATGTCTAATCTTGCTGAAACTTTCTGATAGTTATTATGACACTGCAATACTGTTGTAATGTCCACTTAGGGGTGGCGCAATTTTTAATCCTAATTTCTAAGGTAGTTATCTGAACAATGTGACAGCCATCTTTCATAATATATAGCCTTAAAAAGGAATAGTGTTGCATTCTTTGGCTTCTGACCCTGTTGATGTTGTACGTTTATTTGCCACCTCTCTGTCTCTGCAGCACATTGGAGATGTGACGATTAAAGAAGAGATTGGTGACATTTAGCTGCCTGTGCATTGACACGACCTCTTGACCTCATCTTCAGCATGAATGGTGATATGCCTCATGTTCCCATCACTACTCTTGCTGGAATTGCTAGCTTAACCGACTGTAAGTGCAACGTTGTTCCTTTAAAACTGTTCACGCAGCCTAAACACTTAACATTCATCACAAGACGTGGCGAGACTGTGGGTTTCTTAACCGGCGAGTTGGCCAAAACTGACAGGCGTGCAATTATTAAAGACGCTAAATGTTACTGAAGCTCATCACTGCCGATGACTTCATTTGCAGTCAGAAGTGAAGCGGCGTATGCTGCTGAAAATAAGCGTAGAAACACAAAGTGAATCGGGGTCAGATGTGACAAAAACAACAACAAAAATATTACATTAGACTGACAAAATGATGGCAACTTTGTAACATTAATATAGGGTTATGATGGCATGTGTTTGGAGCTCTTTATCATGTGCATTTTGATGAAAACCCTTGTAAACATTAAAAAGGGAATTATATAAAGGCATTCATTTAACATCAGTTGTATTTTCACAACAAAATAGGCTAATAATCATCAGCTAATAATATACAGTATATAAAATACACCCTGTCATAAACCACCATGATTAATGTAACGTATACACAAATGGGTCAGTTACTTGTAGACAGAAGAATTTTCTTAATCAAAATTTTTGAAATTTGTCTTATTCATTGATTTTTTCTCTCAACTTTTTTTCAGTATTAAACCAGCTGCCTTTACCTTCTCCTCTTCCGGCCACCACTGCTAAAAGTCTGCTCTACAATGGAAGGATCTCTGATGAGGTCAGCAGCCTGTTGGTGTGTCGAGATGAGAATCTGGTGACTCAGCTGGCACATAGCCTTAACCAGGTCTCCACTGAACACATGTAAGCAAGACCCATTGTTTGTACTCATATGCAGTAGCATATTAATAAATAATTTTTGCAATGGAAAAACGGTTCATTTTGCCATATTTAGTGACAAATTACCAGATATTGGCTCTTGATGGGTATGCCAGAGTCATAGGACCCGTGACTGACAGATGACAGGTCTATTTGTTTTTCAGAGAGCTAAAGGACAACCTGGGAAATGATGAACCTGAGGGGGATATGCCAATACTTCTTCAAACTCTACTGTCTATGAACCCCAGAATCTTCAGGGACAAAAGTATGCTAACCCAGTACAAGGTTTTGGGTGGTAAGGACGGGGACTGAGAGACGCTGCTGGCTTACTGGAGTTGTTCGTTTTTTAAAGAAGCTATAAACAACCTTCTCTCCGTATCTTAAATTACCTAAATTATAATGTTAATCAGTAAAGCAGCAGTTAGGTTCAGCAGGTCTTTTACAAGTTTATGCAGAATTATATCTCCAAACAAAACTGAAGTTATTCTGTGCTGTAAGAGACAGCCTGCTTGCAATTAACAAATAACCGTCAGATAAATTAGGGCCATTTCCTCTGAAGTTTTAGCAAGTGGCTTGGTGCGATAACAGTGATCTCACTAGTTTTTGCTTCGCAGTAATGGTTCACCTATTAAAATATGCTTTACCATGGCAACTTGTGCACAAGATCAAACCTACTCGAAGGCAGGTTTGGTTTAAAATAAGGAAAAAATAACTCGTGACCAATCATTTCTCTTGAAAATTTTCATCTAAAGCCGAATCTGGTCACACTGAAGCTTGCTCTTATTACGAACTTTGAAGATACTTTTTAATCATTGAACTGCAAAGTATTGCTATACCTCGTGTGTATCTACAGTGTTTTCAAGCCAATAATCTTTTACTTTTCTCTATTTTGAAATCTTGACGTAGAAGCTGAACTTTTGAACATTTGGATTTTAACCAAATGAACTATTTGCTTAATATCAATTTGTTCCTTATATGTTCAAAGAGCATTGGAAACAATGCTTGTGTGTTTTTCACCTGCAAATGACATCATAAACTCAATACAGAATTGCATGGAAGTAGCATTCCTTAAAGGAATGCACATGGCTTGCTGCTAAAGTTTTAAACAAAGATGTCAGGCGTTCTCTGTTATGACAACACAAAATTTCAATTCATTGTGCAAATGACAGAGTTATAACTGTTTTTGTGTTTGCTCATGTTGGTTAGCTGTGGTAGACATCTTGAGTTGGGTTGAGTACGAAAGTTAATCAGTTGTTAATGTTTATCTAATGATACCTCTCTGAGAGTTTCATCAAAATCCGTCCACTGGTTAATGCATTGTTTTACTAACAGACAAATGAACAAAAGCACGATCATCCGCATTTCATGACAGTGGGCGATAAATATAGTTGGATTGACAATTTTTTGATTATTAGGACTGTAATACTGATTATTCAGTGTTTCCAGGATTGTGTTGTATTGATTTCGACTGCTCCTTTCTGCAGACAAAAAAAACAAAAAAACAAAAAAAAAAACATAAGCACGTGACTCTGCGAATTTCAGTGTCAGTGACGCAGAATATGAACCATTTTTTGTCCTTTTTTTTCAAGACAAGTGAAGGGCCTGCTGTAAATGGTTAAAAACACTGACCTGGGCTCAAACCTGTTGGTCTGTCATGTTTGCATATCTTACTGCAAAGCTTAGTCTCTGTACAGTGGAAAATCTGCTTGTACGCATGTCCTTAGATTATATTTGGTAGCAAGCATAAGATAGTTTTATGATAGACGTCAAATCTGTTTTGCTTGCAATATATTAAGTGGGTACAACAGAGAATGTTGCTTCTTTTAAGCCTTTCAGGACCTCTCTCTGCTTGTGCAATATTCTGTATAAAAAAATCGTTTTAGATTTGCCACAGATTTCCTTTGAATATTGGTGGATCCGACAAAACAGCAGCTTGTTTTTGCTTAAAGGCTTGACATGCCAAGAGGAACTTTGCTGTCTAACGTCTGGTTGTGTGAAGTCTGTGTGACAACATCGCACAGAAACCTGTGTATGTTGCTACGAACGATACATACAACTTGAATGCGAGACTTAAAGCATTTCCATAAACAAAAGTTATATTTATTCTTTAATTCAAGTCCAGCAAATTATTGTAGTTTATTTATCAGTTGCAGTAGCTTGTAATTACAGTAATTAAATTGGTAAACATAAAGTAAAGTACAATTATTTCTAATTATCATTATTTATGCAAAGGAGCACAAGAGATCAAAAAAAAAAAAGCTTTGCAAACACGTTGCAGAACCCACAATCACACGTTTAAAAAAAGTAAACCACAGTTGTTTTTGGTTGTGAACACATACTCAGCCCATAATGGAGGAGCTTTTATTATTACAAACACATCAGCTTTATGAATCCATGAGTAAATCATTATTTGAATCACTTAAGCAAGCAGTTAGATGTTATTTAATAGACTGTATTAAGTTGCTGTTGTTTGGTAGATTTTTTTTAATTATATGTTTTGAATATTTAACATCTGCTCTAGTCTTTGGTTTATAGCTGTGTTCAGTGAAGCTACTGAGCAGATGGGTTTTTTATTGCTTGGGAGAAACATAGCTTTTTGTAGAAGCTGATAATTTAATACGATCTTATTCTTGTTTATTAGGTTCATTGCAGCAGCCACTGATACAGCAGTATAAGATTTCTCAGAATCATGGGAGTCCAGCATCAAACTATCAGCAAACCACTGTCTCTCAAAGCCCCTCTGGGTAAGGCTGTGCCACCTTATTGTCAAAGAAAATCTGGGATTCCCTGTATTTCTGCTAAGATTACCTCTCCCTCTTTCACAGATGCTTTACATCCCCACAGTGTGGGACGGCTACACAGTTTGTACCTCAGCAGAACAGTCCAATCCCAAGTCCCTATACCCCTCAGAGCCCAGCAGACTTCATCCAGTACAATCCACCTAGTTACTCTCATCATCAGCAAACTCAGCAAGGTGAGTGGAAAGTTTAGTCAAAAGGGAAAAATCTATAATTTATCCCATTTTGATCAAAAGTGATAGTTGCTTTTCCTGCAAAGAGATGCAAACGAAGCCTCAAGTAAGCGCACTCAAGTTGTTTTCACAGTAAAGGCCCTGTCACACTATAACATCATAGACAACTTATGTTGACATAAGAAAATTTTGTCTAACATGCTGGCATACACTAGCCGTGTTTCCATCAAGGTTTTTTTAAATGCACATTTTGAAGTATCGCATCAGAAAAGGTGAATGGAAACAGCATGATTCGAAAAAAACTTACTCTAATTCGCATAAAAGTTGATACGCTCGCTTGAAGTGTTTTTGGTTTTTTGAAAAAAGAGTTAATGCACAAAAAGAGAGATGGAAACACATTTGCCGAATAAGTTCTGGCGTAGCGAACATTTACCTCACATGGTTGATCAGCTGTTCTCCCTGTCTGTCCAAAACCGGTACCAGAGCGAGTGCAGCTGGACCCTCCTCCCACTGTCAGCGTATTCTCAGTTATTCCTGTAACGTGAAGAGAATTGCATTTCTTTCTCTACGTCTCCAGACAGCACATAAAATTGCCAAAACTAGTTGATATGACAAAATAATTACAACTTTCCTTATAGTAGCAACACGTTCCTGATAACTTCTCTCCATTTTCCTGAGATGCAACTTTTACTTCCTGTTTATTACACGCATGCGTCTGACGTAACTGATTCACTTCAAGCCAGTTGATGGAAGCATGTGTGATTCGCGTTTCTTCGTTTTTTTCATTTTTGCAAAATTTTAAAAATTTGCTCAAAATTCAAATTAAATTGGATGGAAACATGGCTACTGAGTATGGAATAAAAAAATCAACTGAAAGCCTTTTTTAGGCTTATAAATAATGCATTTCTAACAAGTTGAACTAAAATAATTATGTTTTAACATTTGAGTAACTTATCCATAACTTGTCTATAGCAAATACAATACATTGTTTGTTTTATGACCTGCTTGACTACTTTAGCTAGAGTTGTACTATTTATATCCAGCATGTCTCAGGAATGTTTCTAAATAAACAAAATACATCTGAGATGAGCTGTAAGATGTAGGAGACAGAAGGGTGGAAATAAGTGCTGAAAGCCTCACCATGATCAAAATCACTACTTTTGCCCTCACAGACTCCATTTACACCATTCGTAAGCTAGCACACACACAGGAAACTGCTAATGTGACCACCATAAAGATTTTCTTCAAAATAAGAACCCATTCAAACTGATTTTTAAAGGAAAAGCAAAAAGTTTAGATTTGCGAACAGAATAAATTATATTTGAGTTTTGATTTTTATTTTTCCATTAACTTCTTGTGGGCTATATGGAGATGGATAATTGACCTGAAGACCATTAGATGCTCAGGTGTGCTTTAGTGACTAAGAAAATGTTCCTGAGCTGGTATTACCGCACTGTGGTGGGTAAAACTATACCAATTTGTTTAGTTGGAAGAAAATATCCTTTATGACAAGTCAATAAACGTTTTATTTTTGCTCTCTGTTTTAGTTGCTAGTGGAGTGAGAAATATCCACGACAACAAAGTTTCTGAACATCTGTCAAGTAATTCATCTAACCATAATACAAGACTTGGCTCAGACGATGACTACATGAACGTCGCTCATAGACTGGAAGATGAGGTAACGCCGAGGATCGAATTATTCAGAGCTTGACTTCAGCAGACATTTACTGTTAAAAGTTCTTATAAAGGTCTGGTATTCCAACAGGAAAATGACTCTTCTATGAAGGTTGCTCTGTTTCCCGTTAAATCTCATCCTGTGTGTTCCCCCACTAGGAGTGAAGAGAAAGCAAAAAGTACCCTGCCTTAACAAAAGCAAGTTCATTCCCATTCATTCTGTGGAATCAAATATAACACAACTTTTCTGTTTCTGCAGGGTCCAGGCCTCCTCTCATCATGCAGTCACCTCCAGTTGAAGAACAAGGTGCATCACCTGACCCACTCCTCACTGCGACTGACCGCAAAAAGAAACAAAGAGACAAAAACAAAGACGAAAATGACCACATGGACAAAAATGTTTACTATGACATAGTCAGTTCTCCATCTAAGGACTCTGCCAAGCTGACATTAAAGCTTTCCAGAGTGAAGGTTCAAGGCCTGAACCAATCTGAAGAACTGTCCCCGAGATCAAACATGGACTCAGAGTCAGACCACAAAACGGTTATATTGAACAATAATAATCAGTTGTTCAGTACTCCACAAGACTTTTCTCACAAATTAGAAGCCGAGGAGCAGGAAAACTGTCAACAGGTTGCTGTGCAGCCGAATACAAAGGAAACTGGAATCATCAGCGTGTTTGATGACTCTGAGATCGATGCACTTGCAGAAATTGACAGAATAGAATGCGAATCAGCCAATGAGAGAGAACGATACCCGAAAGAGGTCCAGGACAAAGGTAAAAAAATATATTGTGTTGTTTTGGCAGCCTTTTTATGCCCTGGTGTTGTTTTAAGGAGAGTCTAAGTTACAGTGTTTTATTAATTGCAGATAAGCCACTGAAAAAACGTAAACAAGACACATATCCTCAGGAACATGAAGTCGAGACAAGTGAGGGGCCTGCTGTGCATGGGGCCAACAGCATCAGCAGGCTGACACCCAAAAAATCAAGTACTGCAAGTAACGGTACCGTTCGACCTGCCTTGATGGTCAGTATTGATCTACAGCACGCTGGCAGGAAAGTAGGACAGCCTGTAGTGATGTTGGAACCGCAGCCGTTGTGTGAAGATCACGTACGTCGCATTAAGACAAACGCTGATGAAAAGGTCAATAAAGCTGCTGAACACAGACCTGGGATCATCAGACAGCTTCTTGACACCTGCCACACGTCTGGTACAGATGAGCATAAAGACACCCATAAGCAGAAGCAGGAAAGCCGATGTGAATTAAGACACAAACACGACACAAACACTGACCACAACACGGAACATTCAGATAATATACAATTGGACATGGCATGGCAGAAACATGACAGGCTTTCAGATTCACGTCCCAAAGAGGAAAAGATCAACAGTCACAGATCCCATGGCAGCAGACCTGAAATTCCAAAATCCACGGGCAAGGTGGACTGTAACGCCAGACATGAAGACGACAAAGGCATTGATATAGAAAAGGATATGAACAGAGAGACGCAGAGGGACAGGGATGAACACAAAGGCAAACTCAGGAATAAAAGCAAAGTGAGAGATAGGGTCAAACCCAGTGAAAGAGACAAGGACAGAGAAAAAGACAGGTGTAGAGACAAAGACAGAGAAGAAGATGAGGAGATAAACACAGGTAAAGACAAAGACAAGAACAAAGTCAAAAACAGAAACATGGACAGAGAAAAAGACAAAGACAGGAATAGAGGAAGAGAAAAAGACGTGGACACAGAAAAAGAAAAGAATGGGAATGGAGGCAAAGAACAGGGCTTAGACAGCAATGGAGACAACAACAGAGATGAAGTTACAGAGATGAACAGAAATAAAGGCAGGAGTCGAGTCAAAATCACAGACATGGACAGGAGTAGAGGTAGAGAAGACATGGACAGAGAAAAAATCAAAGACAGGAATAAAAGCAAAGAAAATGATAAAGGCGTGGAAAGAGAATTGGACAAAGACATGATTGGAGACATAGACAAAGATAAAAATGAGGAGAACAGAGATAAAGACAAAGATAGGAATAGAGTCAAAAACAGAGTCTTGGACAGAGAAAAAGACAAAACTAGGAAAAGAGACAAAGAAAAATATTTAGAAAGAGAAAAAGACAGGGATGGGATTGGAGACCAAGACAAAGATGAAGGCAAGGAGATTAGCAGAGACAAAGACAAGAAAAAAGTTAAAAACAGACAAATAGACAGACAAAAAGACAAGGATGGGATTGAAGACAAAGACAGAGATGAAGACAAGGAGATTAGCAGAGACAAAGACAAGAAAAAAGTTAAAAACAGAGACATGGACAGAGAAAAAGACATGGATGGGACTGGAGACAAAGACAGAGATAAAGACAAGAAAAAAGCTAAAAACAGACAAATGGACAGAGAAAAAGACAAGGATGGGACTGAAGACAAAGACAGAGATAAAGACAGGGAGATTAACAGAGACAAAGACAAGAAAAAAGGTAAAAACAGAGACATGGACAGAGAAAAAGACATGGATGGGACTGGAGACAAAGACAGAGATAAAGACAAGAAAAAAGTTAAAAACAGACAAATGGACAGAGAAAAAGACAAGGATGGGATTGAAGACAAAGACAGAGATAAAGACAAGAAAAAAGGTAAAAACAGAGACATGGACAGAGAAAAAGAAAAGGATGGGATTGGAGACAAAGACAGAGATGCAGACACAGATAGTAAAAGAGACAAAGACAAGAAAAAAAGTAAAAACAGAGACATGGATAGAGAAAAAGACAAGGAGAGAATTAGAGACGACAAAAAAGAATTGGACAGAGAAAAATACAAAGGCAGGAATAGAGGCAAAGATAAAGATGTGGACAGAGAAATGGACATAAGTGAAGACAAAGGCAGGGATGACGAAGAGATGAACAAAGATAAAGACAAAGACAGGAATAGAGTCAGAAATAGAGTCTTGGACAGAGAAAAAGACAAGGACTGGTATAGAGGCAAAGAAGATAAATGCCTGGACAGAGAAAGGGACACAGACCGAGACAAAGGCTGGAACAGCAAGCACAGGACATTGTCAAAAGACGTTTGCAGCAAAAGCTCCCACGATCAGGACACTAAACCTGAAAGCCCCAAAACAAAACAAGATGGAAGCAGAAAATCTGCTGATCTGAATGGAGGACAGAAGACAGGCAGCTCCAGCCACCAAAATCCCACAAATAAAGACCACAGAACAAGCAGGGATGGCAACGTAATCTGCCTGGCTGGAAACAAACGGCCGGCCTCTGAAACTAAGACCAGCGAGCTCCCCTCATACCTGCTGGGCGGCTCTACAGGAAGCCTTAAGAACTTTGTGATTCCTAAACTGAGCAGAACTGGAGCAGATAAGGACCCCAAAAGCACTTTGTTTTTTGCCTGGAGCGAACCTCGTGTGAGATTGGAGAGAGTGTCGCTCATACAGACCTTAAACAAGAAAAGTAAGCCAGTCGTCGTGCTGAGGAGACTCAGCATTGAGGACGTTAAAAGGATGATTAAGGAAACCAAGGATGCACACAGCTCTCGATCCAAATACTGGTCCTCGTTTCAAAGTTCAACCAGAGGTATGAGCTGGGGCTGCATGATAGTAGAAGAACTTAAGATGTGCCATTTATTATACATTTCTAGTCTGAGCTACTTTTACTTGATTTGTATCTGTTAATATAGACACTGCACCTTTTGTGTTGATAAATTGTCACCTTGGTTTTTACACACACTGTTTAAGCATTTTTCTGCCATTTGGTAAAGTTAATTAAGAGCAAAAGTTTACAAAGATATTAGCTTCATCGCTCAAATAATGTGTGAACAGTTTTTTGTTTAAAAAAATGCCGTTAAACTTACATAGATCTTTTAAGGACACTTTAAGCACAAATAGAAGTGAAAACATGTAGGTATTAGTGAATAATATGCACATATCTTGAAATTTATTGTTGAATTAATTACGGTATTTACTCAAGTATAATACGTAAAATTTAATCCATAAAATCATGCACAAAGTTGGGGGGTAGTACTATACTCGGATAAATATTTTTGCTGATGTATTTTAACTGAAAAATCTGCCTCATTCACAAAATGCCTGAGTCCAGAAATGAAACCACGTCATAAAAAGCGGTTGAAGCGATCTTACCTCCAACACTCCTTTGTGCCTCCGAGCGAGATAGTAACAGATCCAAGCAGGCAACATGATGTGAAAAAGAAAAAAAGGCAGTCCTGCATAACGAACTAATGACATTAATGTGCGACCGGGGCCGCTCCTGGAACAACAACAAACGCATGGTCAGCTGTAATGGCTGCCGTCTACCGGTGTTCTGTAAAAGTTGGTCTAACTGTAAAAGTTTCCCCACCAGAGGGGTCGCTCGCGAAACACTTAGGATGAGATTGTTGTTGAGTGGGATTCTGATGCCTTTATTACAGAGGAGGAAAACCATAAACTTTTAATGATACTGATGATGGTGAGCCTGATTTTGAAGACTTTGATTCAGCTTCATCCACACTTGTTAGAGCCACATATCTCTATCTGTTTGTTATATCACACCAGTTAACAAATGAGCATTGATAGTTTTTGTTGTAGTTATACATTTATTGTTGTGTACCTTTTAGTACATATGTTGTTAAAATAAAATTAAAAACTGATACAGCAGTCAAATGATAATTTTACTGATATATACTGTATATAAAGACTGCAAATGCTGAAAAATCCTGAAGTCCATATGAAATTAGAGGTAGTATGAGAATTAAATTTTTTATGCTTTTTAGGCTAAAATGGGGGGGGGGGGTCGTATTATACATGAGATCGTATTATACATGAATAAATACTGTAGGTTAAAATTCAATTTGGCTTTTGCTCGCAGGGATGTTTTGCGAGAGAGCAAATAAGCGACGACACAGCATGATTAGTCAGAGGTCTAAATATGCTGAGGTGGACTCCAACGATGATACAGAGTCTGACTCTGACGGCCAATGTGAGTATTAATAAAACCCCTTCAAACTTTTAAACTTGTCACTTATCTGCAAATGCCTGCCATGCTGTACCTCCTCTACCCACAGCAATAACTATGTGGCAATATTTAAAATAAAATTTGATGTCCACATATTTTGATTTAATTATATTTGAAGTTATACATCAGTGCGATCGTTTGGGGTTTATGTCTTTAAGGGTATGTTTCTGTTGTTTCAGCTGCAAGAAAAAGGAAAAAGGGCAACCATGACAAGACATGGAAGTTCGAAGAGAAGAAGGGCTCCAGGGACCGCCGGCGAAGTGGAGGCTTTTCTAACTCACGCCGTAACCGAGACTGGAGCTCAGATAGTTCAGATCAAGACTCTTCACCTCCTCGCATGAATGATGGTGAGTGTTTTTATTTTTTTGTTTGTTTGTTTGCATAAACCTTTCTAAAAATGTAAACATTCAAAAAGGACATTTGGCAGTGATTTCAACAATAAAGTGCGTTTTCAGTTTGGAGCACGTTATAAATGTGCTTCTGTGACTCACAATCAAATGGCAAACCCAATCAGGAGACTCCTTAATGAATGCAGGTCACCAACTAGTTACAGCCCAAAGAGATATCACCAATGTTACATATTTTAACTGTTTATTATTCTGCTTAGTTTCCAGAAAAATGCAGAAAAAGGCCAAACAGAAAAGCAGAATGATGTTTGATTCCATGACAACAGAGGGTAACAGTTTTACTCCTATAACACGATTCTGATGGTTATATTAAAGCATTCTCTAAAGCAACATGTTTTTATATTGTTCCCATTTTATACCAATTATTTTATTTGATTTTTTTTTTTTAGAAAAGTTGGACTCCTCTACATTTAAGAGATTTGCATCTAATGTGGACAGCATTCTTGAGAGCCTGGATGATGTAGACCTCACTGCAGCAGGTAGATCATGTAGTGTGGAACTTTTCCCAAACTTAAAGTCATTTATCAGAGCGACAAGCTGAGTGACATCCTCTGTTCCCTTGAATAGATGACGATGAGATTCCTCAAGAGCTCCTCCTTGGGAAACAGCAGCTGAGTGAGCTGGGCAGCGATTCTACCATGATTAAAGCTATGGGCGTCTTTTGCAAGGTTTAAAAAAAAAAGTCTAATTGTCACACTAAGGCTTCCAGCAGCACTGTTGGATAATAACCATTTATTTGTTTTTGTTTCACAGTTTTCATCTAGTAAACTGGTGAAAATTCTGAACGTACTGGAGAAGAACATCAAAGACAGTGTCACTCTCTCCACCTTAATGAGTCACGTAAGTTGTCAGCCTTGTAATATTGATAAATCTCAAGTTTAAATGTGTACTTTTTAAATATTTAATTCATGAATTTGTAGGATGACTCCATGGATGAAGAGCGTTTGTGGCGTGACCTCATCATGGAGCGTGTGACCAAGTCTGCAGACGCCTGTTTGACTGCGCTCAACATAATGACGTCTCCACACATGCCTAAAGTCGTTTACATCGAGGACGTGATCGAGAGGGTGCTGCAGTTCACCAAGTTCCACCTGCAGAGCACTTTGTACCCTCAGTACGATTCTGCCTACAGACACGGAGGTCAGCAGCAGTCTTACTCTCTTCCACTTGGAATCATGAAAAGTATGTGGTTTGATTGGAGGATTTTCTTTTTTTCCCCCTTTTTATTATTCTCATCAAGGTGGCACCCACTCTTCAAAGTCCAAGAGAGCAAAGTCTTCCGGCCACAAACAGAAAGTGATTGTGGTGCTCTACAACAAAGTGTGCGACATTATCAGCAACATCTCAGAGCTCCTGGAAATCCAGCTGCTCACCGACACCACAATTCTCCAGGTGCAATTATGAATCCCTTTTATTTTCACTTCACTCCAAATCATGGCCTGGTGTCATCTCTAACAGTGGAGCTCTGCCATATCTGTCTTTATTTGTGCCTGTCCTTTTTTAGGTGTCCCACCTTGGTATTACACCGTTTTTTGTGGAGAATGTCAGCGAACTGCAGTTATGTGCCATCACACTAGTGACAGCAGTAAGTTGGCAATTTAAATGTTTCTCATTTAGTTTTATAACTGATTTCTGAATGATTTAATTGAATTTTCACCTCTGAATGGTGACTAAAAGGCCCATCTGAAGCCAAACAGTCACGTGGTTTTCATAGCTCCTGAGACACCGTGTTGAGCTGCCGCTGTGGTACACATCGCTGCATGGGGGTGGTCTACACTCCAGAAAAAAAATCTCAGATGCCCGACATTTTTTTCCACAGCTCTGCCCCAGTTAAAGCTCCACACTTTTCTCCATCCATGAGTTTTTGGACTTTTGACTATCTTTATAAATGTCTGCTTCCAGATAAGTTTATTTTAATAGCGGGTATTTGAAGCAAAATGCAGCATAAACAAATATGCCCACAGATTTCGGACCAATCACACAGTAAGTTCTTACGCAGTGGAGGGTGAAAGGTTCTCCTGACACGTTGTGACAAAAAGAGATGGAAGTCTCAAAACTGCAAACTGAATGACACAACGTTCGTCATTCACCTGTGACAGTGAGAGATGATTTTGCAAGTTCAGAGGGAGCATATGGAGACCTTTAGGTGGCCATGTTTCAGTTTGGTACTTAAAAATCTATTTTTTTCAGGTGTTCTCTCGTTACGAGAAGCACAGGCAGCTGGTTCTTGAAGACATTTTCACTTCCCTGGCAAGACTTCCTACGAGTAAACGCAGTCTCAGGAACTTTAGGTAACATAAACATGTACATGTGTACTTTATTCAGTTACATAAATCAAAACAACTCAGGATGAAACTCCTCATGTTGCTCATTAAACCCAGTGAAATTGATGTGTCCTGTTCCTTAGGCTGAACAGCAGTGATTTTGAAGGAGAGCCCTTGTACATCCAGATGGTCTCAGCCCTCGTTCTTCAACTCATCCAGTGTGTGGTCAACTTTCCCTTTGAGAGGGAGACAGAGGAGGAACGCAATAAAAAGGTAACCACAGAGAAGTGATAGGATTTAGAAGCCATTTTTATTTTAAAAATCATTTATTTATTGTTTCTCGGCTTATTTGTTTCTAGGTGGATAAAGATGCTTTCATTACAAATTCTTATGAAACTGCCATGAGGACAGCTCAGAACTTTCTCTCAGTTTTTCTTAAAAAGTAAGTTTCTGCTCTGTCTCTTCAACAGAATTGTGTCTTCTCTCATTTATCCCTTATTTGCGTCCAGCTAAATGACACTCTGTTATAAGCTGTCTTATTAAGCAGGTTGCTGTTAGTTCCAATGAAAGGCTGTGATTTGTTTGCTTCAGGTGTGGCAGTAAACAGGGCGAGGAAGACTACAGGCCTCTGTTTGAGAACTTTGTTCATGACCTGCTGTCAGCTGTCAACAAGCCTGAGTGGCCTGCAGCTGAACTGCTGCTCAATTTACTGGGCCGACTTCTGGTGAGTGCCGCTGTTCTCTCCCAAGGCACTGTCACTCATAGTCTGTCTTCATTCTGACGTTTCCCCCACCTCGTTTTCCACTCCAGGTGCACCAGTTCAGCAATAAGCAGACAGAAATGGCACTCAGGGTGGCATCGCTGGACTACCTCGGTACTGTTGCCTCCCGCCTGCGTAAAGATTCTCTCTCCAGCAAGATGGACCAAAGAACTATTGATCGCATTCTTAAAGAGGTGGACTAATTGTCAAAATGGTTTATTACACGTAAAGTTTCAATATGTTTTTAAAACTCTCCTGGTTTATTTGTGTTCTTACAGACTCCAGGCAGTGATGAGATACAGCAACTCCAAAAGGCTTTGTTGGTCTTTCTAAATGGAAACATTGATAATGACCCAGCTTTACTGGTAAGAGTTTAAGTTTTGTATGCCTATTTTTTTTTATAAATAAATATGACTTGTAACCTGTGCTCACACATCTGTTTTATCCAGTTTGCCAGGAACTTTTATATTGCCCAGTGGTACAGGGATAATACAGTCGAGGTGGAAAAAGCAATCAAGTCTCAAAATGAAAACGATGAGGACTCCAAAGGTTGGCGGCATTCCAAAAATGCCGACCCAAGTGAGGAGATTGCGCAGAACGCTGAGGCACGGAAGAAATTCCTTCGTAAGATCATCAAGACTGCACCTTCAAACTTCAGCTCTCTGAGGTTCGTATTGGGCAACAAATATTGATTTTTCTCATCCCAGTATTAAAGTGTCTCCATGTTTTATTTCCTTCCAGAGGGAATTCTGACACAGTAGACTACGAAGACTCTTGTCTGATTGTCAGATATCTGGCCTCTTTGAGACCGTTTGCACAGAGCTTTGATATTTATTTATCACAGGTAAGATGATTGTTACTTTATAATAAAGATGATGAAGGAATCACATTATGTCGAGTGTGACAGTATTTCTCTCCTGTTCCACATATTTTCATTGCAGATCCTGAGAGTGCTGGGTGAGAGTGCCATCGCAGTGAGAACTAAAGCCATGAAAAGTCTGTCTGAAGTTGTGGCTGTGGATCCAAGTATTTTAGCACGAGTAAGGGTCGGGCAGTTCTTATACTTTGTGTGACAGATGACACCTTAAACAGCAGTTCTCTGAGATAAGTCTCAAGCGTGTTGACCATATCAGACACTCCCATATTTGTCACTTTAGTGGTCTGGACTGTTGGTGTTTTATAATCTTTTTATGTGCGTTACTGCAGTAAGTTTGAGCACTTTCAGTATATTGTCATCCTCAGCTGCTCATCTATATCACTGGATTGATAGCTGCACTTCTAGCCGTAGTTTAAAAAAACTGTTTAAATGAAAAATTGTGTGTCTTACTAAGCTTTTATATTTGTTTTCCAGTTGGACATGCAGCGCGGAGTACATTGTCGCCTCATGGATAATTCCACAAGTGTACGAGAAGCAGCGGTAGAGCTTCTTGGTCGCTTTGTGCTGAGTCGACCTGAGCTCATTGAGCAATATTACGACATGCTCATTGAAAGAATACTGGTAATTTTGCAGGCCTCATTTCTACTCTTAAAACAAATGTGTCATTCAAGTAAGCAAAAGGTTGAACTGACTTGTGTCATAATTATGAGTTTAATAAAGTTTTTCTCAAGTAAATTTTTGGCGTGAAGTTTTCATAAAGCTCATTTATGAGGCAAAGGTTTAGCTGAGGTTAAATAATTTCTCCACCTGCCACCTACATATCAAACAAACAACTGTAGTTAAACTGTGTGATTGTAGAAATGTGTGTTTGTCTGCTATAAAAATGTTTTTGACATGTTTAGGATAGTTTATATTATTAAATTTAGAAGAAAAATGATTATGAAAAGGCACTTTATGTTGAACTTACATTTCATCGTCTTTCTGTGTTTTTACAGGACACGGGTATCAGTGTAAGAAAAAGAGTCATTAAGATCCTAAGGGACATTTGCTTGGAGCAGCCGGACTTCCACAAGATCACCGAGATGTGCGTCAAGATGATCCGAAGAGTCAACGACGAAGAAGGGATCAAGGTTTGTGCTCACTGAAGTGTGTATGCACATTTCACAAGCAGAACTGTCTAGTTTTTGATACGCAGACTTTAAAATGTTTTGGTTTATTTTTGAAGAAACTGGTGAACGAGACATTCCAGAAACTCTGGTTTTCTCCCACGCCCAATCACGACAAAGAAGCCATGTCCAGGAAGATCTTGAACATCACAGATGTTGTGAGTGATATTTAAGACACCCCCACCCCGCCCCCAAAAAAACCTCCCTTCAGTTAAGCAACATGTGAATCTAATTCTTGTCCCATTTTGATTTGATCCCAGGTGTTGGCGTGCAAAGATACAGGTTATGACTGGTTTGAGCAGCTTCTGCAAAATGTGAGTTACGCCTGTTTTGATAAATCGACAGCTTTTTGTTTGTTTGTCTGCCATTATAACCACTAAACAACTGTGACTGTGTAGCTTCTGAAATCAGAGGAGGATGCTTCGTACAAACCTACCAAGAAGGCTTGCATCCAGTTAGTGGACAATTTAGTGGAACATATCCTGAAATATGAGGAGTCTATTGCAGGTAAATTAGAAATCCATCATTTCTGTTATTAATAAATGTGGATGTTTATTGTATTTATAATGTACTTGTGTGTTTACCATAAATAACTTTTTTTTGGATGTATGTATGTCAGACTGTGAAGACAAAGGGGTGAACTCAGGCCGTCTGGTAGCGTGCATCACCACTCTCTACCTGATAACTAAAATCAGAGCCCAGTTTATGGTCAAACATGCCATGACAATGCAGCCCTACCTGACCATCAAATGCAATGTAAGTAAAGTTACTCTTTACTTCACCGTATGTAGGATCATTTAAGTTCATTTAGAGTCAAACCCATAGGACAGAACTGAAAAACTTATATTTATCATATGCAATAGGCCCATCTAGTGGCAGCTGTATAGAAATGCAGTTGTTTAGTCACTAATCTTGGTCCACAAGTTACAGCTGTTCTGTTTCCATTCTTTCATTTCAGACCCAAAATGACTTCATGATGATTTGCAATGTGGCCAAGATCGTGGAGCTTGTCGTGCCTCTGATTGATGAGCCAAGTGAGACGTTCCTCGCCACGATTGAGGAAGACCTGATGAAACTCATTATCAAATACGGCATGATGGTGCGTCGCATTTACAGCTCCACAGGAGTTAAAACCTCAACAAAATAATTAAAAAAAACTTCAATATCAATGATAGAGAATCATAATATCCCTTACTGTGTCTGCTTCTCAGGTGGTGCAGCACTGTGTGAGCTGTCTCGGCGCTATCGTGAACAAGGTCACACACAACTACAAGTTTGTTTGGGCTTGTTTCAATCGATTTTACGGTAAGAACTGTGAATATACCTCACGATTCAGTACCCAAACAGAAAATTCCAGATCGCTTAGGTTTTTGCTTTTTGTTATGTTGTCAATATTAGTCTGTATCAAATAATTTGCTTCAAGGAAATGTTCATATTTTGCAGGATTTTTATGAGAGCTTGAAATCCTTGAAAATTATAATGAAGAGTTTTGGGAAGTTCTAGATTTCTGTATAAAACCCTTGAAAGTGCCTAATATTCTAATAGCACAGTCTTGTAATAAAGATAACTTTAACCGTTGGATTAAAAACCTCAGTTTGAAATTTTTATGTCGTAGGCACAAAGTACAGTGATCATTAGACCTTTAATGATGTCTCAGAAAGCCTCATGGTGCTAAAAATTGGGTTTGCTACTTTTCATAATGCCGGCATGAGCAGTAGAGATCACCCGATGAAAAGACCATTCACAGGAACAGCAGCGTCCTCTGGCATAGCTATGAAGCAGACTTACTTTGAGCACAAAACAGTATCGTGCTGTTCGCGCATATGTCCAGTTAGCGGGAGAAAACAGCATGCCAGGACTGAGGAGGTTGATGTTTTAATGACTGATGACTTGAAAACACTAAATACAACACATGGTTGAAACAAGGACCAAATCCTCAAGTAACTTCCTGCAAGATATGCAAGAAGGACCTGCAGTTTTTCACGATGGGAGTCGACGCTTTGGAGCCATGATGCAAAAGTAGAGGGACTCTTAAATTTAAGCTTACAGCTTTGCAGGTAAATTGCAAATTGATTGTTTGAAGGTTGGATTAAGCTAGAGTTTTATGTAATTTACTGTACTTTAAAATGTGTAACAACAAAACATTTTTTACTCTAGTAAAAGTGGTTTGCTGGTGGCTTAGTTATGCAAACAGTAGCTGTGGCTTGGCTACATGAGGGAAAAGTGTACAAAGTCAGATTTTGAAAAACAAAACATTAGTTTTTACTTGATGTGTTCTGTTTTACAGGAGTTCTGGTTAAATTGAAGACGCAGCACCAGGAAGACCCCAGCAGCTCCACTTTGGCTGCTAACAAACCCACCCTGCTGCGTTCCTTGTTTACCGTGGGGGCTCTCTGTCGATACTTTGACTTCGACCAAGAAGAGTTCAAGGGTGCCAACAAGGTAAAGACACGTCCTTTGGTCAAAAGTTGGTTTATAGATACAGTGGTTTGCAAAAGTATTCATACCCCTTGAACTTTTCCATATTTTGTCACATTACAACCACAAACATAAATATATTTCACTGGAATTTAATGTGAAAGACCAACACAAAGTGGTATACAATTGTGAAGTGGAAGCAAAATTTTACATGAATCAAAACATTTTTTACAAATAAAAAACTGAAAAGTGCGATGTGCAAAAGTATTCAGCCCCCTTTTCCCTGAGTGCAACCAATTGCATTCAGAAGTTGCCTGATGACTGCTAATGACTCAAAAGGGTCCACCTGTGTGTAATCTAATCTCAGTACAAATACAGCTGCTCCGTGACGGCCTCAGATGTTGGTTAAGAGAATATTGGGGAGCAAACAGCATCATGAAGTCCAAAGAACACACCAGACAGGTTAGGAATATGGTTTTGGAGAAGTTTAAAGCAGGCTTAGGTTATAAAAAGATTTCCCAAGCTTTGAACATCTCACGGAGCACTGTTCAATCCATCATCCGGAAATGGAAAGAGTATGGCACCACAGTAAACCTGCCAAGACAAGGCCGTCCACCTAAACTTACAGGCCGAACAAGGAGATCACTGATCAGAGAGGCAGCCAAGAGGCCCATGGTGACTCTGGATGAAATGCAGAGAGCCACAGCTCAGGTGGGGGAAACTGTCCACAGGACAACAATTAGTCGTGCACTACACAAATGTGGTCTTTATGGAAGAGTGGCAAGGAGAAAGCCATTGTTAAAAGAAAACCATAAGAAGTCCCGTTTGCAGTTTGCCAGAAGCCATGTTGAGGACACAGCAAACATGTGGAAGAAGGTGCTTTGGTCAGACGAGACCAAAATTGAACTTTTTAGCCACAATGCAAAACGCTATGTGTGGCGGAGAAAGAACACTGCACATCACTCTGAAAACACCATCCCCACTGTCAAATATGGTGGTGGCAGCATCATGCTCTGGGGGTGCTTCTCTTCAGCAGGGACCGGGAAGTTGGTCAAAGTTGATGGGAAGATGGATGGAGCCAAATACAGGGCAATCTTGGAAGAAAACCTGTTGGAGTCAGCTAAAGATTTGAGACTGGGGCGGAGGTTCACCTTCCAGCAGGACAACGACCCTAAACATAAAGCCAAAGCTACAATGGAGTGGTTTAAAAAAAAAGAATATTCATGTGTTAGAATGGCCCAGTCAAAGTCCAGACCTAAACCCAATTGAGAATTTGTGGCAAGATCTCAAAACTGCTGTTCACAAACGCTCTCCATCCAATCTGACTGAGCTTGAGCTGTTTTGCAAGGAGGAATGGGCAAGAATTGCAGTCACTAGATGTGCAAAGCTGGTGGAGACATACCCTAAAAGACTTGCAGCTGTAATTGCAGCAAAAGGTGGCTCCACAAAGTATTGACTCAGGGGGGGCTGAATAATTTTGCACATCGCACTTTTCAGTTTTTTATTTGTAAAAAATATTTTGATTCATGTAAAATTTTGCTTCCACTTCACAATTGTATACCACTTTGTGTTGGTCTTTCACATTAAATTCCAGTGAAATATATTTATGTTTGTGGTTGTAATGTGACAAAATATGGAAAAGTTCAAGGGGTATGAATACTTTTGCAAACCACTGTATTGGTCTATTTTAGAGCTTTTGGTTTTCTCTTGTGTCTTTAGATCATCATTAAGGAAAAAGTCTTGGAGCTTCTGCTGTATTTCACCACTCATGTGGATGAGGAAGTCCAGACCAAGGCCATCATGGGTCTAGGTATAAACACAACACGATTTATTGTGCATGCATGTATGTTCAATTAACTTCAGTCTTCTCAGTTATGACTTGTTTGTATTTACTCTGTAAAGGGTTCCAGTTCATCATGCACCCAGAGCTCATGTTTGTGCAGGACATAAAGGTCCTGTATAACAACTTACTGTCCGATGACAACAGTGCTGTCAACCTAAAGATCCAGGTGCTCAAAAACCTGCAGACGTACCTGCAGGAGGAGGACTCTCGAATGCAGGAGGCAGACCGAGAATGTGAGCCTTACAAACCCTGCTGGCTCCAGTTTGATCATTGAACACTGTCAGACATGTTTGTGTTTTTGTACCTTCAGGGAAGAATCAAGCCAAACAGGAAGATTTGAAGGAGATGGGAGACATCTCATCAGGCATGAGCAGCTCCATTATGCAGATTTACCTCAAGCAGGTGCTGGAGTCCTTCTTCCACTCGCAGTCCACGGTTCGGCACTTTGCTCTGAGTGTCATCACTCTGACTCTCTGCCAGGGCCTCATCCACCCTGTACAGGTGTGTTCACAACCTTAACAAAAAGATGAAACTGACTTTGACTGGAGAGTAACCGGTGGGTTGCCAGTTTGATCCCCCCGTTCCATCCTGTGGCTACAATGTGGCTCACCACCATCAGTGTGTGAATGTGTGAATGTCTAAGTGTAAAGCACTTTGGAGTCCGACGGGACTTAATGAAGCACCATATAGATTCAGTCCATTTACCGTTTTTGGCCCAAAAACAATATTCAAACATATTTGCTCTCTGCTGTTTTTGTATGCAGTGTGTGCCCTACTTGATTGCCATGGGCACAGATCCAGAGCCAACCATGAAGAACAAAGCAGACCAACAACTAGTGGAAATTGACAAGAAGTATTCAGGTTTCATCCATGTGAGTGACTGCTGGTTATTTGTTATGAAAATGGGTGAGAAAGCAGAGAAACAAAGGATTGTTTTAATAAATTGTGGTTTTTGAAAGAATAATAAAGGGTACTCAAATGCAGTCTATCAACTGTTCATTCGGTATTTATAATAAAGAAAACATTCATTTTAGAGTCCTCGTAAATGTAACAAAAGTGTTTCCTGTACTTCAAAATAAATAATTTGAATCTAAGTTCTTTTAACATTATTATTTTACAATATCTTTGTATTTAATGAGAGATGAAACCCCGTGTGTTCACAGATGAAGGCTGTTGCGGGGTTGAAGATGTCCTATCAGGTGCAGCAGGCCATAAATGCTGGCAAAAGTGCGGTGATTCGAGGTTTTCGTCACGACGACTCAGACTCCGCCCTCTGCTCTCATCTCTACACATTGGTCCGCGGGAACCGACAACACAGACGAGCTTTCCTCATTTCCCTCCTCAACCTGTTCGATGACAGCTCTGTAAGTTCTCTGTGTTTTGGTGGAGTTGGTGTGTGTGATATTGAGGTTTTTGTTTGTGTATTTCTAAAGAATAAAAATACTCTATACGTTTACCAGTAACGTTTTCTTGTCTGCAGAAAACAGAGGTGAACATGCTGCTCTTTGTAGCCGACAACCTGGCCTGCTTCCCGTACTTAACCCAGGAAGAGCCTCTTTTTATCATGCACCACATAGACATCACTCTGTCTATCTCTGGCAGCAACCTGCTCCAGTCTTTCAAGGAGGTAGGAATCATTTACAACTGAGGCTTGAGCCGACAACAATCTTCCACAAGTAGCCTGTAACTTACTAAAAACCATTTTAGCAGATCATGAAAAAAAGGGTTAAAAGTTATCACAAATATGTGTTCAATCAATGGAAGATGGTTTTTTTTTTACCTTTTTTTATAACTAAAACTGTCCATCTCCAGTTCACACAGTTCTGTTTATGAGAAGATGAAAAGTGATCTTGTGGATAAAACTGTCACTCCAAATGAAGTTAATACTAAATATTAGCATCTGAATGGATGTTCTGTTGGGACTGTATTGATGGCAGCAGCGCCTCATTTACTTTACAAAGCAGTGCTGCAGACACATCCTCTGCCTTGTGAGCAGCTGAACACATAAACACTACCTGACATTTACGAAGTTTGTCTTTATTTTGTTTTAGTCAACTTCGTTGACTGTATTAGATCAATGAGTGATCTTATTTTTTCAGTGTTTACGGAAGGAGCCCGTAAGGCACGAGAAGAAGGTAAAGACTAAAAAAAGAAAAAAGAAGCATTCTCGCAGGAGGAAAAGCAGTTCGGATGAGGATGAAGAGGAGGAGGAAAGGCAGAGCAGCAGCACATCTAGCAGCAGTGATGAGGAAGAAGAGGTGGTTCACAAAAGAAAGAAGCCCGGAGCCCCCGACTCGGACTCAGATTTGGACGATGAGGAGGCGGTGTTGGACCGTTTGCCTGACAACACCGCCCCTCTGCTGGAATTTGCGAGCGCTTCACAGGGTGTTCTGCTCCTGCTGGTGCTCAAACAGCATCTGAAAAACCTGTACGGCTTCTCAGACAGGTTGGTCTCATCTTCTGAATGTTTATTTATTTTTTTATTACTTTGTTATGCAGTTCTTTAAACATCTTCTTGGTTTTACAGCAAAATCCAGAAGTATTCACCAACAGAGTTGGCCAAAGTCTATGACAAGGCTGTGAACAGGAAGTCCAAGGTGCACTTCAGTCCTCGTCAGACTCTGGATTACCTGAAGAGCAACCTAGCCAACAGAGAGCTCAGCTACGAGTCAAAGAAGAACATCATCAAACAGTATTTGGATGTAAGCACACAGAGGCAAACTTATTAACGGAAATTAAATCGTAGTTCACATCTTTCGCAGTAAAAGTTTTCACACCTCTTTGCCTCATAGTTCAAGGTACTGATGGAGCACTTGGATCATGAGGAAGAGGATGAGGAGGAAGGTGAAGCGAATGCCAACGCCAGAAACAAAGCCATCAGTTCTCTGCTGAAGGGCCCGAAACCCCAAAACCACAGCAATCACACTGCTCCCCTGGAGACAGAGGATGAGGAGAGCGAGGAAGAAGATCCTCCTGCGGTAAGAGCTGAACAACTGCCCAGTTCCAACTTCAGCCACAAATACTTTTTATAAATATGTTTGTTAAGTACGTTTTTTTTTACTTGAAGAGGACAATGAACATGGGATTACCTAGAGCCCTATAAAATCCATTTTTTTGTTTTTATTTTTCTAAGTTCCACTTTTACCATTTTCTTCCCTGAATTACACATTTTTATTGTAACCATATTTATTAACCTAAAAAGTGTGTAAAGTGACTAAATAATAATTAAACAAATAAACAGCTACAGAAATTTAAAAAAATAATGTCATTTCACTTTCACTAATACAATATAACAAATAGCTGTGGTTCAGTAGAACAAATTCTTTTTGAAAGGTGTTTTAAATTATTTACTAAGAAAAAACATTCTTTATGTGTAAAACATAGAATCTCAAATAATAAAGTCTTTGTAAAACAAAAATATTTTAGAATTTAACTTAACATTAAATATGTCATAAAGAAACACAAAACCTACAAACAGCAACAATTTGTGCACACTTGCCAACTGGATCGAAGATCATTTACTTCTGTAATGGAGACACACACCGTTTACAGGGCTTTATCAAAAAACGGACAAAGCTTTTTCAAATTTTCTAAAGGATTATCTGATTCTACACACACAACAAAATCATGGATAAACTCCCACTTCAACTCCCGCCTTACGTCTGAGTGTTCAGGAGTTTGCAGTGTGTTAGCTGCTCACTCAGACAGGAAGTGGTCTTCACAGTGTCTAGCCCTTCTAAAAGTAACCATAGTTGTTTGTGAACTCAAAACACCATAAATCCAGGCAAAATGTTCTGCTGTTACATCCACAACTCTGCTGGACTCTCAGAAACACAGAGCTAATTTACCCCTCTGCTCCACTCGCTCTTCTCCTCTGTCTCTAACACACACACACACACACACACACACACACACACACACACACACACACACACACACACACACACACACACACACACACACACACACACACACCTTGCAGCCACAGCAGGTCCACCCTCTATCAGGAGCATTAACCCTTTAGGGCCCAGATTAGAAAGCGGCATTAAAATGTGACTATGGATTATGTTTTTATTAAACATGTAGCCCTTTGAGTGACTCTGTACCCCTGAAGTAGCTCTCAGTCTCAAAAGACGGCCTGTCCTACAACAATTCCTGCTGTTGGTTTAGAGATTGTAACAGACATTTTATGCTGGTGATACAATTTTTTTTGTGCTACAAAACCAGCAACCTCTGTAGCACCAGTGCTAGGAGCTACAAACATCTGAAAATCCTGGAGAAAATCTATTGTCAATAAAGCGCAGCTGGACTTACAGACCACCTTAGGTGTAGCTCCAAAAGCATTTCCTGTCAGACCTATGAATTATGGGTATGCTGGTCATACAACACAATTTTGTAAAACAAGAAATATCTATAAGGCTAATTCTACAGAAACTGGTTGTTACACCCTGGAAAACTGTGACGTATGGTCTTGAGTAAATCAGGTTACACAGGTTTCTTTCACAAAATCTGGTTTACAGGAAAATGTTTTTTTTAAACCAGGATGTTTTTTTTCCCAGGTATGTGGCAAGTGAGAACAAACAACATATTAAAGAATACACATGCACAGGTTAACAGTGATCATGGGTTTAGATATTTTAGATGAGGCTTAAAGATGTAATAAGTGGAAGACTTTCTTAAAGTTTCCAGTAAAATAATCCAATATTTACAACCTTTGGCTGATCGCTGGTCCAAATGTCCGTCCAGTTCTCAATTTCGTAAAAGCTTTTAGGAAAAATGGGATATGTTTGTGTAAAATATATATATTGTTAAGTATTCATTATGTTTATTATGTTTCCCAAAAAGGTTTCCATTGCGAAAGAAAAAACATTTTTTCACAACCTTTATGATTTATTAGTGTAAATCTAGATTTGATGTCTTTTTCTGAAGTTTTGCAGGTAAAATTCATCAGTCTTATTTTTTTTAACAAGAATTTAAAAATTTTGGAGTCTCAAGCGCCTCTTCTCTTCACAGAAACATTAGAAGTTAGAAACTTGAGATCGTATAGTAAACTTCCACTTCTAATCTTATATAAAGTTACAGATGAAATTAGATTTTAAAAGCTTTTCGCATTCTGATTGAAAAGCTAACCAACGCTGCCTCTTCGATCCACAGCGAAAACCGAAGAAAGGCGGGGATTCCGCGGAGGATGTGGGTAACCTGAACGAGACAGTAGAAGTGATGGACGTCGTCGCCGTCTTCCGCCCCAAATACAAAGACAGACCGCAGATCGCCAAGGTCGTCCAGAAGAGCAGAAGCGGCTACAGCATACACTGGATGACGGGATCGTACTCCGGACAGTGGACTACGGCAAAGAAGCGGGATGGTCGCAAAAAGGTGCCTTGGGTCGACACGATCAAGGAGTCGGACATCATTTGCAAGAAAATCTCCTTGACGAGTGGACAGAAGCTCTCAACGAAAACGGCACAGACGTTACGGGCGCTGTACGTCGCCAAGGAGGGAACTAAGAGTTCAAAACTACAACTCAACTGAAACAGCCCGGATCGACGGGGAGGGATCGGTTTTAGATTTTAACGCCATCGTGGAGGAAATGCTCACTTTGTCACTGCGGACGTGAAAAAAAAAAAAAAACAGAGAAGGAAATGTTTGCGAAAAACATTGTGTGGGAGTTCCTTCGCTGTTGTGCAGCAACCTGGATGTTGGGTTTTTACTCCCACTGTACCATAGTTTAAAAGAAACATGTTTATATCTGAATATAATTCTGTAAAAAAGGAAAGACAAAAAAGTAAAGTGAATGTTGGAAACTAGTGTATTGATGATGTTCTTAATAAAGTGTTTTTTTTTTTCTGTTTTTGTTTTTTATTATTATAAATACCACCAGATGGATTTATTTACTTGACCAGAACTCTCAAAGACTTTGAACATTTAGATGTTTCCCCACCTGTGTGTTAGACTATCTTTGATATAATTTATGTTTAAAGCAGTGCAGTATCTGTGCCTAGAGTGATTTTAATATAGATTTTGATGTTCTACAACACAGGGAAACAGTAACGTTATCACTGCGGCACTTCTAGTGGAACAAATACTGCAATAAAGTTTTTTTACACCTTTACTTGGTCCAGCTTCTTTGTCTTTACCTAGTCCTAATCACTCATTCATTCACGACAGGTGTGTCGAAGCAGAGACACTTTAGGTTTTAGATCTTTCCTCTTGTCCAATGATTTTATTTAACTTTGATCTTGTTTAACTGAATAAAACTTTTTTTGTAGATAGAAACGTCTAAATTTGAGACGTTTCACTGCTGACACACCTGATTTGAATGAGTGAGTCATTACCAAGCTTCTCCAGACATTTGAAGACTGGTGGCTTTGCCGGACTAGAATTTGAGCAGTTTTCAAACAAAACTAAATTACAGTAACATTTTATTATTTTTAGAAGACCCCCAAGCAACAGCTCGTGGACCCCTCGGACTCTAATTTGAGAACTTCTGTTTTAAAAGAATCCTCACCTGTGGTCAGGAACTTTGGGTAGTGACTGAAAGAACAAGAGCGCGGGTACAAGCGGTCGCTGGACTCTCCCTTAGAGGTAGTTCAGTGACTGAAGGTGTGTTGGAGCAGAGAAAAATGTAAAAGTAGGGCTGCGGCCCTCGAGGACCATGACTGGCCACACCTGGTATAGAGCAATGGTTCACAACCTGGGGGGGCACAGAGTGAAATTCTGTATAACAGTTATTTTTTTCCTCCTTTCAAAGGTTGGTAACTATTCTTTTTATTCTATTTTTTATATATAT